CGTTCATCATGTTGCTGCTTGCCTATGTAGGCTATGACATTGTCAATCCACATTACCTTTCGCTGACATTGTCAATCCACATTACCTTTCGCTGGCCGGTCAAGCGGAGCAACCGTGATACCTGAAGTGTTGGTTCTTTTTGATTAGTAGAATCGATCACTGTCGCGACCTATGTTGCTTTCCGAACTGCGTAGGATATAGGATGAAGATCAACCTGGCAATGCCCGACTTTTGCCACGGACGACGGGCGCGGCACGGATCAACCTTTGGATGTGCCCTTTCCTTGAGGTCGGCTTAGCCGAAACGAGTTAAACTCAAGCGCACGCACTGAGGTGCTGCTGCAAAGACCTATTCATCTTCCTTCTGTTGCTGCAGCGCCGTCGCATTGCGGTGGAGTAAGCTGGTCTGGATATGACACGGTACATGTTCTGAGGACGGCAACGCAGTGGTTTCTGCTACGCCTAATTGAGCACCCCACAAGTAGCCTGGCCTTTCAGAATACTGAAGACGATTCAAGCATGGCCAAGTTGCTACATGTGAAGTTTCTACGTTCACCTCGTCAGCGCAGCTCGTTCACCTTCACTGGTGGCCATCCTTGATCAGCAAATTCACATGGCAGTGCTGGAGGCTTCGATACACTAGGTCATGGATTGTGCAGTATTCGTTGTAACTCTAAGGCAAGCGGCAACAATGATCTGCAAGCACATCGCGAAATTTTCGCGCTCCCCCACATCCTGTGAAAAACGCATGTGTCCATTGTCGTCTTCAGAAACAGTGCCCTAAGCTCAGCATGGTGCAGCGTGCCTTGAATCGGAAGGAGAGGCATTCTCCACTTTCGAGCACCTGCGCTGTCACAAGTGCTTCTGTCATCTGTGGTGAGTGTGTAAATGCAGCTTCCCACTTCGGAAGCTCAATCGTTCACGCAGAAATGATGTGCAGATACACGGATGCACTCCATCTACCTACCATACTTCCCCTCCTGTAATCGGTACTTTTGTGCGCTGCGCTTGGTGCACCTCCAGAAACCTAACGCATTGTCGCCAGTGCTCTGCACATGAAGGCGAGATATTAACAGACACTTCGCAGTGGTTGAGCCGCTTGTCCCTAAGACCAAGGAACTCTAAAACGACCTGAGCCTCTTTCAAAGCAAGAAGCCATGTCAAGCGTTGGTGACAGCGAGGCTCATACCACAGCAAGCGTTGAAATTGAAAAACGTTGGCCAAGATTCTTAAACCCAATCTTCGCCGGCAGGTCAAAACTGGACAAGGGCCAAGGCCCTCTTTGCGGCCTTGCCTTGTGAACCCCATTTCGGTTGGTTGGCAATTGGCAAGGCTCGCATGATAAAATCATTATCTTTGTGTACAATCCTTCAGTTGCTTTTTCCACCTGCACTTGCGATGGAAATTCGAGCTGGTTCTGGGCTTCTCTCCACCCCGTTTTAACAAAGCTAGTCAGGGCACAAAAAGAGTACGTCTGTATTTGTTCAGGAAGGCTGGCTACACGAGTGCGGATCTCCTGGTCCGAGTCCTAGTCCACAGGTTCAAGGCAGCTCTAGGTATCGTCCAAACGGCCAGGCCCACCTCCTGAAGGCATCTGTTTTGAGCTTTGCACCTTTTGCAGCTGCACCTTGTCAGACAGGAGTGGCGCTTGCAAAGCTTCAGCCGCGCCGTGCGACGAAGCAACTTTACATGCTTCATTCACAAAAACGAGCAACAACTGTCCTCGCTCAATCCTACTCGGTCTAGCTATCACTCAAAATAGCAGGCGCTGGGACTCTGAGCAACCAGCGGCTCGTTTCTGAAACTCGCGCATCATCACTGATGTTACGGTGGCCTTGACAATTGCCATCCAAGAAGACCCATTCAGTCGGCGGGTGATTATACTTCACGTCATTCTCTGTTTGCACCTTTGCCAACCCGTTCCTGTACGCAAGCAGTCGGACTTGGTCAACTAACTGTTTTCTTCAGTTCCTTAGCAAAAACAAGGAGAACCACATGGCCCCGACGCGTCTAAGATCCCGGCCTGCATGCTGTCCCAAATTGGTAGGAAGAAAAAGTTCCGGGCCTTACAACTTGTTTTCGGTGATATCCAGTGCTCTGCCCAAGAGAGCTGCAGCCAAGGCCCTGGCTTGGAAAAACATGTCCAGTCGAACATCTGTGTGCCCCCTTGCAACCTCGATGAACCTCCAATCCTTGGACTAGCAGACAGCGTTGGTTCAGCTTGGGAGATTCTCATGACTTACTCTCCGAGAAAGCTCAGGCCGAGTCATAGATAAGCCGTTTGCCGTAGCGGAAGCCATCCAAAGTATCAGCCACCACTCGGGCGACACGGCGAACATCGCCAGGTTGTTGGTGACAAATCTGTGATACTGCAGCTTTGTCACCTGTGGGGGGAAGCACGCTGACCTGGTACTTGATGGTGTCACCCACGGCACCCAGGGCGGTTCCAGTGTCAAGGCCGAAACCTACGTCACACTTGAGCTTTGTGGCAAACTTTGTGCTGCTTGATGCACTTGGTCCTTCTGCCTCTTCTTTGGAGGTCACGAAGGCCGAGGTGCAGAACGGCATCCACTGGGGATATGCGTTCACATCGGAAACCATCTGGAACGCAGTCTCGATGGGCACAGAGACATTTCGCTGAATTGCCAGGCAGCGGGCCAACCGATCCTGTGCAGCCATCGTAGTGAACTCGTGCACGTCCTCCGGCTCGTCTAGATCCACGTGTGTGAGTAAGGGGCCATCCAAGGAGCTCCGTCTCAAGTGCAGATTGCCGCGCCGGAGTCCAAGCTCCCGCTCAATGCGATGCTGCTCATCTTCTATTCGTGCGAGGACAGATTGCACATCTTTCTCTCGGACAGCAATGAGCGGCAGTCCGTCCTCTGCCTTCTTATCTGCCAGTCCTGGTGCCTGAGAATGGTCTGCAAAGAGGCCCAGGCGAACTTGGGTCCCAAAAAGGCGAATCTGCAACTGCGACAGCATGAACTGTGCAATGCACAAGATGCGTTGGAGCGCATACCGGTATACCTCTGCTTCCACCAAGTCAGGAACCAGTATTGCCTGAACCTCCGGCTCCTCAAGCAAGGCCTCGACAAGCTCATCGATGGCCTGGCATGCCAACACATATCGACACATCAAACAAATCACCACATTGCGAAAGCTATGCCGCTATGCAGCGATGCGGGAGACCTGCTCGTTCACAGAAAAACGGTGCTCAAAGTTTTCCAGGTCGGCAACCTGCAACTGCCAGGGACCTATGTCTGACCACCTGTGTTCGCTTGCGGAATCTTGCGGATGCACGTTTCGACGGTTCTGCTTCGACTGTTCTGCAGGCATTTCTTGACGTATCTGGAGCGCCTCTTGCAGAACACGTTCCATCGGCAATTGCCTCAGTTGGCTATGGCCAGACGGAGCATCTGAGTAAGCATGACGTGCAACAGTGAATGGACAGGACTGTAAGGTGTGAGCTCGAGTCGTAAGTGCAGAGAATGCCCAAGTATGAAAACCTGACAGGTGTGCGAACTGTGGCTTTCTTGCAAATCATGATGAAGCACCCGCACTCCGCAGACACTCAGCAGACACTCAGCGTCTGCAAAATCCGGGCAAATTCTTGGTGGCAGGCTTGCAGGTGCCTGCCAGGAAATCCGTGCAAACCCTTTCGGACACTTTCAAAGCCTGCATTCCGGTGACGTGTCTGCCATGGGTAGACTGCCTACTTGCAGCATGGCCAACGAAAGATCTGCGAGCTCCAATGTTAGAACATATGTTCGGGCACGACATGCAACTGCATTGAAGCGTCATTGCAGTCTTCACCTGGAAAGCCTTAGCAAAGCTTCGAAGCATTGACACCGCTAATGTTTGCTTCGCTCGCTGACTCGATTCTCCCCGCCAGTGTGCCGACCCCCTTTCACTGCGCACGGGTCGGGAAGTGCCTACCTCCCTCTTCGGAAGCAATTCGTTTTACCCACGGTTTTTGGATGGTTTTCTGCACCCATTCACATATATGGGCTCTGTGCGCGATTTCGAGGCAACTCACGTGGCTTTGAACACGCACTGGGCGAGCATCATCGGGCCCTGCTTTGAAAGAATCGCTTGCCTTCTTGACTCAACTGCAAAAAGCAAGGCCGAAAACGGCAAGAAAAGCAATGACAACCACCCTCAAGGAATGAACCATGTGTGGCCGCGCCAAACTGAACTCACGACTGACAAAGACGACGCAAAACACAGCTAGATCCTTTCTCATCTCGAGACTGGCTGGTGGTCAGGCATGCTGACTTTCAGATTGTCGGAGCCTCGTTTCAAAGCGCAGTGCTTCAAGCATGGGATATGTTCCTGATCTGCCAAGGCTGATTGGGAAGGTGCGTGCTGTTTGCTTTGTGATTCGCTCGTCAGCAATCACAGCTTCAAGGTCCTCTCACTGCGCTTTGTGGCTCAGGTGTGAGATGCATCTAGCTTCGAGAGTCCAGTGGGATGGGCCACGCAGAGAAGGCGCTATGCCAGTGGCAGATCGCCTTGCCCACGCCATCGAACAAGTGGGATGGGCCACGCAGAGAAGGCTCTATGTCAGTGACAGATCGCCTTATCCACGCCATCGAACATCTGAGAAGCCGAGGCAGGTTCTACATGTGCACTCTGCTCCTGATGAAAGTCCTCTTTCATGCTGATGGAGCAACTATGGTAGCATCGGCATGCCTTTAAGAAATATTTGAGTGTTTGTGTCTGCAAGTCCATAAGTGGACTGGTACTTGTGTGTTCAAGCAGGGGAACGACTGAGGCTTTCACTCAAGGCCTGTCTTAGTATCTCGGGAAAACTTGTCCTAAGCCGCCTCTCACACTGATCTTATTCATCTGCTTCTGGTTGACCAGCCCCTTCGTCGAAGTGAGCCCGTCCTAGCCGCAGCATCTGCGTCATCTTGTGACGGCAGGTGTCGAAGTCCTCGTAGGAGGGCATGTCCAACGTGCAAATGCATGTGTGAGCCACCGGCAGGGCTTGCTTGGAAAGGTGGCTGGCTCCAGCAAGCGTGAAGGAATGCTTCGCGCCATTGAAGCCCACCAGCTCGCTGAAGCCCCCCACAGGCACGCGCGCGCTTCCTGTTACGAACTGCAGGAGCTGGGACAGCAATACCTCCTCAGAGGCTGACCAGCCCCTGACGACCCGCCAAAACCAAACCACAACGTCACTGTGCTTGTTTAGGCCATGGGTGTAAGCGGTGTGCTTCTCCCAATCGTCTACCGAGAGCTTGCCGCCCAAGCCGGAGAGCAGCTGTGCGATTTCAACCGGGGTCAACAACCCGTGCATCTCCTGCCGCAGATCTTCTGGGAGAACTTTGCTCACACCCCTAGCCATTGCCTGAATCTGAGGCGTGATGCCCTTGTAAAGCCTCCAGTCCGTCAGCTTCTCGACGAAGGCCTGCTTATTTTCGTCCGTGACAACGTTCACGGCGTGCTCGCCGTCCTCCCACAATGCCACCTCAGCTGATCCAACTTTGGGAAACGGCCTTACGTCGCATGCCCGATCTTCTCCATCCAGGCGATGCTGTATGTAAACCACAGGCGGCAGAGGTGGTGGCAGATCTTCCATGCGCACGTCTGCCTTCTTCTCCTTCTTGTCCTGACGCACTACCTTCCCTTCCTCCCCCTCTTCGCTCTTTTCCACAGGCTTTTCCACGGGTTCTTCTGCTCCAAGCGGGTCAGAGAAGACAAGATCGACACCGAGCTGGTCGATGGGATTAGCGAGAAGCCACTGCACCTTGTGACGGAACAGCTCCTCGTCCATGTCGGCAAGCGTAGCTGTCAGCCGATCGGAAGGAAACCCAAACAGCAAGGCACAGACGTGGGGATGAAGCGGGAGGTCAAGTGTGCAGTTCTGCCACAGTGCAAGACCTACCAAGCATCCGAGAACCTCGAAGTCCATCTGCCAGCCTTTGTTGAGGAAGGGCGCCGCAGCATCTGGCCAGAAGGTTTGCCTTTGGTCATAACTTCTGAGAAGCCTCAACCTGGGTTCGAGATACACATCTCTTGCCACCAGGTCCATCCACTCTCGCGCCACGGCACTTCCGACACCTTGCTCGCCTCGGAAGCGCACCTCGAACTCGCCGCAAATGTCGGGACTGCCGATCCCGATCTTCTGTGTGAACTGGTGGCGGAGAGCTTCGAGCTGCTTCTCGGCTGAAAGCCAGCGGTCTGACTCAACAAAGGCCTCAGATTCGAGCACAACATGCAGAATCCAAAGGAGCGCAGACCAGCTGTGAGACCTCTAAGACCGGGGCCAACGGCGGCTCTGCCAGATCTCCGTCCGTGGAGGTCGCCTGCTGCGTGCGATGATGACGCACCTCCAGTCTTGAAGTCTGAACAGGGCCCCGTGCTGATATTCTCTGAGCTCAACTTGCTGGCCAAGTTGCCAGCCGGCGTGTCAGCCACACACGCTTCTCTGGCACACTCATCCGTTGAAGTAGCTTCTCCAACTCGTCGGTGGCCTCGCCGTGCGCAGAGAGCGCCTCCAAGAGACTCCACGCCTGACAAAGTTGACAAATCCCGCAACTCTACTGGTAGGAGCCACTGTGCACGGTAAGACATAGGAAGGGAGGTCTGGCTGAATGCTCGCCAGGCAAGATGCAGGAATGATGCTGTGTGTTCCCCGGACACGACTCGGGCAAAGCGCCGAGTGAAGATCACAGTCTGCATCCGGTTTTCTTCAGTTTCCCTAACCCCCTCCCTGAGTTCGCAAGGGCCCCTTCCCCCCACCCCTGCCTTTCCACTCCTCTGACCCCAGCTGGAACCCAAACTCTTTCGACCCAAACTCTTTCGGCCACCTGTACAGATACTTCTCACTGGCTTGCGCAGGGCTTGAGCCATCACCCTCGAGAACGAACATTTATAAACAGTCGCCCTCCAAGCGAGCTCATGCTTGCGTCTGTCCGGGGTTTAAACTTTTTAAGGGTGGTGCAGGACTCGAGATGGTTTTTGACACGGCTTGGGGGCTCGCTTCTCTTGTGACTGCTCGCACCCGTGCCGGCCAACGAAAAGTGAACATTGGCAGCGGCCCCACGACCAGGGGTGATGATATGCTTGCCCCCAAGATTACAAACGAAGCCCAGATGAGGACTTCTGAGGGTGTGGCTTCATGATGCAAAAGTCAAACTTCATTACGACTAGGGCACAGGAAGGATTTCACAGGGTGTGGTCTGTAATATAAAGTTCTAATTCGTGTTAATTACGAATGAGGCTTCGAAGAGGATGTCTTTGGGATGTGGCCTCTTACAGTAATATGACTGTTGGAACTGGGTTTAAGTACGAACGAAGCTCAGATGAGGAAACCTTAAGGTGTAGCCCTTGTCATACACAATTCTACTGACATTTAATGATAATGAAGAGGCCCCAGATGAGGATTTCATAGGGTGTGTGGCCTTGAAATCCAATTGTAAGTAGATCTAAGTACGAATGAGGCTTAGAAGATGATATCTTAGTGTGTGTGTGTGGCCTATTGGTATAAAACTGTTTGTTTACCTGCGAACTAAGCCCAGATGAGAATTTCTCAGGGTGTGGGCTTCTCAAATACAATCAGTTTTTTGAAAAAAAACAGCTCTCATGATGTGTTGTTACGAGAAGGCACCGGGAAGAGCACTCATAGGGTATAGCCTTTCAATATAACAGCCAAAAAGAGAATTCATTTCAGTGTGGTCTTTGCATTTAGATCTCTGATATACCTTGTTGCGAATGAGGCCAGAGGATTTTATCAAAGGAAGATCTCTAAGGGTGTGCCCTGCAAAATACATTTCGATAAAACTAAACGGGAACTGATGTGGCCGAAAAGCTTTCCGACATAGATCGTGGGAGGGGGGGATCGTGCCGTGCGCTTCGATTGCTGCGATTGCTTCAACTTGTCAACAGCCGATTCCTGGGCGACATCGGCAATGCGCCCACCAGCCAGCGGCCACGGCGGCGGAGAGGGGGAAGTGGTAGACGTCAACACCGACCTGGGTGGCTGTGGAGGACTGGGTGCCGGGGTCTACTCGGCCTTTCCGAGTCTTTCCTAGCACTTCACTTCAATTTCACTAACATGATTAATGTTATTTATATTGTAAGTATTAACAGGAACAAAATCATCAATATTATTCATATTATTCGAGCGCTCAGGCCTGACGATGACCACCTCGGAGTCCCGCGATCTCGTGCCCAGGCTCGCGCCATCCTTGCCGCTGATCATGAAGGCCGGTATTGAAGGCAGCTTCTCCCCGAAAAGTCCCATCCGGAAGGGCTCCATGGCATCGAGGTCGTTGAAGACAATGACCGCGGAAGCGCCTGCTTGCTCGGCAGAGGACACGGCCTGTGCCCAGTTGTGAACTTTCTGGCTGGAACGAATCGATCGCCTGGACATGAGGACAGCCTTATTTTTCATCCTGTTGTCCAGGAGGTATTCGGCAGAACCCACGGGGAAGCCGTCGAGCTCGTGGAAAAGCAGCAACCTCTGGGCGGCAACTGTCTGCCATCCCGGAGGTGAGCCGTACGCTTCAGCCGCTTCGGGCCCTGATGAGGACTCTGCGGCCGTTGCGTGCGTTGCAAGTCCACTTGCCGAATCCATCTCGGCCAGAACGTTCCGGTTCCAGGCTGCTGGAACTGCTGCGTAGCTATGTCTTTTCTCGGTGTCGTCTGGCTCAGAGCCCGACTCCACTGAATGGACCGTGGCTTGTTCTGCCAGGAGGCTGGCCTTCGATTCAAAATTCGCAAGGGTGACAAGATCTGGTACATGGGCGCGGTCAACTGTGGGGCAAGCCTCAGGTGCAGAACTGGTGCAGACTCGGAACAGCACAACTACTTGCAGACATTAGGCATCACTAGTATCGAACATGTATCGAACGCTCTGACCGTGCAGCACAGGAGCAAGCTCCTGAAAAAGCTCATGGTGAAACTCAGCCCAGGATGGTACCAGGTCATCTTCATGACCTGCAAAAAGATTCTGGGCAATCACGCCTTCGACCATCTCAGGCTCTCCCTGTCCGAAGATGGGAGTCTCTTCTGACATGTCTTGCATGTCCGATGAAGCACTGGAGGCCATTTGGATGTCGCCGTCGTGCTCGCTGGGCAGAGCATCGCTGGCCAAAGCATGCGCCAAGGATCGCGCGGCACATCGGATGCCGGCCCTTGCCACCGGGCACTTTGCGTCAAACAGGCAGTGTAGCAAATCCAGTGCAGCCATGTTCGTGCATGCTGCAAGAGACAGTTTGCTCAGCAAAGGAACTCCCAGCCACAGGCCGCGCAATAGTCGCGACTGGCCATCACCATCTGGATCCGCCTTTGCCAGAGCCTTGAGAGCTCGGCAGGCATAAACAGTGAAAAGAGCATCACCTTCAATGAACAGGAATAAGTAGCCCAGAGAGTTCATGAGCCACTCTCCAAGCCTTTGGGGTGGAGGTGGCGGTGGATCTGGGATCCAGCGCAAAAGGGTCGGAATCCCAGCGGAGGAGGCGGCACTCAGGATACTAGCAAGGTTTGGGTCGTTGGCAAGGATCCTCGACAAGTCAGCCGTCGGACCCCGACTAAAGCTCGAAGCGGCTGGACCAGATGCTGGACCAGCAGCATCTCCCGAAGGCACCGGTGGCGCCGGCAGCCACGGTGCTGATGTGATATTCTCCGCGACCGGCACATTCGGGTCGCCAGCTGCTGCCACAGCAGCGGCGGCAAACCGCATTTGCTGGCGCCAGGCCCTGAGCGGTTGCCGACTCATCTGTGCAGCTCGCCACCATGGGACGTTGTTCGCCCGAGCGGCTTCCCATGTTTCCTCTGTAGCTTCCTCCATTGGCTCGTCCTCGACTTGTTCAAAAAAGTCGTCATCCTCATCAGTACCGAAATCATCGCCGAAGAGATGAGGCGCAATGAAAAAGTCAACCTTTGCTTGGGTCTTCATCACTGCTGCTGCCACTCCCGGCATCTGAAGGAGAGCAACGAGCCCAAGCGGGGTGGCGTGATAGTCTCGAACAGACAATGTAAGCCACTGACAAAGCTGAACTGTGTCTGGCCAATTTTCGCACTCAAACTGGATCAAAGCCATAGGCTTCCCGATTTCGAAGAGCCTTTCTAGATAACAAGCAGCGGCCTTCCAAGGAACTGCGCAGCTGCATCCGAAGACCTCATCCACCTCACGCTCTGGCTCAGGTCTTGCATCGACCAGCCAGCGCAACAAGCCTCCCAAGAGCTGCCGTACTGCAAGCCTCCGCAGCCCCTCATCGGCATTCGGACATGTCGCGAGCATGATCAGGGCACTACCTGCATGCTTGGCAAGACCATGGTGGATCTGCCAGCCGATCCTCAAAGCGAGACTCAGGCCTTCTACTATACTTCTGGCATTCTTCAACTTTGTCGAGAAGGATTTCGGTGCGCCAGACACTAGCTGCGCGCACGCATGGACAATCTGTTCATAAGCATCGCAGAGGCGGGGCGAGTCGAACAACACCGATGTATTTACGTGCAGAGTCTGGGCCAGCAATGAAAGCTGCGCATCCAGCACCTCTGCATTGCTTTCAACGAAGGTATCAGTGGTTCTCTGAGGGTCCTCAAGAGTTCTGAAAAGATTTTCAAGGCCCAGTCTTGCTGCGAAGACCAGCTCCTTGAACTGCTGCAGGATGTTCGGTGGTGGCTCCGCTTGGACGGCCGAGAGTTGCTGTTTTAGCTCCTCATGGCTGGGTTCGAGGGTCAAGCCGGTCTGGAAGCTGGCAGCGGCATCAGCTGCTCTTCCCAATGCAATCTCAGCCTTCCCTTTCACCAGCCAGCCCTCAAGGCACTTGTTGTCCAGGGAGACGCAGGTCTCTGCATCATCGAGTGCTTCAATGTGCCTATTGCACTCGTTGTGGGCCTGTGCACGGGCCAGATACAGAGTTGCATCTGGAGGATTGAGAAGGACGGCTTCACCAAGCAGAGCGAGAGCTTGATCTGCGCTGTCTGCCGAGCGTGCTCTCTCTGCCAGACTTTGAGACTCAATAGCTGCTTCAGGCGAAGGATGGTTTCCTCTGCCAGGGTCAAAGTTGAAAGATCTTGAACCCATCTGTTTATGATGCTCATTCGTTCTCAGGCGCCTCCTATTTTAAGCTCAGGCTGCTGATTAGCATCTCGTCATCCTTATAGTTGGTTCTTGCTGCAACAGACCCTCAGATATGATATGTTTGTAGCTTCTCTCCACTGCTCCCTCCCCACTTCCCCTTGTTCCCCATGGGCCAACACCCAAAAAACCCGGTAGGTCCTGGGTAGAGAGGAACCATCAGCAAGTGCCCATAATCGGGCGGGCGCCGTGAGAGGCGTCCCCGCCGCACGAAGCGCAGAATCAGTGCTCCCAGGCGGCCGAGCGATTTCGCCCAGCAGCCCACTTTGCGGCACAGCCACAAGGCGGAGAGGGTAGTGCTCAGACCGACCAATCTGGACAAGATCACTTGGGGCTCGCGGAACCAGGGCATGGCGCCATGAGGAAAGCTTGTTTCCTTGACGAACGTCCTCACGAAGGCTGTGTGTGTGTGATAGAGTGCTATGCCGGTGATTCCGGCAATTCATTCACGTCATGCATTTATAAAACTATTTACAGTCCATGCTGGCTTGCTGGGATAATGAAGGTGTTGAAGCAGCAGTTGCTTGACTCTTTGTCCAACAGCTCTAGGTGAATGTGATTGAATTTGGCTGTCAGGGACATGAGAAAGCGTGAGGAAAGCGGGCGATTCATGTATACATGTTCTGGAATCTTCAATCGCATCCTGCCACATGGCACATAGACATACATGGACCGCATGCAGCTGCCTGGCGAATGCCGCACTGACAAGATTTGAACAGATGTATGCCTTTCAGAGGTGAGATCTTCCAGCAGCTGCAAGATCTGAGTCATCAACTCAAACTTCGTCACAACGACATGCGCTGCTACGAGACGAGTACTGGGCTCCGCTGCTGTGACATTCTGCTACTGGTGCCAGTCTTCAACGCTTGATCGAGTAAATACTCTTGGGTTACGTTGCGGTCGTGTCGCTGAGGTCCGTGCCATCAACGAGCAGTTTACAAGTAGCTGGCGCTGCATGCCGTCCAGGATCGGTGGCGCCTCCAGATCCTGCACAAAAGATGCCATCTCCTATTGTCCCGTGAGCTTGTCGACCTTGATTTCGACCGCAAGATTCAAAACGACGAGAGGGGGGTTAAGATGGGTTAAGGGGTTGGGGGCCCGTCGGAGAAGCGGGACAAGAGCTGGGCAAGTGGAGTAAACGGGCGGGGCAAGAGGGGCAAGTGATGGGGACAGTGGGGCGAGCATTCTTAATTTTACCCGCTCTCGGACTACAGTCATAATATGGAGCTGTATCTCCAAAGGCAGACAATGCTACAGCATGAGTTCTTGAAGCCAGGTATCCTTGGGTCCTTACACCAAGGCTTTGGGGTGAAGGCAGGCTTGGGTGACTTTTTGGGCTTTTTCAAGGATCGTGGGTTTGGGATTGAGGTTTGAGAGCTCGTGAGGTTTGGAGCTTGGGTTTGAATGCGGGCCCTGCCCTTGACAAGGAACCCTGCGCGCCCTCTTGCACGGTTCTTTCTTTCTTCCGCATTCTTCTAGTTGCGACAGCACAGTTTCGAAAAAAAGTTTCCGCGACGCAACACGGCCTTGCTCTTGAGCATGCGGTCAACGAAGGCTTCGACCTAAGTCGACGGTAAGAAATGCAGCAGAAACGAAACGAGTCCGAAGGCAAATGCCTGCTGTATGCCAACCGCCGTCGGCTGGCGAGGCACCTTGGAGGTGTGGTGAGAGCAGTGCACCAGAGATGGCTGGCGCAGCTGGCGCAGCTAGTGACGTTGCAGCTGCCATCTTCACCCGCAGTCGTGTGACTGCATCGAAACCACAGCAAGCCACAAAAAATGTCTAGGAGCGGGGCCTTCGCGAGATGCTCAGAAAACTGCAGCGCATCACGCAGGATTGGGCAGCAGTCGTGGTCAACACCAGTGCGACAAAGGTAGGTTAGTTGTTTAACATTTTGCTGCTGATGAAGACTTTAAGAGAGGTGCTGCACAAATCTTCACTGCGGCACTACGCCATAATTCGCTGGCTCGTCGGTGCTCATGCGCGCATCCTCTATCAGCTGGCACCTCGCGGAGGGCCTTAACACGCAGCACGTGTCCCCAGATATTGGTTCCATTCACCTGGCAGCCGAGCTGGCTGTACTATGTCCAGTAATCAAGTTTTCACGAGAGCAGTGCACTTGGCAGAGCTGGTGTTGGTGCAAAAGGCAGTTGACCAAACTAGGCCGCCTTCCCCTGAAATACGCAGCATCAGGCAATGCCATGCGAGGCGGTGCCACGAATCCCCTTGCATCCCCTTGCTCTAGCAGCTTTAGCAGCTTTCGTGCCTCGGTCAATGCTCGATCAAAAGCGAAGCAAATGATGCGCACCACGTCGCTGTACAACCTGCAGGCACCCCCTCTCATCCTGTCACCCAAGTTGCGTTGCAGAAGCTGGCTGAATGTATAAGTGTCGGCACAAGCAGAACGTAGCAGAACACAGCAGAACCGGCGAAGGCTTTGCAATCGGCGCACTTCTTCTCGAAGAAGACCGGCCCCAGAGATCGGAGGCTACCTGGGTCACCAGAGACAGAGAGCCGTGCCAGAGGCTACCAGAGGCTGCAGATGTGTGGGAGGTTGTCACTTTGAATACCTTTGAGTATTCTTACCGCGACAACAACAACCGGCTCCATGCCACTAATATTCACTATTGCTACTGGCCTCATACCGGCTCGCCCAGCAGCATGGCAACATCCTATGTCGGCCCACGCAGGTCCATACCCAGACAGAGCATCTTGACTCGTGAAACACCTTCTGAAGCTGATCGGGACCTGTGGTTTCACTGTGTCTGCTGAGATCTCAATTGTGCTGGGCGTCCGGCCGTTTGCTAGCATCCAGTCCACGTAGTCCTGTCACAAGCGGCGCTGGAATTTGAACTGCACAGAGCTCTTCTGTTCAGTTTGTGCATGCTGCCCTCAAGCTCACGCCTGCCACACTGAGTTGAACTACACAATCCCAGAACAGAGCAGGGCTTTTGGACCTGTCTCGACATGTTTCTAAGAGGTGCTAACCCTTTGAAACTTCTGACCTGGACTTACATTCCGCGCCTTCCTTGAGCGCATAGTAAATGGTCTAATTAAAAGGATTAGGAAAATACTATTCTTGTATTCGCCTGTTAAGTAGTTTATAATCTTTTAGGGGATTCTTTGTCGTTATCTTATTGTTCCCGCGAGACAAGGGTAAAAAGGATTTCAATGAACTGGCTTTTTCTACACTCAACATTTGGTTTCTTCTTCATTTTCTATTATGATTTCGTCTTTCTTCCTTTTTCATTTCTTGTCCAATTAATAGAATTGTAGAAAAGAAGAACGAAGTGAATACAAATATAATATGCTAAAATACTATATTCTGAGTAGTTTTACAAGTGAACTTAATAAATGCACTAAAAGACCATAAAGTATATTATAAAGAGAACTCAATTATACTAAAAGTGAAGAATAATAAAAGAGAAGATAAAAAATTTGAAAATGAGAAATAGTAAAATATAAGAAAACAAAGTCCCAAAGAATATATTTATAGGGGCTTACAAAATTATTACAATTACAATCTCTTCTAAAACTACTTTATTATTAGCATGCCCGGGCAGTAAGAAAAGAATAATTAAAAGGCCCGGGGCAAAAACCTTAATTAAAAATGCAAGAAAGCAAAGTGAATAAAATATATTCTTTCTCCGATTCATAATGAGTCCACCATAATAATATGAACGTAACCATAAGCCCTGTCATGCAAAAGCTGGATTTACAAGTGAACGGACGTAGCGTTAGAATGCATGTTTTGTTCATTCACGAAGGAGTTTACGTTTCACTTCGTAAGCCATTAGTAAAAGCATAAAGTACGTTCATTAGGAGTACAAAGTTGTGTCATTCTTTTCATTTCGTGTTTCACTCACTAGTTTCGTTCACACTTTATTCAATTTATAACGGGCATATTTTAAGACTTCTTTTTGCCCGCTTTTTCCTGCGTTCCTTTCACACCTTATTTTAATTCACGCACTTTACTACGCTCGTTTGTAATTAAAATAATGTGTTCACTTCACTCTTTTAATTCACTAAATTAGTCTTTTAATGGAGGATTCTGTAGCTAGACCACATCTTACGTTCATTTCCTAATTATAGAAAGCCATTAATAATACTACTTAAGGAGACAAAAGACCACAGTTGATGCACCATGAATATAACTATGAAGTGAACACTAAGAATATAATAATAATGGGCCCTTTGCCAACATCCTATTTTCCCCGGAGCTTATTATTAATTGCATGAACGTAGTGAGCGTGATAAGAAAGAAAGGGAAAAAGACTATTAAATTCACTAATTGTGCCCTTTTGCAATCAGCCAGAGTAACGTGTTGAAAGGGGCACACCAGGTGAAGAGGTGAACTCCAGATAAACGGAACCTGTGAACGGCGACCCCAACTTGGAGTCTCTACGCAAACCATGAAGAGCCTCGACAGGATCTCGCTGAAGAGAATTCTGCTTCATGCGCTCTCCCTGCACCAAACTGCTCTCCAGGGACTTCCAGATCCGAGGCTGAGATACGTCCACCGCCGCACAGCTTTTGATTTTGGGCTGCCGCCCCCTCCACCCCCTCCCAATCTTGCAGAAACGCCAATGCCCAGAGAGCCAGAGAGCCTCTCGCATGAACTGCACAAAGCCTTAGTGCAAGCAGTGATGGTCAACAAATCGCATACCTTCAAAGCCTCCTGCTGCGGTGCTCTTGTGACAGAATGCTTGATAGGAGAAGCGAATTCAGATGACGCAACTTGATCCGGGTGCTTGGCGCTTTGGCGTCAGCTGCAGTGTAGCTGGTCCTGTCTTGAGCATAAACAAGGACGCCAAGGGCAAACTCTGTCATCCTTTGCTTGTCGGCTTTTGCAACCCATGCAAAACACAGCATCCAAGAGGTCCTTTGCCGCGCGCAGCGGCCATCCCAGCTGCTGAGCGTAGGTCTTTCAAGACCTGAAGCACATTTCAAGTGTGCGGAGCTTGCACAGCGCGTCTTCAGATCCAGTTCCGCAACTGCAGACGTTTACATGACAGCTTGCTGCAGCAAGCTGTTGCAGTTTGAGCACCTTGAGTGTGTTCCAGTGAGCGTCGAAGGGGCCGACCACACGAGTGCGAAGGCCGGCCTTGCGGGTGAGGTAGGCTACAGGTGCAGTGAAGCTGCTCAAGACTTCGAGAGTGATTCTTATGCAACGTCTCCAGGCCTTATGCAGGACAGTTGTAGCTCCTTTGGCCCCAGACTGCAGGGCAGACATCCAGGACCTTGATGGCAGAAAACAAAGCACCCCTCATATTCACACAATCTCCCCATGTACGGTACAATTTGCTTAAGGCACCGACTGATGCGAAACGGACGCAAGGGACTTGCCGACCAAATCTTTGGCCTGGAAGCTTCAGGGCTTTCAGGGCGTAGGACTTCTTCTTGCAATCAAGTGCTTGAGGGGGCGGAGTGCATACTTCGAGGTATATATGGCCATTCACGGTCACTGTAGGCAACCACTACCCCATTCCCCTGGAAGTTCAGCAAGCACACACCCTAAACCCAAACCCCACGACGGCACCTCTTTGACATGCAAAAACCCAGAAAACGATCCAAAAAGGAAATCAAGGCCTGACTCTACATCGTAATCCCCCAAACCAACAGGAAAATCCAAGGGGCTTGGTAGTATCCATCCAAGATCTGTTGCTTCCTCTGTCGGCCCAGGGTTTCCTCCAACGAGCAAGCCGAAGCCAACGTGGTGCTCTGGTTGAAAGGCTTCAACAGACTTTTCAAACCTTCTAGCGGGTCTTCACTTGGCGGGCTGGCAACGCCCCCTCTCCCCACCCACCCACTCCCAACCCCAATCCCCTCCTACCCGACACCTGCCACCGCTCGCTCCCCCATATCCCTCCCTGTTCGTGTGGTGATTGGGGTTAGGGGGTTAGGGTTTAGGGTCCCGGCAGCACCCCTGCCCGTGGTGTTGTGGTTGGGCTCTAGGTTCTTTGTTTTCGGGTTGCATTCGGGTTTGAGGGTGTGAGGCTTAATTTGGGGTTTAGGGTAATTTTAGGCGTAAGGCTTTGAGGGGCATTCTCAGAACTGTGGCGCTTTTGGAACACGAAGAAGCTACGAGTCGGGACAGTTGAGTTTTAAATTTCTTCTAAGAGCCCAATGCCTTGTACTGTCCACTGCTAGCACGGAGGCCGTAACATTTCGGGTTTTGTTGCACTTTCGTATTGGGACAATGCAGCGTTCTCCCCAAAATATTCGGACATTGCCGCTTTCCATCTTCCACAAGTAAAAACAAGCTGTACCGTCCAATGTCTAGACCTCAAAACGTGTGTTCTGCGTTGTTTGACTGATTTCGAAAAGCTCAAGACCCTGTACTGCCCCAAAGTCTTGGGCAGCACTGATCCGGGCGGGAGGCTCTCAACACCTTGGTTTTTGTGGAGCTAACATTTTCGGCCAGGCCTCCAAACATTGGGATGGAATAACTTTCTCGCGTTTTGTTGGGCAGTCAGGCCCACACGGGTTGCCTTCTGTTTCATCAGGCATTACAGAAGGACTCAGTTATCTCCGTTACAATGCGAAGGCCAGACGCATGTTCCCCTGCTTCTTGCGTATTATCTGTTACTGGTAGGAGGAACTTCCCTATTCTTCTGTGAAGCCAGACCCCTGCTACTTCATTTGTTTCAGGGAATGCATGACCAAGGAATTTTCTGAGTTTCATACCGAAAGAAGCAGGATCCATGACTCTGTATGACTCTGTTCCGTCGTCTTTTGTGTCCCTCTCAGATCCTCTCAGCAACTGCATATTTATACACTTCAAGCGCCTCAACAGGAGGTAGCTTCAGCGCCCACAGGCCGAGCTCCTCCGCTGCCTTGGCTCCCTGGGTCAGGGCTTTCAACGCTGTCGAAGCTCGCATTTCATTGAAGCAACTCTCTGTGTCTCTCTCTCTCTCTTCTTCTTCTTCTTCTTCTTCTTCTTCTTCTTCTTCTACGGGGCTTGCGGGGAGCAGAACCCCCCCCTGCGCGCAGGGCGCGCCCAGAATGTATCCAAGGTCTGCGCGACGCTATGCGCGACTGAGACTGTGGGCGTTTGTTGAGGTTCTCCCGAAACACCAAACAGAAACACCAGCGTGTGACCTCTCTCTCTCTCTCTTCCTCTTCTTCTTCTACCCAGCGAAAAGCCCGCGAAAGGGACCTTCTTCCTTCCTTCCCTCGCACTTAGCCCCCGGAGGGGCCGCCCAGAGGGCATGCAGTCTCTGCGATCCAGTCGGTGAGAGTTGGCCCCTAGGAGCTGCGGTTGACGATTACATGATTACCACGTTGCCAAACCCCCGCCCGGACAGCTCCCAGGTCCCAGAAAGTTAGATGTCCTTTGGGTTGGAAAGGGACCTCTCCCTCTCTCTCTCTCTCTCTCTCTCTTTTCGTGACATGTGCTTTCAGATCACATAAACTCGGGCCTTCGATGCAAGCCGATCCAGCGGCCTCATGCCTCAGTCTCTGATGTCTCGGGATGTCTCAGGATGAGGAGCGTTTGAGGCTCCGGACCGAGCTGCACGAGGTGCCTGGAGACCTAATGCAAGAGTCTTCTTCTTCATGGCTAGGCTGTGATCTCGATCAAACGAGGGCAGTGAACGAGCTGCTTTCATGTGCTCTGATGCTGACCTTGTCTGAATCAGTTTTGATCCTTTCTTGTGTTCAGCGGCCAGGTGGGCGCTCTGCACGGTTGCTGACTGCATGGAGCATTGAGAACTTCTTCGTCCAAAAACTCGAACATGCACCATCGCAACCAAACGCAAGCAAACGGTGGACTGAAGTGACATTGACTGTTAGTTTGCTCTCGAAGCAAATCACATGGTGCTCTTGCTTTCACTATTATTATTTGCTGGTGGTGGTTGGGGGGTGCGGTGGAGGGGTGCGGCGTCGGGGGGGTGACTTGGGGTGAGGTGTATGCTAGTAGGATGGGAAGGGTGGCGTGCTGCAGCGGCCGCCATTCCCTTTCCGTTCAGCTTCTGACTTGAATGAATGGCAGTGAACGACGATAACCTCTATATATACATGTTATCTCCATCATCGATTTAATTTTCGCTCAGCTCCCACCTACCTTAGCTGCCTTAGCTCTGCAGTCAGCCAGCGGCCTGGATGGATTCCAACACCACCTCAAAATGTCAGGCTGATCTCATCACGAGCCGGGGCAAAGACAGGTCAGGATTTTAAACGTGAAGGAGGAGTGGAACATGAACTGATGAAGTCGCCGCCTTTGTTGCATTTCGCATGGCCTGAACAGGGTGTCATTACGGTGATACAGCTGGAAAGCTCACTTTTCATTCTGAACATCATGAAGGCACTTTGGCGCCTGAATGCCGCTTCTCCGACCCGATTGCCTCGCGGCAAGCGAGACTACAGCAAGGATCCCAGACTCTTGGAGGTTCAGCGGCGGCAAGTAACTGCTTTTCAAATTTCAAACTGTGCAAAGAGTTTCAAGATAAGGTGAAACGTTGTGCTTGGCTGTCCATCACCGATCATGGTGACACGTGCGTGCCAATGTTGCCGCACATACAGGACTGTTTAAAATTCAGGTCAACATGCATTTCATTGACCTAGCAAAGTCCTTCTCATCTGCATACCCCTGTGGCGAGGTCAAGGCTCAACCATACTGTGACTGGCACTGTCCGTCAGCTTGTTGCAACTTCAGGTGGACCAACAACATGGGAGATCTCTCAGCTACATCAGGAGGCATCCAGAACGGCAGCCGCTCACGCCTCCGGGTTCAATCTCTCAAAATTTGCTTAAGCTCTTTCTCGCGCTCAGCAACATACAAGTGGCAGGCTGATATTTTGCAAGGCCCAACGCCTCGAGCGCCAGTGTCCACACCATTGGCAAGCCGGACTAGCTGGTCCTCAAGAGTCTCGCGCTTGCGAGCGTGTAAATACACCACAACCACAGCACCTAAGCATCTGAGAGCCCGGGCCATCTGAAGACTGGTGACGCCCTTCCCATCCTTTACGAACATTGTCCTGCCGGAGGGCAGGATGTGACAATGTGCCGCCAAAGCCTGTCTCGTGCACCTCTTGCCTAGGACCAGGTGCTCCGTACGCCAGCAGGTGTTGGTATATGCTGTGCTATGCAGTGCTTCGCCACATGCAGTTGTCCTCTTTTGTGGGCAGAACAATGGTGCGGTCTCACGCAGTGTCACCACTTGGGTCTGCGTACAAACCCACTTGGTGCATCTTCGCTTGAACACGGCTGTTGCTAGCGGGGCTCCAGCAGCCTTGGACAGTAAAACCTCAAACGTCCGTGTATGCAGAGCACGGAATGACCCAGCCGATAGCATCACACTAGCCGATCTGCTGTGAGAATCTGCTGACGTTTCTGCCACTCGTGCTGAAGCGCAGTGCAATACTCAGCTATGCTTCCTCAATTCCGGTCTGCTATCGGCATTCTGCAGGGCACACATCGCACGAGGCATCAGGTCATGTCTCAAAGATCTGTACAGTTCAAGGAGCTGAAGGTCCTTAGCTCATCGGAGCTCCTTCGCAGCAGGGAGTGGGTCTCCGTATCGGTCTTAGGCCCTCAGCTCCTCCTTCGGAATTTGCATCTCCCCAGGGCCCTCTCAGGTAGTCGGAGAAGGACCGTGGTGAAGCCAGACCACACATCCCAAAAGACATGTATGCAGCTGTACGCTCCTAAAGACCTATCCTCAGAAACCTTCGGCCTGCATCCAATGCTTGGGCTTGGGCGTTTCCTGCCGCCTCAAGCCTCAAAAGGCAGAAACTTGTTCAAAAAACACATCTGAAGGCTAGCTTTTTTTGTTCATGTGGAGCAAGCCAAAAGCAGACTTACGAGAGCTCAGGCAATGTGATGTCACCTTGCGACATCCACTGCGCTGAGCGTGCTATTCCGGCTAATCCCCAATCTCTGCATTTTGCGCTGGCGTTATGCGCGGCCTGTCAGAACAGCTTGTGATCTCCGCGACATGAGTGTGCTTTGGCCAATACAGCTCAAAATGCAGCTCCGAAAATGCAGCTCGAAAATGCAGGCTAAATGCAGGGTCTACTGAAATGGGCAGTGGGTGCAGAACCCGACTGTGCCCAACAGTCCAAGAGGTTCAGTTCGTCGCCGTGGCAAAGAGCGGGTAAAAGTGGTAATAAAGGATTGTGGAGGCAACTTGGGGGTATATGCTGGCATGTTTCTAGTGGCTAATCCGATGAGGACCAGGTGCCTTCTGAAGGCGGGACAAGGCGGGTTGAGTCGCTTGGAAAGGAAGGTGCTGCGGTTTCTCGTCGGCAGGCACAGCCAATATGTAGCCGCGGCAGCTTAAAACTTGCTTCAGCCTGTTACGCAAACGATTTCATGGGAGCAAATCTGACATCATCTGGCTGGGCATACACATCACTACACCTCTGCTTGGTAGTTTGACGAGGGTGAACTGCGTGAACTGCATATTGGCTTGAGGCACCTGGTGCCCGTGCAGCACCGATTGCGCCAACACCTTAAAATCTGGGTAGATACACCTTTTGGCAAATGCCATCAGAGTGCCAGACTCTTCTCGGCTCTGGCACTTGATAGAACGCAAGCATCCGATAACGAAGGGATCAGAGAACCCGAACCCCAGTAAACCACAAAAGCACGTCACATCTGGACTGTGCCCGCTACAGGCAACCTTTAATTGCATGGGGTTGCATGTCCGTTCCTCTCATTTCGGTGCTTGCACAGGCGGTGCCTCTCCGTGCTAGACCTTGGTCTATTTCACAAGCTTTGCGTGGCTGCGCGTCCAACCACAGCCAGTTGGACTGCTGGAAGCGAGGACGTCTCATCCAGTCAATGCGTAGCATCGCAGCCACAGGCGCATCATGCAGCAAAGAACGATCAATGACTCATTACATGTGCCTTGCTAACACTGTTTGGACTAGATTTCCATTTTGTCAGGTTTCTTTCACTGATTGGCACCATTTTTCACGCCAGATCAGTGAAACCGCCTCATGTGCACTGCCGCATCCTCAGCTAACCAACCCTGGTGGCCCTAGAATACGAGAGACACGCGCAAGACCAAGCAAGGTGAGCATAAGCCACGGCCTCCTTCTTGCAAACGACCAGGCTGCCAGGTACCGCAAGCTTAGGCTGTCAAGTCACATCGGTATCTTGCAACCGAAGCCAGCACCTTCCACCAAAGACCTCGGATGCACACATGCTTCCTCGTTTTTGGCCGATGTCTGCCCCCCCCGCCTCCATCACTGTAAACCATCACTGAAAACCTGCAAACCTCCACATTCTGAAGACATGGCACCAAGGCGGCCAGAAAAACCAGGATTGCCCATCGAGGATTGCTGTGCAATGTGGAAAGGCAGCTCGCCAGACCAGATTGAAACTGCGATGCATGCCTTACAAGCATCCAAGCTTTTTGCGACAAACAGTCGGCCCGGACCTACAAAATACGTCAACTCCTTGCGTGCGTACGTGCATGCGTGCTCGTGCGCGCGCGTGCGAGCGCAACATGTGTGTGTGTGTGTGTGTGTGTGTGTGTGTGTGTGTGTGTGCGCGCGCGCACACTTGCGTGCGTGCGTGCGTGCGTGCGTGCGTGCGCGCGTGCGTGCGCGCGTGCGTGCGTGCGTGCGTGCGTGCGTGCGCGCGTGCGTGCGTGTGTCTGAGTGTGTCTATGTGTCCGTGTGTCTAGGTGTCTGTGTGTCTATGTGTCTGTGTGTCTATGGGTCTGTGTGTGTGTGTGTGTGTGTGTGTGTGTGAGTCTCTGTGTGTCTGTGCGTGTGTCTCTGTGCGTGTGCGTCTCTGTGCGTGTGTGTCTCTGTGTGTCTCTGTGTGTGTGTGTGTGTGTGTGTGTGTGTCAGTGTGTGTCAGTGAGTGTCAGTGTGTGTCAGTGTGTGTCAGTGTGTGTCAGTGTGTGTCAGTGTGTGTCAGTGTGTGTCAGTGTTTGTCAGTGTGTGTCAGTGTGTGTCAGTGTGTGTGTCAGTGTGCGTCTGTGTGTGTCTGTGTGTGTCTGTGTGTGTCTGTGTGTGCCTGTGTGTCTGTGTGTGTCTCTGTGTCTCTGTGGGCGTGGGCGTGGGTGGGTGGGTGGGTGGGTGTGTGTGTGTGTGTGTGTGTGTGTATGTGTGTGTGTGTGTCTCTGTGTGTGTGTGTGTGTGTGTCTGTGTGTGTCCGTGCGTGTCTGTGCGTCCCTGTCTGTGTGTGTCTGTGTGTGTGTGTGTGTGTTTGTCTGTGTGTGTCTGTGTGTGTGTCTGTGTGTGTCTGCGTGTGTCTGTGTGTCTGTGTGTGTCTGTGTGTGTCTGTGTGTGTCTGTGTGTGTCTGTGTGTGTCTGTGTGTGTCTGTGTGTGTCTGTGTGTCTCTGTGGGCGTGGGCGTGGGCGTGGGTGGGTGTGTGCGTGCGTGCGTGCGTGCGCGTGGGTGTATGTCTCTGTGTGTGTGTGTGTGTGTGTGTGTGCGTGTGTGTCAGTGTGTGTCAGTGTGTGTGTGTGTGTGTCAGTGTGTGTCTGTGTGTGTCTGTGTGTATCTGTGTGTGTCTGTGTGTCTCTGTGTGTCTCTGTGGGCGTGGGCGTGGCTGGGTGGGTATGTGGGTATGTGGGTATGTGGGTGTGTCTGTCTCTGTGTGTGTGTGTGTGTGTGTGTGTCTCTGTGTGTGTGTGTGTGTCTGTGTGTGCGTCTCTGTGTGTCTTTGTGTGTGTGTGTGTGTGTGTGTGTGTGTGTCTGTGTGTGTCTGTGTGTGTCTGTGTTTCTCTGTGTCTCTGTGGGCGTGGGTGGGTGGGTGGGTGGGTGGGTGGGTGCGTGCGTGCGTGCGTGCGTGAATGCGTGCGGGCGTGGGTGTGTGTGTGTGTGTGTGCGCGTTTGTGTGTGGGGGTTTGCGTGTGCGTGTGTGCGTGCGTGCTCGCGCGCTTGCGCGTGCTTGCGCTCGTGTGTGTGGGTGCGTGCTTTCGACTTGTCAGGTTCGCAGACTCTCTGGTGAGCCCTTCGTTTCATTACACAGCCGCCTGGCAGCACTTTCTGTTGCTCAGTGGCCAAGGCGCAGAACACCACTTGTAACTTACTTGTAACTTGCTGTGCTGAGAGACCTAACTACTTGGAATGGCCCGTGTGTCTTGCCAAGAGACTGGTTTGCAGACTTGGCAAACTGATGGGCAAGCTTCTCAAACTTTTCGGAATCACGACACTGCGTGTGTTGCCTGATGGCTGCAGCGCAAATCAGAACTGTGAGAACTTGATGCTGTTAGGCTGTTAGGGTTCTGGGGTTTAGGGTCAAGCTGTACTTGTGCTGCAGTTGCCTCTCGGTTGGCTGCGGCTTTGATGCAGCACGCTTGCCTTGCGATGCTCGAGACGAGAAGCGGACAGGAGCTGCCATGGTGTGCCACTCTGATCACTCTGATCTCTGAGATCCTTCCAAGCCCTAAAACCCGAAGCGTCAACCTGAAGCCTGAGCCCACAACTCCAAACACATCGCGTCAAGCACAGGACCGCATGGAAAAACCACTTCAATGCCACGGAGCTTGGAGCGCTCGTCTCGGGCACGCTGCCGGAACTTCCTGAGACTTTCGGAGAAAGGCTGAACTCTTCGAAAGCCGGGGTTTGGAGGGGTTGTTAGAGTTTGGAGTGGACTTGCCGACAGACATAGTGAAAGCTGGACAAAGACCCTGCATCTGAGACGTGATGTGCGCCAAAATCTCAGGCGGCGACGGGACGGCGCGTCGCTGACCGATGAATTCCTGATTAGTTGAGAGCAGCCCAAGGAACCAAAAGGGCCCCAAAGTACGAAGCAATTGAGCTGCAAAGGCTCCCAGATGCTCCCCCAGTCAGCCTGCTCAGTTCTCCCATTGATGGCGCTGTGCCCGTTAGGGTCTCGATCTTTTTCTTCTTCTTTTTGGCCGGCTTCTTCTTTCTCTTGCTGACCTTCGCACTGAACTGATGAGCAACGCAGACATTCACATAAAATGGCATGAAGACAGATGAAGACAAGCAGCACTGGCTGCTTCACCAAGAACATCTGGAAACGATTCGGCAATGTCTGCCTGCGTCGGGTTGGAGCGGATTGTTCAAGCCAGCACAACAACTGCTGGCTTGGTGTGCATTAAGTCTTGAAGTGCCTCTAACCTGTTGCGTGCGAGAACATGGCCCTCTTGAGCCTCCGGGGAATCTGCAATCGAGCTCATGCGGTCAACGCTGTCTGCCACCGTGGAGAGAGCCACAGAATCCTTCGGAGCAGCTGGCACTGACAGCTGACCCGCAGCAACCCACAACCATCTCTGGGATCTTGTTCCTTCCTAAGCTGCAAAGTACACAATGCAATCGAGATGAATCGAGATCTATGGACTCGTGGCTCCCAACCCCTGCGTCCTGCGAGCAGTCCAGGTCCAAAGAAGGGTGGTCTTTTCCGCTTTTCTCTTCAACTGGCGCGTCGATATCCTGTTCGAACCTCTTTGCCGGCTCCAAACTCAAACTTGCCTCTTCAAGGGTGTCTGAGGGCTCCAGGTCCGTGCTCGAAATTCCGAGCTCGAAAGGCTCTAGGCTCTGCTGAACATGTTCGTCATGTCCGGGCAACTCTTGCATACTTCTGGACCTCCTGTCGTCATCGGCTGTGGACTTATCTTCGCCTCAGTAGTCTCACTTCTTCAAAGGTTCAAGGGTATTGTCGAGGACGCAAATGCAGACTTATGTTTCTCAGAACTGTGCTCCAGAAATAAACTGATATGACGAGAGCAGCAGCGCAGGGCCGCTGGCCATGGACGAGTCTTGCAGAATGTCTTTCAGCACGTCTGTCTGAGATTTTCGGAGCGTCTCAAAGTGCTTTAGGATCTAACATCGCTCAGGATCTGCAGTTCGAGAGGCGGCCGGTAGGAGCCGCCGCCTCTGCGCTCGTGGTGCTCGTAGGTTGCGCGGACGACCTGAGGCACCCGCTTTTCAGAGGCACCCATGGATATGCTTCCTTTACATGATGGTACATGATGGTACTCTGGTTCCTTCAGCTACTTGATTGGCCAAGGCGCGTGTCCTGATTGTCCTGGCCGGTCGTTGGCGAGCTACAGGAGCTCGGCGTCATACACCTTCGGGCTCAAGCTGTTTTTGCAGGCTGTTCTGGTGAAATTGACTCTAAGCACTAACTGAACATAACTTAACTTAACGACACCCTACGCCACAACTGTCAATGTTGCCATGTGCTGGCCAAGCATCATGCTTGTGTCGACGTTCCAGAGGTCCTCGCCATCTGAATCTGAATCGTTGGCGATGTCGGCCCATCTTCGGCGTGAGGATTTCGAATCAAACCGGCTGACCTGAGATGCAAATAGGATTGGGGTGTCGGGCTTCGGGTTTTGGAGTTGGCACGGCGATGCACGACGTACAAATCTAAACGGGTGCAACAAACCCGGCGTCTGCAGACTGGGAACCTCCTCACTCTCTGCCGCCTTCGTGGCGACTGGAGAACTCGGAGGATCGCCCGGGGGATCGCCCGGGGGATCGCCCGGGGGATCGCCCTGGGGACCGTCCTTGGGACCGTCCTTGGGATCGCCCTGCTTGCCCTTGTTGTGACGCTCGTCGGGACAGGGACTAGCCGTACTGGGGCCGTTCGCTGGAGCCTTCTCCTGTTCATGCCAAACATGCAACCCAAAACGAGGCTTCCAGCGCATGCAAGTCAAGAGCCTGGTTCACAGCTCTGTGCGCTCGGGGACGAGCAGCAAAATCCTTGGGTCAGAGGTAAGATGCTACTTGATGCTACTCGGTCTAGGATCACGGGGTGCAGCTGAGGCCACTATGTCAGGAAAGTCAGGCATGGACCCCCGAGCCCTGAAAAGTCCAGAGCAACACTCCTTTATTTTGATCGTCTGCGGCTTGGGAGCTGTGTAAGGTGTGTCTGGCTGCGGCGCCATCTTTGGAGCTGCCGCAGGCGGCGGAGGAAGAGCTTGAAAGCTGCACATCGAGATCTTGGCCGCGAGATCTTCCCAACAACATCGCAAAACATTCGCAAACATTGTGAACTGATATGAACTGATTGTAAAGATTGAAAGATGCATGGCAATGCATGAGACCAGCTCTTGGGGCTCGTGCATTCGGAGGCTGCGACGGCGCTGCTATGGGTGGCCCATGACAAGATTTCATCAGCGGCGCCACGACTGGTGGCTGCACCAGCGCTGGTGCCGCGGGCGGCGCGAAGCGAAGCTGTGGATGCTGTGGCACCTCTGGAGTCGGCGGCGCCGTGCTGAAAAACCTCTCGAACACAGCGCCGTGGGAGGAGATCAGGATGAATCGAACACGAACAAAACACTGGAGGAACACTCCCGGGCCCGTCCCCAAAACTACAATCCCAAGCATACTCACTTGGAGGTGCCCGTTGGCAACTGGAAGGTACTCGAGCCAGAGCAATTCATGGTCAGACATTGAACCAGTGCTGTCCGAGCAGCACACTCGTGCCTCGGTAGATCAAGGTTGACCCACAATCTGTCACATTCTCTTGGGGTCAGACTTTTACTGTCTTTTACTGTGGCTTTCATGGTGCTCAGCGGGAAGTGCCCTCCACGTGCGGCATGGGCTGCCCAAGCCGGCAAGAGGACTCGTCTCCAATTGTCTGGGCCAGCTCAGGGCTGGTGACATCTCCCCAACCTGAAAGACATGTACAGGCACCATGATTTCGACATGACAACGGCCCTCCACAAAACTAGACACCTAATCGGCCTGCTGAACTGGAGGCCTGCAGCTCGCACTTCTGCTGAATGAGTTTCTGTTCACGTGTGTCGAGGCATCTGTCTTGCAGATCCCGAACCAACAGCTCTGCAAGTTTCATCGGGCTTTGCAGCTTCGCCTTAAAGTGATTCCGAGCAGCATGAGCAGCAAGTGGCGGCAGGTGGCTGCCTTGCTGCATATGATATCCCTGCGGAGACGGGCTTGATGGAACAATACCTGCAACACTGCGATTGGCTGCCAATCATTTCATCCTACGGTCTCCTGTTCATACATCACACTATCACACTTCCCCAGACTCATCCAAGCCTGCTGACGCCCCCCACGGGCTTGATGTGGGGCTCACCCCTGTCAGGTCTTCTTGCGACCGTCCAGAAGAGCCCTTGAGTCGACCTCCGTCTCCGAAGATATACATGGCTCGAATTCGCCTGAAGAGAGAGGTCCCTGCCAAAACCCCCGTCTGGCACTGCTTCGTACTTTTACCCGGCAGGGACCCCTCTCAGTTGGGGTTTCTTCCCTCCTAAAGCTTTCGCCGCCGTCTTGAGCCTCTCTAAATCCAAGTGACAGCTCGCTGCTCCTTGATCTGCCTTCACTAAGAGAATACTCTGTGCCACTCTGTGCTTCCGCAGTTTCATCTCGACCTGGACCTCGAATCCAGGCGGTCCTGCAAACTCGATTGGCCTTGCGAATCTCCTGTGGCAAGCGGCAAGGCGGCAAGCGCTGTCCATGTCTGCAAGCGACCGCAAGTGCCACACGTGCCGACATGTTCATTTTCGGGGCCTCGGGATCATCCTCTACCAGGATTCCCTGACTGGACTTCAAACCTGGTGCGTGGAAGACGTGGACACCCTCATGGACAGCCGACAGTGCAGCCGTTGAGTGATTTTATACCCAACATCGGGCCTTTCTGCTGCAGGAGCTTCACCATCAACTGATCTTTGGAGCGCCACTCTGCCTGCACAGGGCAGAGCGATCACGCGCAAGGGCCCTTGTATCCTGCTGCAAGCAGCGCTCCGTTCAGGCTCTTGAGTCCCTTGAACTCCATGATGTTTCTTAATTAAGGCCCAGTCCATCCCCGTCCCACGGTCGCCTGCCAGGTTTCGCCCAGGAACTGGGGGGCCAACTCGGGTGGATTGGTGATCGCCTGGTTCAGACTGAGCTCTCTGCGATGGAGATACGCAAAGATATGTGCTGCCAAAGCTGAGCCTCGCTCTGTCCTTATCACATGCAGGATGTTGTCGCACTCAAGTATATACCGTTTTTGCATCACTTTCACCGCCGGGAGCCCCTCGTGGCCCCATGCAATACTGCAAACAACGAAATCGAGCCGTAAGAACGCAAACGCTCGAGCAGCGCTCCCCGCCAGTCACGTTTACAGCGTGAGTTCGGGTGTTTGGGAGTTGCCGAGGGCTTTGGAGTTGATGGTGGAAGGTTTTACGGAATGTTAACGCTCAGAGTTTGGGGGGCTACAACCTGATACCACGCTCACAGCCTGCACACATGGGCCCTCTGGAACTTTCTTGCGTGGGTGCATGGACGCGCGGAAAAACTGATCTCAGACTTTAGAAACTTAGAAAGCTCCAAATCGCTGACTTTGAGGGACTTCGGCGACGGGGATGCCTTATAGTTGCAAGTGAGAAAAGGTGAGCCCATGCAGTTCTCGCGGACAGTTGAGAGAGGGAAAACCGTGCACTCTTTGCGTTCAAGCTAGAAGAGCTGTGTGATGTGTCTTCTTTCAAATCAGTATCAGCAGACTTATTGCAGGAACTCTTGGGAAAAGTGGCACTGTCTTGCTCTTCCTCTTTGACTCTTTGCTGTTCTTAGAGGACTTACGGCATAGGTTTTTGTGCAGCAATTTTTGACACGAGCTGACGCGCCGAGCATGCAGCTCCTACCGAGCTCGTCCGAGATGCCGACGTTGGATTCCGCCAGCGTTGGTTGGAGATTAGTCAATTCTCACATCTCTCACAATTTTAGATGGGTTCTTCATCTGCATTTACTACTTGCTGGGTTTGACCGATCGTGTCGGTGGCATGCGGTGGAAGGCAAGACGGGAGGCCGTCTCTCCACGACAGAGCCATCGAACACCCACAGGGAAAACGTGGGGAAGGAGAAGGGTCTCGTGATCAACTCGATGTGCATGGAGGTTTTTCTATTTCAGTCATTCCGAACAATCTATAAGCCTTGGGCCATTTCGCGAAAAGGAAACCATTCGTGGAATGCACCCGGTGAGCTCTGCGTTCAAGGACGCTGATGATGACACAGACTGATCCTGTGTACAGCGAGGGGTGCCATCAAAGCAACAGCAGAACAAAACACAAACGAGAAATGCACTGCATTTTGACTCCGACGGTCTACATTCAGTTTGTCAGCAGACCTGTTGCAGGAGAAAATTGGGGAGGGCCTGACTGAAGCAAGGGGCATGAACGCGGGGGGTCGTGACTTCCCGTCCCTGGAGGGGACCTGAAGCAGGGGGGAGTGAGGGCAAGGCCGAACGGGCACGAAAATGACGGCTTGGTCTGTTCAGAATTTTCAGAGGAGACCTGAACAGTTTTGGGCGGGAGAAGCTGTGTGATGTGTGAGCACGGCCTGCTTGTCAAAGGGTGAAGTGCCGTAGGTGACACCAATGTGACCGTAGACCTGCCGCGGCTGGCAAGTGCTTCCAGCCAAAAGGCCATGATAGCACGACAAATATCGTCAAGTGCACCGCAGCACTACTTTTGTAAAAGCTGCGCCAGGGCTTGAGTCGGTTTGAGGACAAGCCTGATCTCTGTGGCACAACGTCATCAGTCCAGCCTGAGTAAAGTATGATCGAAGACCCAGCTGATGGAGGCAGAACTGCACGGGGCCGACAAAGCCCTGCGACTGGAGCGGTCTGCTGCGGTACTTCCGGAAATTTGTAGCGTGCCCTTGCCTTGGTGCAGATCACCATCTCGGCATCCTCCTTCTGGAGGCTTTGCAGCATCTTGCGAACCTTGTGATGCACTCATAGCGACTGTGACGTGATGCGCAGGAGCCACAAGTAGCATGTCGCATGCCAGCCTCCTCCACGCGAGCATTCCCGCCGAAAGCCGTACAAGGAAAGCCACCCTGACCAAAGGCAGGCGCGGTTGACATGTGGCTCACGCCGCAGGGAGCACGAAGGAAGTACACACCAAAGTACACACCCGTGCACGAACTCCCATATGCAATAACTTGACGAGTTTACAAACAGTTTAGCGTGTGGCATGTCATGAAGAATGGAACCCGCACTAGGCGCAATCTTCGAACACAAGAAGAATGTTTACAGTTCATGCCGTCAGGCGGATGGGCCCACCGAAGACCATACATTTGTCTGACCAGTCTCCGTTGACTACGCTGCCCCACCTGGGAGGCAAACTCACCAGCGCTCAGCTCCTCAATCCGCGCAACCTAGGTGGCACGGGCCCCATCGCTGCGTGAGGCACAGTTCTTACCATGGCCTGCCCGAGCTCGCTCGTTGCGTACGGCTTCGGGATGTTGGCACAAACTCCGTCCTGCCGGCCCAGACAACACTCACAATGTTCAGTGTGGATGTTTAGAGCTGGGGATGCTTGCGAATGTGTTTATGATGCTGACAAAGCAACATGTGGCCTGTTTCCAGCCAGCAAGCGACTTGAACACATGAAACACCTTCAGCAGAGAGTGGAGCGGGTGGGTGGGTGTAAGTCGACAGATTGTGAGAGAAGTCCACGTATTCACCCGCGTTCAAAAAGTCGAAACAGTTGATGCTCTCCCAACCTCCAAAGCCCAACTTCCACAATGCGGTTCATCGACTCAACATCAACAACAAAACCAACAGCAACAAGCAACAAGCAACAAACAAAAAACACAAACAACAATCAACAAGCAATAGAAACAGGCAACAGGCAACAGGCCACAGGCAACAAGCAACCATCACCACACACCACCACAACAACCTCCGCAACAACCTCCACCACCACCACCGCCACCACAACAACCTCAACAACCACAACAACCTCGACAACCTCGACAACCTCAACAACCACAACATTGTGGCATCTTCAGCACCACCGCAGCAACTAGGCAACCCCTGCCCCGACCCTACATCACCACCAGCAAAGAGAAGAACAGCGTTATCGCCGCTGAGGCACTGTAAGGGTCTGATCGAAGTCAAACATGTAAAGCCTGCCGTGGGCCAAAGATAGTGAGAAGAGAGAAGTGAGAAGTCCACCCATGAGCATATGGATAAATCAGGCTCGCCTGACAGGCTCCGCTGCACCAGCCTAGCATGTCAAAGAATCGGAATTTCGCAGGTGCCACCCTTCCCATCAAGGCTCCGTGACCTCGCCTTCCACATGCGGATGTGTAGCCAGGAGGCAAAAGCAACATGGATGCAGTTGCAGCAGTCCCGACTTGTGTCTCCACTGCGACAAGCTTCGAAGAGATTTGGAGCTTTTCTCTGGTCTCAGACTTTTCTGTCACACGGTCACAGGTTTGTCTGTTGTGACGATGCAGAGACTTCTGTGTGTGAGTGTGTGTGTGTGTGTGCAGGCTCCGTTTTGGCACCTGAGCAAAAGCTGACGTGCATGGCCGTGCTCCATCATGCCTGTAACATTCTGTGAACTCTGTAACGTTGTGCACGCTTCCATGAACTACACTTTTCATCTTGCCCGAGCGGATTGCCCGAAGGCCGACAGGTTCAACCCAGGAACTGCCAGGCGCAGGCGGTTCAACGCCTCCAGAGAAGAGTCAACGCAGTCAATGCACTGACATTCCAGCACGAAGCTCCAGGCACGCAGGGTCGACATCGGTCGACCGAACAAGCGCTCTTCAACACGGCAGTGTGTTCCACTTAATTATCGCAGCACATCTCTCTCCAGTACATGCTGCACACATATGAATACGGAGCCTGTGGCGAGATGTGGTTGAAGCTGACCTCGAGGCTCACAGTATGGTCATGTGGTGCCATTGAGACTTCATCTGCACGCTTCATGCCCATGCCGCCAGAGGGCTCTCAAGGTGCGCAGGGCCGGACAGCTTGGTAGAGCTCGCGCCAAGGCTGCTGCACCCGAGTCGCCGAAGCCTCTAGACAGAGTGCTATTGAGGCTATTGAGTTGCTTCAGTTCTCTACTAGCGGTCTAGCCAAGAGGCAGTTTTCGCTCAGCGAGAGCAGGCGCAGGTGTGCAGAATCTCTGAAGCGTCCAGCAATTGCTCGTATCCCTATGTCACCTATACCGTTGTCATCGAGCTGCAGCTCCTCGATGAAGGAAGTCAAAGTACTTGCCAGGAGGCTGGCTGCGGCGCTTCCCATCTGATTCTCATTCAAGCACAAGCTTTGCAGGCTGGGGCATTGTGGTAGAACTGTGGCCAATGTTTGGAGGCTGTCTCCCAAGCCGAGCTTGGCTGCCCGCAAGGTGGACAGCTTCTCGCAGCGTGGCAGCTCTGAGGCCAAGGCAGAAAAGCCGAGCTCTCCAAAGCTGTTTCCACTGATGTAGAGCTGCCGAAGCTCAGGGAGATTGCAAAGGGCATTGGCCAAGCAAGTGGCCCCTGCATCACCAATGATGTTGTGAGAAATGTCCAGGATTTGCAGCGTGCCGGGCAAGTGCGTTGCTATGGCTTCCATGCCGACATCGGTGATCTTGTTGTCTGCTAAAACCAGCTTCACAAGATGCTGGCTGTGAACGAGCACCTCGGCAAGCCGCAGCGCGTTAAAGTCATCCCAACCACGGCTTGAGAAGTCCAGCCACTCTTGCAAGCCAAGGATTGACGTGAAGGCCTTGTGGTAGAGCCTTTGCGACAGGGCCACCATGTGTGAATGTTCGAAGGCTTTGCTTTCGATCAGCAGGTTGAAAGCACTGGGAGTAGCAGGAGGGCTTCCACGGCATCCAGATGGCGGCGGACGCGGAAACGAGGACTCTATGGCTTCACTAGCTTCCACCATAAGAGACTCGGAGCACCCGAGGTTTGCAAGCATTCGCTGAAGGCAGGGCCACACATGTGGAGAGCTCGAGCTGGGCATGAACCATTTGGTGGTGCTTGGTGATGCATACCATGCGCTCATGTCCTGCAGGCTTCGCTGGTACACGGCTTCTTGATCAGGTGTTCGGGGATGCTGGTATAGGCTGCACCAGTCCAGAAATACTGCGAATTCCATGTCATGCTCGTGCTCAAGTGATAGTCGTTGGCGATGCTTCTCCACCATCTTGGCAAGAAGCTCCTGCATCCGGCAGTCAGGATCGGCATGCTCCCCGTCGGGCCAGAAGTGTGACACGACGATCAGTCTGGAAGGTACGTTGCCGGTCAAGCTGCCAAAATCATTCCAGAAGGCCTGGTAGCGCAGAAAAAAACGGCAGACCACTGTTTTCCCGCCCCACATATATCGCCCCACCTGCCTCCGGTGGTAGGGACTGGCGCCGAGGAAGGGGGTTCACCGGGTCAGCAAGGGAACGCCCGTGGAGCCAGGAGGCTCGCAACAGTGCCACGTGACCCTGTTCGATGGACCTGCAAGCATGCAGTTTCAAGCAGTCGTGGGAGCCATGCGTTGGTGCTCATCATTGTTTGCATCGCTGTGCGGACTCTTACAGTGGCACCTTTGCAAAATGGGCAGGCCGGCAAAGTCCTCGAAGACGTCCTCCGCCTGCGCAGTCATTGTTGCAATATGTTGAAATCTGCTGCAATACAGATCAAGGCATTGGGTGCACAGTGCCCACTGCACTGTTTGCGGCTAGCCCTGGCATTCTTCACATGGGCAACGTTCTGAAGGCAGCTGTCTCAAGCGGTGGCCTTCAGTTCACCATCCATATCCATATACGGCTCAGCTACAGGCGGGCCATTTGCCCGAGACCTTATGAACTGAACAACTCTTTGGATCAGCTGGCATGCTGGCAAAATGGGTCTCCATTCAGGCGAGAAGCTCACTGTCCAGGATCTCCTGTCACATCCGAGCATGCCGAACTGGTGCATCTGGCTTGGGTACCTCAATGTACCTCGCCTATCCGACCAGCATCCGGGAGCGGACGCACTACTGCCCTCCAAAGAGCTCGCTGCAGCTAGCCATTTGCTCCTTTTGTGTGTGTATTCTTGCTTTACTATGGCATTGCGTGAGGCAAGCCTGCCTAATTACTCCCCCCCCTTAAGAGCGTGTAGCTTTCCAACGCTCTTTCTCTTCATATTCGCTTCCATGTCACGTACCTTGCATTATCTTGCCGCCTCGTAGTTTCTTCTGTAAGCACCTGGAAGTGGCGCGCTCGCTGATGCCATGGCCACGTGGCCCCGGCCGAGGCGGGTCGCGTAGCGTCTAGAATTTCCTCACAACAATGCGCTCCTTCCCGGCTTCTTCAAAGCAGTCACCTGGCTCCACTTCCGCCTTCAGCCATGTAGGACTAAGTTTGAATTTGGTCGGTCCAACCAGGAGGGTACTAACGAGCAGTGTGATGTCCTTGGCGGGTAAGCATGGTTTTCATGCTTGGCGAAGCTTCAGATTCAAACCAGATTATGACGTGCCTGGATGGTATTCCGCAAATCTGCAGCTTCCGCCACCAACATTTCGGCCTTCAAGAATGCCTCTCAGGAGTCGCAGCTAGGGGTGGCAACCGGGCGATGCAGCCCTGCACACCCTGCCTCTTCCAGCTGATTAAGCTCCTATGACTGGCACGAGTTCGGCAAAGAAAGCAACGCAAGTGGCCCAAGTAGAGCTGCACATTTTTCCATTCAACAGCTTTGTACTTCACCGACCAGCACTGCAGAGAGCACGGCTCGCACGACCACGGTGCCGTACGGTGCCGTACGGTGCCGTACGGCGCTCAATCTGGCGGCTCCTTCTCGGGCTCGGCCTTCAAGAAGTGCTCCTGCGATGTCCTGGCCTTCATTCGAACTGATGGTGCGAGCATTGCGATTTACGCTTCAAGGTTTGAACAGCCTGCCTTGCGGCGAAGATATCGGATGCTGCCTGACACCTGGTTCCACTGCTTCCTGAGCTGACACGCTCCGAGTTTGCCCTTGCTCACTTCCAAAGCTCCGAGGATGCCCTGAAATGCCCTGAACATCGATTCTCGCGATTCACCCAGACAAGCAGCATGACAGAGAAGTCGACTTGATACAATCGCCTCAGCTACAGCCAAGTTGCTGAAACGATCGCCCCTTGGAAAACACAGGAAAACACCATCCCTTGCAACGTGCAACACGCTGGGCTTCATTTCGAAGGGCTTGTGGGGCCCCAGGGCCAGGGAGTGGAAGCCCAGAGCATCCTGTCGCACAGGTGTTGCACAAGTGTTGCACGTGTGAACGGAACAGCGAACGGAACAAATTTGCAAGTTGTCCGAGACACATGGAGTGACCGAGTGGCCTGGGAATATGCGTCCTCGAGGACCTGCGCATCCTTGCTGTTAATACGATGCCAGGTGGCATCTTGCCATTCCCACATGGTGTCACAGAAGGAGCTACCGCCGCGTCTGTTGAAAGCCCTTACACTGTCTGAGTTGCGACATGTCTCCATGTACATTCACATATCGTTTGCATCATGGAGCTTTTCGCTACATGCAGAGCCATAGGCGCTCGTGTGAACGAAGCAGCGTTTAACGTACGAAGCCTCAGAACCTCCAACTCGCAAGAAGGCGAAATCGAGCGTCCTGCTTGTCACCTAAGCCTCCCGAGCTTTTTTGTATCATGCCCCGGCTCCGTGTTGCTTGGTCAGGGACGAGAAATAAAGGCTCGCAACATTAGGACTAGATCTGCGGGAGTCGCACGGCTCCTGCATTGAACCAGGCGCTCGTGAGGCTGGATGCGACTCCAGTCCCTGGCTCTCTCGCTGTGGCCCTCCGGAAGCATAATTGTGCAGGGCCCAACTGGCATCTAATTGCTGACCAACAAAAGGTCATCCTGACTCCGTGCATCCTGACGCGTGAGGCGGTGCCAACTTGGTATCATCATGTCTGCGTAAACAGCTGCAGCTGCCACAACCTTCAGGCATGCAAGGGGACTAGCGTGGCAACACATGCGCTCTGTGAATTCACCGAACTCAGGCCGGGTCGCTGCTCAGTCATAGGTACATATACGTACTGAAAAACTCCATCGCTTCATGAGCTAACTATTCTAAAAAAACACAAAGACCAACTGGCACATCTGATGGTTTCTGCAGCTTGCAGGATGTCTCTGCTCCTGCTCCCGGGTCTGGATTCCGCATTTGCTAAACTACCAACTTGAAACGCAGATTAAGCTGGCAGACACTAACTTCCGGCTCCCCAGGCAGAGGCAAACGTTACGTCTGTGGGTGCCATGTGCAAGCGTGAAGTGCAGCTTGATGTCGTCACAATTTGCTGGGGAGATGGACGGTAAACTATTAAAGCCTTCTCGCTTTGAGGCAATGACCCCTGTGGCAAGATCATGATGGGAAGGATGTCCTGACAGAAGCCCTGTGGAAAGGTACTGCGGACTGCCCCGCAGATTGAGAGTACAAACGCAGGACATCGCAACATGTGCTGGCCATGGGCCGTAGTTTGTCGAAGCAGGCTGCTCTCACTTTAGACTCTGCAGCCTGCTCGACTTCAGCATTGAGGAACTTCACAGAATCGGTTGCGCAACGGTGCCAAGCGCTTGGTCACATAACCTGAGAGGAAAAGCCAGTGTTGCCGCACCGAAGCAATTGAAAAGCAATGCGATGCAAAGGTGCTACAGACGACTCTGCAGGAGTAGGGCATCTTAGGGCCGAGGCAGCGCACGCAGTTGGCCTTTCCTCCTCCTGTTTGTGCTCTGTCATTGAGTCATGCTTGTCCAAAACAACATGTGGGGGCCACATCTGGGGCCTCATCCGAGATGAAGGATAGGGCGGAGTAATCTCTTGCCTGCAGAACAGCTGGGCTATGCTGGGCCTGCGTGCTCAATGCTCATGGTTGTTGCAGTTGTTGCATGACTGACATGTGACTTGGGGCTGAACTTCACGTGACCGGCACCAGTTGCTTTCATCCTCTTCCTTCAGCATTTCTGTGAGACAAGAGTTCGGTCCAAGTTCTGAGTCGCAACGCTAGAAACGTCTGCCGAAAATTGAGAGCACGTTGGGTCTCACCGTCAACGTCGCTGCATCATGTTGCGATGTCAAGCTTTTCCCATCAGCTTCTTGCCAATGGTACGTGCTGGCAATCTCCGCCCGAGACATGTCGCAACGCGCATCACGCATCTGTTTTTGCAGTCACGCACGCATGTTCTAGCTCCGCACTAACAAAACAAACCAGCAATGACAGTGAGCACAGCCGCTTTCCATACTTAATGAGCACACACACACACACACGCACACGCACACGCACACGCACACGCACACACTCATATGACGTGGGGTATATATTTCTTGCATCCCCAAAAGGACACCAGGTATATACACTCACCAAGATTCAAAAAGGAACCTTATATACACTCACCAAAAACAGAAATATAAACCCTGCTTCATATGACACCTGTGTTTTGTATGCATCTCTTCGAACATGCTGTTTCAAATTCTTGAAGTCGTGGAGAGAGAATGGATCGTCTCGGAGGATCACATTGGCTAGATCACATTTTTGCCGGCAAGAACGCCCAGTGATGTTCTGCAGCATACAGGCCAGCTGCCGACTAGAAGGGTCAGCTCAACCACTTGCTAGTCATTGCCATTCCTGTTCAACTAGACTTCATGGCAGGCGTGCTTCTTTTTTCTGTCCTTTCACCGATTTGCAAAGTCTTCCACGGTCCTCTTCCTCCTCCTCGTCGATGCACATCATCCCTAAACTCAGCACCTCAGAGTCATTCAGCGTGATTCAGCGTGTCTGTCGTAGCTCTTTGCTTCTTCTATAAATCCCCTTGGGCGGCCAGCCCCGCCACAGGTGACTAGCTCCTGACCAGAATTTCAATTGCGAAGCTCTGCGGTTCAAGGCGAGTTGTTGGTCCTTCATTCTTCTCCGCCGCTGAACGCCCTCCCAGTACATGCAGTCCATCTGGCAGAGCGGCGGCAAAAGGCCAACATATCTCGCCATTTGCATCTGACGTGTGCAGCATTTCCATGAAGTGAACTCAGAGCCTCTGTCCACTCTATCACTTCGCCGACGACGCAGCAGGTGTCGTCACGCTTTCCACCCTTGCCTCTACATGACTCTATGACATGCCTGCTTAGAATCTGACGCGCGACTGGTTGAAGATGAGGGGCTCAAAGGACAGAAGTAGGGTTAGGGTTGGCCCATGTGACCCATAGGCGGTCGCAGCCAAACTTATCTTAGGTCAAAAATCACAATGAACAGTTTTGGGGCTGTCTAGAGTCTTGTGCAGAACATTGGCGAACATGCAACATAGGTGTCAGCCGTATCTGAGTAGCTGCAGAAGTCAGCCACGAGTGGTGATGTCACAGCTATGCGAAGTAAACCAGCGACTGTCTACGTAGATAGGCCAACTGCGCAGAACAGGGCTGCGGAGCTCTTCTACTTCGGAGGGAGGCGCCAAACAACACGTGTCGAACTGAGATCTTGGCCGATCGGCGTCTCCGGGTACTTGCCGGTCCGCAAGTCAGCCTTGCACAAAACTCCGCAACAGGTCAGTCACACTGTCACACTAGATTTCCGAATCCGCATGTGCTCAACCACCTTGGTCTTCATGTGACAGGCATCCACAATGTATCTGGCCACCTCCAGGCTGAAAATCGTGCGTTGTGAGAATCGTCACACTGCAGTCCATTTCAGTTCCATGTCCTGGGGGTGCAGTTCGGCTCTTGGTTGGTGATTTCTGCTCGGGCTGCTGAGGCTCGACAGTTTGCATTCGTGCGGTGCCGTGCAAACTGTTAGGCGCCTGAAGAGTCTGCAAGTATTGAAGATCATTGGAGCATGTCGCATGTCAAAGCCTCCCCCATGAAAGCCTTGTTCAAGGGTCGGAACCTAGGGAGGCAAAAAGGGACACAGGCAGAACCACTGGGTGCCCCTGACAGGTCCGCAAGAATGGTCCCCTAGGTGAGGGGCTTCTCGCCGGGAGTGGAAGGTCTCGGAATCAGCTGGTTGATGATAGCAACTACCTCCGCCGAAAGATTGCAAGATTCTGGTTCATCCCAAAAGGCACTTAGATTGCTTGCCAGTGAGATTGTCACCGTCGCGGATGGTATTCTGTCGCCAGGCCTCGTCCTTGAAGAGGTTGTCGAACACGCCATCGCTGCCGATCACCACTAGGTCGCCCTGACGTGCATAGAGCAATACACGCTCGGGCGCTTGCTTCCATGACTGCCGTGGGCATTTCCTGCCTCGTACACGGAAACCTTGCTACAATGCTTCTCGCTTGCTGTTCTGTGCCCCCCCAATACAATTTGTCTGTAAACCGTGGTAACCGTACATGGCCCTCCTCTCTCCCTCTGCCCAAGGCTGCAACCATGTGAACAGCGCTTCCTCTCTCGATCACCTCAAGGTCGTCGAAGGCATTGAGAGTGCGGTTAAGCAGGAATTACAGGGTTTCACAGGTGGTTAGACCATGTTGAGGTGACTGGGGCTTCGGGATGTCTAGGAAGATGGCTCAGGGAAGATTTAACCTTTTTCGAACTACTTGGACATACGCCTTTCTGCAAGGGCCAATCGCAAAGGCCTCAATGGTCATCCGCTCGTCGAAGTTGGGGTCAATTCTACCGTCAACTCGGCAGACCTGCTGTCTGCAGCCATGTGTAACGTGCACTGTAGATAGTTGTGGTATGCTGTAGATAATGCAGGGTGAGCGTGCAGCTTGCCAAAGCCTTGAAGACGAGCATGCTATACACCTTTCCTACCAGTTGCACGTTGCTTCCCGGCACGCTGCCTGCAGCGGACACTGGCAGTTGCCGCCGATGCGTTGCATCTCCGTGTTAAAGACCGTCTCGTACCTGGTGCCCACGGCTGCATGCGTGGCTGGTTTCATAGCCCGATTTCTCTTTGCTTGTATGGCTTTGCATGAGGCCCGAGCTGGAGTCTTCCGCTGGACATTGTCTGGCGGAGCACCATCAGCTCGCAGTCGCCTGCAGGAGCTGCTGAAGCCGCCAGAAGGACGCACAAAAAACATTTCCGGAACAATAGTTAAATAAAAGTCTCAAAGAAGCCTATCGAGATGATGGCCATCATGGGGTGCAGCTTGCCGTGGATCCTGGTGCTGTTGTCGAGCACGGAGAGGCCTCGGTCGTACGGCATGTGTCTTGTGGATGTGACCTGCACCATAGGCGCCCGGATGAACGTGGCATGCGGCGAATTTGCATCAATGACCTCCTGCCTGCGACTGCGAAACATAGGACGCGTTGCAAGTCAAGAGCTTTCGCAAAAACAAAGAACTTTCAGTCAGCATTCAGTGGGATTCAAGTCAAGCGGAAATGCCGTGTGCAAGGTCCCTGAAACTTTTCAGCGCAAGCGCAGATTCGATCTCGTTCCGTATGGAAAGCCGCTGTCAACCGGTCAGGCACGGCGCGAGCAAGCGCGAAGACGTTCTCGGAGATGGTGATTGCGAGTCATTTACAAGCACGAGGTACCAAAGGCACTGAGACCAGGAAAGCACTTGGCTCTTTCAGAGCGGCCTCTGTCTTCAGTGGACAAGAATTTGCCAGAGCGTTTGATCGATATGCCCGAATTCCTGCAGCCTTCGAGTCGCAGCTTCGCTGCTTGCATTGCAGTCAACAGCAGTCCTCCAGGGGCCTCTTTTTTGCGACCTTGTGGCCTGAAGGCAACGACGGTCCCAGAGTCCCAGAAAGATCTCGACTTCAAGCATGGACCAATGGACTCCCGGCCGCGCGAGTCTAAAGGCGTGCTCGCTTCGCACTCCCCTCTGGAAGGAGACCTGTCCATTATGGATGTCTACGCATGTCAAGCGTTGTCAAACTGACAGCTGTTGACAAGGGGGAAAGGACTGAAAGTGTCACAGAGAGCATGCTCCCTCAAGTGTGCAGAAACAAGCCCGAAACAAGCCGTAAGTGTACCCTGGCCAGGCTGACCTCGCAGAGCTTCCTGTTGGGGCTCAAGTCCGAAGATGCCACCAGTGTGCCAGAAGAGAATGTGCGAGTTTTTGAACTTCTCCGGATGTGCTCTGGCGTGTTCCTGGTCGGCAGTGCTCACATATCAAAACTATCATGTTACATCATGTTGCATCATGTTACTATGTTATGAGCTATGAGTGGCAGAGATTACATCAGTATGCTGCATGACACCCAGTAGTGGAGCTTGATGCTACGAGTACATCCAGTACCTCTCATGCTACAAGATTCGAACGGTTTGAAACATTTGTGTAAACTTGCATTTGCTGCATCCGTGCTTCGCAAAAGTGGTACAAGGCCTTGCCGGAGTAAACGTGGTCCAAAACCACGCCGGATGCAGCAGCGACCTCTGCAATAAAGGCCAGGTCCCCAGCTGCTGGTACGGCATAGCCGAGGCCGGCTCCATCATAAATGTTGAGGGCGTCTACTACTCCAGCAACCTCCTCCGGTGTACAGCCAAGACCCTCCGCCTCCTTGGCCACGAGGTCGTAGTAAGCTTGCGGGGTGTGCTGTATGTTTACGCCGTGTAATGTGAAGCCCAAGCGGGCCAAGTAGCAACCTACCGCCAATCCGGCCATGGTGCCTCCGGAGCCTGCAGCAACAACCACGTGGTCAAAGCCGCCAAGGGGACCAAGTTGGGTCATCTGCTCTTGCAGCTCCTGTACTGCCTGGAGGTACCCCCAGGTGCCAACTGGCGTGGTGCCTCCTACAGGGATGACATAGGGCCTGTGGCCTTTTGCCCGGAGGCGGTCAGCCATCCTTTGATTCAATTCATCTGCCGCTTCCAAGTTTCCTCCGAGCTGGTAGTACTCCGCCGCAGAGCACAAGTGAATCTTCGCACCCATGAGGCGACTGATAAGCAAATTGCCCTGCATGCCTCTGACTGAAAGGGGTTCAAAGGACAAAACTCTCACCGACAATTACACGCAGACAGAATCGCACAGACAGAATGTCACAGACTTGATCGCAGACGCACACACTTCGCTATCTTTTAGTCGAATGACCTGGGTCCTCATCCGCCAAGGTGTCCTTGACCAGCAGAACCAGATGAGGCTCCAAGCCCGCCAGGCGGGCGGCCGCCGCGGTGGCGCGGCAGTGGTTTGACTGGAGCCCGCCAACAGTCAACACCGAGTCGTGGTTTCCTTCCAAAGCCTCTGCGATGAGGAACTCCAGCTTCCGAGTCTCAGGGACCAGCTTCAGTGAACTCATACTGGGTTGAGAGCAGCGAAATCACTCTTGAGGGGGTCTGCCTATCAATGCCCTGTGCCTTGTTCCCAGTCAACTCGACCCCCGTCATGTCATCGCGCTTGATGGACCACTTCCTATGCATGGAACCGTGGACCCGGACACACCCACAGCCCGAAACACGGCAGCTTCGAACGAATCAGTCTGAGCTTCACGTTCAAGTCACGCAGAGCAGGACAGGCCCAGGGCATCCTCATGAGCAAAGAGGGAAGGCACAAGCATCCAGCAAGCTCTCACAGTTTGGATCTTCGCGAATTTTAGGTTCGCAGCTGCAGCTTAAATTGGCTTGAATCACCTCTGCGTCCAAGAGGCACTGGTGTAGGCAAGTGACCCAGGCGAAGCCGCCGATCCGGTGCCCGCAACGAACCAGCCCAGCGAGGGGCCTGCGATCTCGCACTGGTCAAATACAGTAAGAGCTCGGTCAACGGGGATCACTGCAGCACAGGCCTCGTAGCTCACACACTTCAACAGCTGCATGGACAAGCTGCATGTGGCGTGGCCACACGTGCCCAGACGCTTAGCAGGCTTAACGAGCAGAGCTTTTGTTCTTGCAAGAAATGCGTGTTGAGAAAGGTCAGCCCAAACGCTGCGGTCCGGTACAGAAGCATCTGCGCGCACTATCATCTACGGTCTTGAACTTTAAAATGCTGTTAACATGTTCTGAGAGGGACTTTTTGAGAATGTGCAGGCTGAGCACCTGGCACACCGTGGTTGAGCCCAGACTTTCCGTGTTTTCGAAAGCCTGCAGCATGTGCAACATGCGCTCTGGCGCTTCATCTGCTCCGGGCTTTTGTTCAGCCGTTGCCTCCCGCACCAAAGGAATTGGCCCCCTGTAGAGGCCTGAAATCTTCCCAGCCTCACCATGCAGCCCGTTGGCACATGCGTGACAGTTCATGCAGGCTTCTCGGCCCTGAAGAATCGGCTTGATCCGGCACCAGCAAAGACATCGCCTGCTCCTGGCAAGGTCGGACACTGAACGGAGCATAACCCCCACAGAGAGGCTCCGCCTCACAGCAATCAAGCAGCTCTCGTGGAAGCTCTGAAGCATCTAGTCCATACTCCTGAGAGACGGTTTGGAAGCCATGGATAGCAGAAACTGTGCATTTCGGCCAGGCCATGAACGGTGCAGTATACAGTGCGTGCCTCGATCTGAGACACGCCGTCTGCACAACCGAGTAGCATTGGAGACACCTCGTGAACAAGTGCTCGCCAAGAAGCTTAGGAGGCTTATTCGTGTCGCAGGCTGAGATTGAAGCCACCGTAGCATCTGCGTCTCGGTGCCCAGGGGCAATTGCCTTTACATACTTGCGATGAAAAAATGCGGCATTCATGCAACACATGCGCTCTTGAAGAATGTGCTTGGAAAGCAGCCGTGCCGAATCTGATCTATCTGATCTAAAGCCATGCGCCCCCCACCTTTTGAGGATGCGTCTTCTGATACGCATTCCTGGCTGTAGGGAAGCGTTTGGACTCTTCCGACAATCTCTGGACACAGATATTTGGGTTCAGCCAAGTTTCCCATTAAACATCAAAGGCTTGTTCTTCTGATACCTGCCGAGGCAATCCCCACTTGCCCCCCTCCCCCCCAATGTCGAACAGCTGTACAACAGTGATATGCAGCACGCTGCAACTTTGTGAAGTCAGGCTGCTGTTCGGCCAAGTGCTGCTCACGCCGAACCAAGGAATCCAGATTACTTCGCTGCTGGTCCTGAAAGGCATGCGGCTTGCACGCTTTCTCATGCTACCGGGAAGGCCGCAATGAGCGTGCGATTTTTCGTCCTCTCACCTGTCTATCTTCTACTGGTGACGAGTGCTCTGCCGATGCGCTGCAGTTACCGCTGCTCTGCAAGTCAGTCCGTGTTCACCAGGAAGGTTGGGGATCGACCTCGAACCACAAGCTGAGGGATGAGAAGAAGGAGCCCAAAGGTGTGTGCGGCTCTCAGCATCCGGCCGAAGGTGCGCTCCATGCCCGCCATGGCCGGAGCCTCCTGGCCCCTGGACACCGGTACACACACAGACACATACACGTGCACGGGCACTACAGCAAGATTCGCAAGAACCGATATCACGCAATCCGATATGCCATGACGATGTGAGAAGCTGGCGCTGCCACAGTTGCAGACAGGAGGCTGGCCCCGTCCCTTTTTTCACTTGCTGCATCTGCATCCGGAGCAACCCACAACCTTGAGTATATGGAAGTCGAACCAATTTTTTACAAGGCAGGTAGCACGTCCACCTGCGAAACGGATTGGAATGGTCGACAGGCCGCGGATTTGCGTGGCCTTTGCACAACCATTCAGCTCCCAGGCTGCGCTGCGTTGGGGTGTGCGCCGCGCAGCCTTGGGTGCTACGTCGGCACGAGCAGCAACCCCGGCAAGGCACCTCTGATCAGGCTGCTTAGGTTGCTTGGCTCTTTGGAGCGAGACTCCCTCCACATGTGTGCGTAGGGACGGCTCCAGCGATCCTGTCTACCATGCTCCCCACATGGAAAGCAGCTTTTCATCCAAGCGCCAGGGGCTTCTTCGCCACCATCTTGATTCTAATAGCATCGTCTAGATTTCTAGCACTCAATTTCGCCGCATCCCTCTACGTTTCACCACTCCGCATGCACCACCCTTGCGCCAGAATGTCAAGAATGCAGTGCAAAGCATCCCGGAGCCCAGCCTAGGCAAAGGCCCTGCAAGCTCAGGCTTGTCACATTGTCCGAATGCTTTGTTGTCCATGCTACTTCATTTTTTCTTCATGCTCTTTCTACTCAGTCTTTGTTCTTCATTGCCAATTTCGTGCTCTTTACTGTGCTGTCTGCTTGAGCTCTGGGCTTCCGGGTTCCAAGGCTTGTTTATTCCCAGTGTCCCTGGTCCCGAAGAAGTCACTAAAAAGGCAACGAATCGCAACTCCTGGGTCCCTGCGGACCGGGCCATCAAAAGATCTTCAGCAGCCTTCCGCTGGGGCCGCGACTCTGAGCAAGAACTGCTTGCAACTTCAACTACCTGCTTTATACTGGCTGTTTGCGCGTTTTGCAAGAGTCACCACAATTTAGGCAGCCTGTCATACTGCCGGATAACATGTGTCCACAAAATGTCCCCTTCAATCAATCGTGACTCGGTGCGGTATTTCACGGAGAGGAATGTGAAGTCTTAGCTGTGCCCCCTTCAGTCACTGCTCGACTTGCTGACTAGTCATCAGATGTCATCAGCTTTGTTTGGTACGATGTACCGTTCGGGCGTGAATAGATAGAGCACTCCACAATCCTTGGCCGTGTTGGCCACACTTTGTCGGTCACCTGCTGCCCGATTGCCGGCATAGCAAGGGGCAGCAACAAAACTTGGCCAGAGACCCCCCACAAACTACAACTCTTGGCACTCTAGCTGGCCGTGGTAGCGTGACTGTAAATGTTGATCGGAAATGTCCTGCTCGCCTTTAAGGAATCACTTCTGAAGGTGCCTTTTGCGCGGTTGCCTCTGGGGCCCTTTTGATGGCAAGCCCCTCTCACCGCCAACTGTGTCTAGACTGACACAACAAGCAAGGGCTCACGCAAACCTTTGCTGCTTGTCATGAAGCATGATTTCCTTCAGTTGGGAGGTATCACCTACGACCAGCCACAGTGGCTTGGCTTGAGACGGGCCTGAAACACTCTTTGCAACCGTGCTCCTGACGCACGCCGAAAACAGAGCATTGTCAGGGTCTGACCGTACAATAGGCAGCCATCAGGAGTCCCGGGTGCGCGACATTCAAACTCACGTGAAGATCATTGCACGCCGAGCTCTAGATTGGAATGCCGGCACTTGCACAGCGTCAGGTTGCAATAGTCTCAGCAACTGGTCCTGGGTGTTCTGGGCTAGAGGTTGCTTTGCAACCCGAGTTCGCAAGGCCATGTTGGTGGGGATTGAAATTTGTCCCACCAAGCATTCAAATGTGGCTGCAGGCACCATTCCCGGTGGTCTCTTCCTCAAAGGCTCCGCGACATAGCGAGATTCCTAAATTCCTAGATCTCTCAGACTCCATCATCGAGCCGTGATCATGATCTCAAGAGCCATTGAAGGACACAGGTGGCCCGCTTCCAAGAAGTCTGTAACAATGGCATACAAGCGCTGTCGCTTCCCAAACCTTTCTGGCCCTTGTGTCGGAGTGCGACAGCACCACTGTACTTCCCAGCTGCCGGGAACCTTGGCCACCATTTCAACACTTCATCTTGTCATGTCAACCATCCCTCAACCCAACGATCCTCGAGCCGCCTCAACGCCACCTCAAACCCTTATCTGCGGAGCAGCAAGTCTTGCGCTCGTTCACGGTGAGTCCTGGCGTGCCCCTGTCTCCGGGCTTCAGGAAGGTTAAGGTCTATAGATGTCTCTAGATGTCTATGGTCTCTAAATTCCGAACATGTCGACTGTCTACAGAGCCTATAAGCTACAGATGCCACAACGCTACACCCCATGTCCTCATCCTCAGAATTGAGGTCAGCCCAGCATTGACGAGAAGTACTCATCCAGGTGGTTGGAGGCGAAGGACTCTCGGCAGATTTCAAACTGTCCTGCAAGCTCATTGCGTGAGACACAAGTGGGAATGAGCTAGTGGGATAAGAGCCCACCTCCGAAAGTTTATGTTTGGCAAGCCATGTTCGTTTTATGCAAGCAACCAGTCTGTGGTGTGAGGATTTGGTGGCAAGTCCGTAATATTCAGCCCAGCCAGCACTACTCGTCAGCGAAAAGTCTACAGCTACAGCACTGCAAGGATCAACTTGTTTTACCGTTGTACTGCAGCTGTGACTCTGCTTTCCCCAGCTGCCAGCCGGTCTCTAAATGCCGGCTTGCAGCTCTCCTTGGCCAGCAGAGTCTAAGAACTCTGAGATGCGCGGTGCACTGCTCAGATGTGGCTCACAGGGGAACTAAAGAGGCAGAATGGGTGTGGCCTAGTGTGACGGCAAGCATCCGACTGGTGGAGCACTGCGCTTCTTTTGGCAAGCACTCCGCAGCCTGCAAACACGCGCTTTCGGCGGTGCAGCGATGCCATTGTGCCATGTCTCCCGACGATCAAGCTCCCGATTGAGTTTTGCAACACACACACACACACACGCACAGAGTCACACACATAAGGTGCAAATTTGCGTGCCTTTTGCCAGGCATCGCCTTGGCTTCTTGTCAGGGCTTGTCAGCTCAATGTTGACTGCAAGCAGCATTGTCAGGAACACGTGATGCAAGCAACATACAACATACATACAACATACACAGACATTTCACTATGTTCATATGTGACTGGTGCTGCGGTTGTTGCGTACTATGTTGGTGCGATTAGTCGTTCCGTCCACCTTCTTCCTGCGGCAGTTCCCCACAACTTTACAAAATCGTTGTCCCAAAGGTATAGTGACCTCGTGCCCATCCAAGGAATGCTGACGGGTGGCCGGAATCGCTGCTTTCAGGCTCGGCCATTGTTACACAATCTCTCCCACTGTCATCAACCTCAACATGAGACTGATGCCGGCAGACACACATACCATCAAGGAATCCCAGCCTCCCTCTCATCGCCCGTCAGGCTCTCTGTTTCTTCGCCTGCGTCAAAACATCCCCACTCTGCAGAACACCACGATCCACCGACCCCTCCCAGACGGTGCCTAGTGAGGCTGCAATAGAGCTGCTACCACTAGGACTGGTCCTTAAGTTCGCGGGTTTCGTTTCTTCGTCTCACTTCGCCCAAGCACTCCCGGGTGTCCATGCTCTTTGCCCTCCCAAGGCGAGAATCAGCGGCATCAGCAAGGTGGGCTTAGGACGAAGAGATCGCCGACTACGGATCCACTCTCTCGCGTGCACTACACCTGAACGTTCCAAAGAGATGTAAGACGTAAGGTTTACGCAAGGCGTAGCAAAACCATAGAATGCCACAGAAGCATGCAGCAAGAAAGAGGAGATCACGAACATCTCTCGAAGAGCGGTGAGCAGTAGGCTTAACCCTAGATATTTATAGGAACTCGGGTCTGCGGCCATGAGCGCATTGCAGACTAACCCACAACCCTACAGCCTAAATTTCTAAACCCTTTTTTCGCACATCCGAGATCATGAGTTTTCAGGACTTCCGGGGCTGTCTCTATGAGGTCCTTTCTGTTTTCGACCTGTGTCCGAGGCGTGTTTCGGACCCATGGCTTTCTGTTGTTCGTCCAAAGGCAAGGTGACTCGGGAGCACTTTTCCTGACCTGACGGTCACTCGACTTCAGTCATGCGACTTCTGTGGCCCGGACCCTGGACCCCTCGACAGGGAAGAGGCTGCTCCCAGGAATGCCTAGGTATGCATGGCACCGATGCCCAGCTCAAAACAACATCGGTGAAGACGAGCAACGCATAGAGGCATTCGGAGCCACGCCGACAGCCACCACTTGCCTCGCGCAGGAGAAGCTAAAACAATTGCAGCGGATTTCGCTGCCATCACATAACCAGAGCCAACCTATCATCCACGCAGCCCTGACGACTCAAACCACTGAGGGCCTCGAAGAGGCACATGATGGCCTTGCAGGCTCTTCTTTTCTCTTCCTGCGCAGATGATTCTCCCGACATGATTCACGGCCGTGATGCGCGACAACACGGTAAGACCAGAGCTTCAAGTGAGAGTCCTCTCCGTGCGCATATTTGCAGTTGCTTCGATCACATCGATTCTTGAGCCAGAACTTGCAGAGCAAGGTCTTGTCCTCAGTCCACTGAGCTACTATACGGCACCAGCTTTGGCAGCGAGATGCGTGTAAAGTCGCCGAAGCTGAGGAATAGGCCTGTCCAGTGCGACTTGGACTTCGAGGCTCCTTGCAATGTGACGATTGCTGCCTTGAGAAGCCAACCTATGTGCCAGTCCTGAGAAGAGGTTGAGCGGCCATCTGACACATTGCTACTGCCACATGGATCCGAGTGCGAGAACCAGCAAGCCTCAGCTACGAACGATTCAGGCTGACAGAAGCGTGGTGTCATCATGTGTCAATAACTCCACCAAAGAGCATTCCCGAGATGACAGCTTCCATTACGCAGGTGCTTGCACAGAATCGCTCCGCCTTGGCAACGGCAACAGAAGCGGGCTGAAGCTCTCTCAATGAATCTGATTCAGAGCTTCATTGATCCAAGAACATGTCTATGAACCAGATATTCACAGGAAGGAGAAGGAATTTGAAACCACCAAAGGCGGACCAAGCACAGGCTCGTTGAAGCTCCTCGTCTCCGTGTGCATACCTGCACTGCTGGCCACGCTGGCAACGGCCTTCCTGCCAAAACTTGCCTTAGCGCCGAGCGAGAGAGCGAGAGAGCGAGAGAGCGAGAGAGCGAGAGAGCGAGAGAGCGAGAGAGCAGATGGCGGATCGCACCACGAATCGCGCTTTGCTTGCTGCTGAGCCGCATGGCTGGGTCTTGTCATACCTTCCAAGCTGCCAGTCCTGCATGGACAGGCTGCTGCACTTTGGTCATCCTGACACTGCCGCTGCCACCGCATGTCGCTGCCACCGAAGCACGCGTTTGTAGCTGCTGGGCTCCAGGGGCGCAGCTGCGGGTCCCAAGGATGGCGTGTCCTCGGACCGTTGGGCGCAACTCGCGCTCCCTCCCGATCCCTCCAGAATCCCTCGGTCGAGTCGGGGTGCGAATGGGTGCGAGGTCATTGCGAGGTGTGCGGTTCGCGGAATTTCGTGGAGACCGAGGCACAGCCTCAGAGGCGGTCGTGGAAGCAGCGCTCTTCCCCTGCACAGGTTATCCAGCGGCGCCATGCGCCATGTGCTTCAACAGCTTCTCAGCTTCTCCGCAGTCAGCATACTTCTCATACTTTGGCAAAGTTTGTGGGACAACGTGACAGAGCTCCGTTGCCTCGCAACCGCCTCGGGACGTCACAGAACTGAAAAGGGACTCGGGGCAGAACAGAACAGAGCAGAACTTCGGGCTGCTTCCGAGTCACTCCCAGGCTCTTTCTCCTCAGCTGTGCGGCTTTAAGGCATGGCCAGCTTGGGGGTGACCTGGGGGTGTTTTGGGGTGTTTAGGGGTGCGGGTTCAACACCTTGCATCTAGGCTGCGTCGCTGCTGTAAAAGGGATCCCCAGCCTCCTCTTCCAAGACGTGCCTCCACATCAAACAACGCAAGAATTGAGGATCCTTCTACTGTTGTGCGAAATATGACGGATGCAAGAAGCTCTTCGCCAGAGGCTCGCTTGCGCAACTAGTTACAACTGACATTTCTCCCAGCCTGTACAAGCAGTCTTGTCCCAGGCGGCAGTACCTTTTTGTGTGAGGCCGCTGTTCTACTCTGTCTTACTCTCAAAGATGATGTCACCTGAATTCCGCAACCCCAGCAAGAGCAGTGTGCGATAGAATGGGGATTAATTTAATGCACTCTGCCAGGCATGGCAACGGCAAGGCATATTCCTACATGATCATTCGTGGCACCCGCTCGCGAAGAACTGGCAGGTCAACGCCTGGCACGCCTTTCTCTTCTCTTCCTGCCATTTGCGTTTGCAATCTGTATCATTCGTGCAGCTCCTGGGTGGCGCTTACAAGCGTACAACAAACAAAGCGTATCTGCGTAGCTCTCCTCGCCATGTGCATACTTGCAATCGTCACGCTGGCAGCGGCTTTTGAGCCAGAACTTGCCTCGGTGCTGTGCACAGAGGAAATCAGTTTCGTGTAGCTTCACACATCGCACTTCGAACATCCCAAAGAATCCCAATGCTGGGCCAAGGCACAAATCAAGGTCTTATCGGACGCTACTGTCATCCTGGTGAAAAAGGCTTCACCTTCTATCTGCTGCCGCCTTGCGCGCCTCGATGGCGCATCACCTGACAGAGCGCATCCGCATCGGCCCTCTATCAAAAAAATGCTTGAAGCTACACTCTGTCAAAGTTGGTCAAAGTTGCCTCGACGTCCCTGGTTGATAACAGTTGGTCTTGAGCCATATACTGCGTTGCACGCGGAAAAGCTTTAGCACAAAAACATGGCCTCGCAACGTGACATGATTTTGTCGAGCAACGCGTCGAACAAACATGACGGTGCCGCCTTTTCCCTTTCCGGGATCCGCCCCCCCCAATGTGCTAACCACAAGCTTTGCCGAACCGAGAAGGAAGACCAGCTGCGGCTGCTTGCTTCGAAGTGCTTCGAGATGCATCTGAGACATTCTGAGACATGTGAAAGACAGCGTTCCCAAGTACCTCCACATGGTTCTACATTCTACAGCCGAGGCTTGCACTGCGTGATGCCGTGCAACCCTTTTTGTCTCCGAATTCAAGCTCCCACTTTGGGCGCAGGCGAGATGAAATAACAAATGGAGTCGCGGGGACACCGGAATTTCAGCAGTCCTCCACCATCTCTTTCGGGCAGCCTCTGCGGGACGGGGGTGAAACATCGTGAAACTCCTCAGCCACGACATTCAAGCATCTGCTGGCATCTGCGACCGAACATATCGTCTGATCCCGAAAATGACAACGGACACATTCGCCACTGCCTAACTACCGCCAGCTAGATTTCTCTGGATACTTCGAAGGTGAGATTGGCAACCCTGCCACTGACCTGAGCACCCGAAAACACGCAGCGTTCCCCGGAGACCACGGCATTGGCATCCCATTCATGATTCTCAAGGAAACAAGAATTCAGCACCGGATGCCCGGCACGGCCTGCAAAAGCACAGGACCATTGGAACCAATACACCGCTGTGGCTCGCGCTCCAAGTTGGCTTTGCCCGGCGAGCCCACTTGCGGGAGGAGAAGCGGGACGGACTTTGAGCCTGCCATGCCTCGCTGGTTCGGTGGATACCAACTTCTACAAGACGCATCTGTTGAAGGCTAGAAGGGTGCGACTTTAACCCCTGCCTGGCAGGGGGACCGAAGGTCGCTCTACCGACCTGCCACAGCCAAGTCGCATTCAACCAACTAGTTATGCCAGATGCATCACGAAAGTCATCACGAAAGTGGCTCCTGCTAGAAAAGGTCAAAGCTTTTCGCAATTTTTCGGCTTTCTAATCTTTCCTTCTCTACTATGTTTCCATAGAAACACGCTAAACTTCCCAATTCGCCTTTAGGTTGCAAATAGAATGATGCAGGCGGCAAAAGGATCCGAGGAGGAATGGGCCCACATCTCTTTCCGTTTCGCAGCTGTGCGTTTGGGGTTGCAGCGCCAGCCACAAGCAAATAGAATGATGCAGGCATGCACAGATATGCACAGCACAGCCGGAAACAAGCTTTACATTTCCCGTTTGCAGCCCAGCCAGTTGAAAACAAATCATGCAGGCACGAGCAAACTTGCCTCGTCGGTTCTGGCCGAAAGGCGTCTAAACCCCCCCTCCAAGCACACCGAACTCATGATTGGCGTGGTGCTGCACCTGACGTAAGACTTTGCTTTCCTTCGTCTGCGATGCACGCTCTACACCCCGCACCCCCCCCGGCTGTCGAGGCGGCGCACACAGGCGTTTACAATCAAAATAAACAAGCACTGCATTACAAGTGCAAAATGAGCGGGGCCCGGAGACCAATTGACCGACCGCCGTCTGGAAGACGGACCGACTGACCGGCCGTCTGGCTACAAATTGAGATAGGCACATGCAGGAAAGCAGAGGACAGCTACAACTTCATTGCAAGTGACAGTTGATTGTTTGCCGCCTCTCATCCATAGCGGGAGCCAGGTGTGCATATTGAGGTGCCCGTCCTGCGTTTGAACCATGCGTAGAACATCTCAAACCCCGCCGCGACTTAACCCTGGCACTCGCACTCAGTACCCGGCGGCGTGCCCGTGGCTTGGGTTCCTGTGCAGCTCATTTGACTTCATCTTATTCCTTCAACCAGATCGCTGCAGCTCTGCTTCGAGGCGTGCATGTGTGTGTGTGTGTCAGCTAATTACACAATCAGAAGCAGAATTGGGTCTTGCTTTGAAACTCCGGCGGTTGACCCAACTGCCTTGCCGTAGGCTGCATCTTTGAGCTCCCGCACGAGCTCCATGCCTAGCCGCCATCCAACCGTACAAAGGCAGAACATTCCTGCGAGGGATAACGCTCAGACTTGTCGCTCTTCTGTCTGCCGAGGCAGGAACTTCCCACCGATGGATGATTCACCACCTTCCTGAGCTTTGCTTTCCGCTGTCCGTTTGCACTCAGATGCTTGTTCGCAGATACGTTCTTTCACCGAAGCGAAGAGCTCCATGCATTGCAGCTAGGGCGCATCTGGTCGGCCATGTTCCCGAAGGGGCCACCCCTCACCTGACAAAGGCCAAGCTGGTCGCTCAGACCCCGGCATTGCCCGCAAGAATGCCCTTTATCCCCACCTAGCTTGCTGGGATGACAAGTGAGGGTTATGAGGGTTAATGCCCTGTGAAACATGCAAGCATGGATATGACCTGTGTGGTGTGCTCCATTCGGATCTCCTGCAACTCGACTCCGCAGAGAACACTGTCGTCTGCATCAACCTGGTGATCGAACTCAGGGTTTGCTTCACGGGGTTGGAGATCTCTCGAAATCTTGCCACTTCCATCGCCCTGCTACTCAGCTCTTTCAACTCTACAACCGGCTGACATCGGCACCTTGTCCTGCAAGCGACAGAAGTTCCCCCGGCCTCAGAAGCCGCCCCGAAGTCTCAGTCACATGCAAAAACGTTGAAGCGGCCGCACCGTAAGGCTCTCTGTCAGCATAGTGGTGGTCCCAGTTCCTCACCTCAGGGGAAGCCAAGCGCTTCAACGCTTCGCCCCAAACGCAAAGGGTTGAGGATGGTTGACGACCATTGGGAACTCTGCTCCTGAACCCTGTCCAGGAGATTCGAGCGCTGTGTCCAAGAACCTTCGCACAGTGGACCTTCAGGGTCTTCTGGTGCCCCTTGGGCTCCCGCTGCATCGCCAACGAAGGCCTTGCACTTCACATACATTCCTGCTCAGCAAACATTGTGGATAGCAGACATCCTGCCAACAGGTTTCCAAGACCACCAAAACCGAGCCTGCGTGGTGTGAGCAAGTTCAACAAGCACGTGCAACTTGAACTGCGGGCTCATGATATTCCAAAACCCCCAGCTATCAGACGCTTTCGAGACGGAGCCCTGTCGAAGCTGCATGCCTTCCGCTGAAACAGAGGTCGAACCGTAGGGGCGTACGGCCTTCTCTGGCACTTTGGGCACATTTTATCACCGAGTCCTTTTGGGCAAAGGAGGAAGAAGCCGCAGGTCTCCTGAGCAGCAGCGAGGCGCCACGCGAGAGAAGAGAGTCGCTCTCTTTCGCTCCCCGTCCTCGCCCTTGGCTCGATAGCCCAGAGGATACAAGTGCAACCTCAGGCTCTTTTAAGAGCTCAGCTATTTCAGCTCAAGATGCAGAGAGCTGGTTTCAGATCCAGCTATTTCAAGCTCTTTCAAGATGCAGAGAGCTGGTTTCAGATCCAGCTATTTAAGCTATTTCAAGAACTCCAGCAGCTCAGGGAACAGTGAGCATGCTGCTGTTTTGAGGCTAGTGCAGCATGCAAGCTCACGGGCGTGAACGCTTTAAGTTAAAAATCTTTAACCATTAAGCCTCCGGATCTTGCATGGGTGTGCTACGGGCTGCTGACTGAGTCTGCAGGGACTTCCCCTTCGTCACACATTCATGAGGGCAACAACGTTCATAGCGGATGCCATCTACAGCATGGCAACTATGGGAAACTATGAGAAACTATGTCATGTAGGCCCACATCGAACCTGATCGAAGCTCCACTTCCATCCACCTTTTCTTGGCTCCAGGCTGCAGCCCTTCGAACCCCCCTGCTGCGAAGGGCGGGGACACGATGGGCTCCCACGCCTGGAGCAGGCTTTCAGAACTTAGAAGCAATTTAGGGGACCGAGTTTAAGTAAAAGGGTGTTATCTTATTGGGGGGAAGTTTTGGGATGGAGATCTCGGAGCTTAAGGGGGGCTTTTGCCAGTTGAGAGGGTTTGGCCCTGTTTCTGGAGGATGAGAGTCTCTCGAGTATGATCCAGCAAGCCTCCTCCGCACCAAGCTCATTTGCCGCAGCTCGCCTAAGCAACTGCGCATGTTGTTAACATCAAAGATGCACACTGCAGACATGTCCTTGCGCAGCCACATTGGGCACCATGCGCAGCAGCAACTCGCTCGGAGATGCGAGCAACACGCCATTCGATTCGCTTGACCTCTGGTTTCTGAGTCTCTTCTGCTCTCTTCTGGTCTCTTTTCTTGTTGAAAGTACTTGGTGTCCGGGCCATTAGTGAGCGAACTGCTGTGGCCTCTCGCGCTGCGGCCTCCCGCACGTGGTGGGAAGTTGATTCAGAAAGGGTAGGCTCGTGGGTCTTAGGTCTCAGGTGGCTTCTCTGCATAGTGCCTGTGCTGCATCTGCAAATTTCACGGATGCAGACAAGCAGGGTGGGTAGTTGACCTGGCCGACGTTACACAGCATGAAAATCCGTGAAAGGTATCTGCAGAGCTGTAAGTGTCATCTGCGCCCGCATTCGTTTTGTCGGTGAATAAGCATGAAGGCGGCGCCTTCATCAGCGGCGCAGTTATGTCCAGAATCTCAAGCCGCACCTGAGCATGGCTCCCCCTTGGCAGATTAGGACTGATGCCCCAAGGTACAGTGCCCACATTCCCAAGAAACAGGGGCCGGTGCATTCATCGTCTTGTCGATGCTGTCCAGGACCTGACTGAAGCTTTGGCCAGGTCATCAAGAGGATCGTCGAATCCAGGATCCCTGCCGCCAGCCGCTGCGATCCCCACTCTGGGGCTTCGTCGAACTCTGCAGCAAAAGACCTAAGCTCCCGAGCCAGCGTCGTGTACACCGGCTGGTTTTGGAAGGCTCATGAATGGACAGCGCGAAGAGGACCCTGCAAGTTGAACCTTAATCGTTTCAGCTGTTCAAACTAGGCATGCTCGAACTCGTGACCTAAGTTCGCATACTGTCCCGGCTCCTTCTTTATCTGCCAAACAGAATCAGGAACTAACAGTTGTGAAGGCAACACAAGAGCACCGCTCCCAAACTAACTGAAGAGGATAGGTCAGCCTAAGTTAGATATCTGGCTGTCTCGGGTCCATAGCATACTCTTGGCGCCAAGGTGTAGACGAAAGGACACCTGTCCACTGCAGCATCTTGCTGAGGGTGCTGGTTAGTTGTTGGGTCTCCTCCGCACACTTGAACCTCATGAACCTCAAGCTTGCAGAGCAAACTGCTGTAGCTGAGCCGTATTTCCGGAAATATCTGGAAATTACTCCTATTGTTTCCCAAGGAAAAGAAGGCACGAAACATGCCATTCTCGGAATCCCTTCCCGCCCGGCCTGGCCCCTTGGAGCTTGAAGGAAGACTCCAGCCGACCAGCGACTCTCGCGTGCCTGCAGTGTGCTGGAGGTTTATCTGCCTGCTTTCTGTGCTTCGGGCTGCTCCGGGGCTGAGCTTCATCTCCTGAAGCACTTCTTTATGAAAGCTGCATGAGATATGCAGATGGAAAGAAAACACGTAAATGAACATGTAGTGTACCTGCAATGCAATGTACATGTACATGTACATGTCATGCGAATGTCATGCACCTGCAATGTAACAGTAGTGCAAATGTATAATGTGAATGTACTGCGAAGGTAACTGTGGATGTAATGTACATGTGATGTGAATCTAATGTACATGTAATGTCAATGTAATGCAAAAGTACTGTAAATGTAAGGTACATAAACGGTAAATGTACTGGACTGTAAATGTCGTGTGAATGCCGTGTGTACATGCCATGTAAATCAATGTAAATGCCATGCCCACGCCAACGCCATGTAAATGCCATGCACGTAATCATGTGATGTACATGTAATGTAAACGTACCGTGAACGTAATGTAAACGAAATGCAAATGTAATGTAAGCGTAATATAAACGTAATGTAAACGTAATGCAAACGTAATGTAAAAGCCTAATGTATATGGAATGTGAATGTAACATAAATGTATTGTAAATGTAACGTAAATGTAACGTAAATGTAATGTAAATGTAATGTAAATGTAATGTAACTGCAATGTAAATGCAATGTAAATGTAATGCAAATGTAAAGTAAATGCAATGTAAATGCAATGTACATGCAATGTAAATGCAATGTAAATGCAATGTAAATGCAATGTAAATGCAATGTAAATGCAATGTAAATGACAATGTAAATGCAATGTAAATGCAATGTGACTGTCATGCAGGTGTAATGAAAAGGTAACTTACATGTAATGTTTGTGTAACGTAAGTGTCTGTACATGCAGTGTAAATGTACATGTAAACGTTCATGTAATGTACATGTACTGCAAGCGTCATGTAGAAGTAATAAATATGTAAATATGTGAACATATGATATGCGTAAAACATGAAGGTAATGTAAAGGAGATGTCTAGATACTACACATGCAATGCCAACTCGCCGAGTGGTATGCAAGGAAGCAAGCGTACTTTCCTTCCGCAGCGAAGCAGATCTCGCGGCATTGATCTTCCAAGAGGCCATGCGACTTGAACCCTCACTATCGCCGTGAGATGTCGTGACGCTCTCGACCTCCATTTGTGTGGGACCAGGTTTCAGTCCAATCAGGCCAACAATAACAAGCCATGCTTCCAAAACTCTTGCTTACTGTCATGTGCTGAAACTTGTCTCAAATTTGGCAGATCGAGGCCGGTAAACAGCTAGCACTGATCCCCGTCCCAAAGTGCCTCGAGATTGAGCTTCCGTAGAGCAGCTTCCAAATCTGGCGGAAGGTCCTCGAATAGTCACCAAGAGCAAAGGCAGCGGCTACGGTATCGATGATTGTTGAAAACAAGCTTCAGCCAATTCAAAGATAACCACAAATCTACAGCCTGGGTGCTACGCTGAACGCCTCCGAACGAACAATCCCTAGCAGTACCAACCTGACTTCAAGTGTTTATCTCAGCGGACGTACCGGCTGCGGTCCTCAAATGCTTCCAATTCCTGGCCAGAAACGTGAAAGACCAGCTTGTGCCGGTGCAAGAAGTTTCGAGGACACCTGACAGAACCAAGCCCAGTCAGTTTTGCTGCGTGGCGCACTATACTGTACGACTTTACACCTCTTTCTCACCAAGCCACCAGGCCAAGTCCTCTGCGTAGGTGCTCGTGGACGAGTACTTCCCATCAGTCAAGGTCGGGTGCCCAATGTAGCAAGTGTGAACCCGAATTTGGTGTCGGCGTCCAGTCATGATCTGAACGTGAACCAGGGTAAAGGCTCTGTGGCCGTGAAATGCTTGGGCTAGTGATCGAACGCTCGTCCGGGAAGGTCGTCCGGCGTCTTGTACCAAGCTCGCTCTGTTTGAGTCTGGGCCAAACGACAGCCAGTTGATGGGAGACCTAATCCCGGACCTCGAGGGGTTCAGCAGCCCGTGGCATAGAATTATGTAGCCCCGCATCAGCAGCCCCGTGGCCAGCTGAAACTTGAGATCGAAGAAGGTTTCGAAGGAAGTCGACACTAGGATCAAGCCTGAGCTTGGAACATCCAAGCGATGCAAGAACCCGCGCTGGTGACTTGTCTGTTGAAGGATTGGGCACTGACGGTATGGTTTCATGGCCCGCACAAAGTTGGAGAGCAACCCGCGATCGTCAAAGAACTGCTCGGCCTCGTACATGGCATCTCGTTCATCCACTTGCCAATGGGGCGGCTTTCGCACCAACAAGGCGCCTCGCAGCTCCTGTGCCCAGGGCTCACAGGGCTCGGGATGCGAATCTCGCGCACCTCCCTCCAGTTCCTCATCCTTGTCCTGCTTCTCTTTCGGTAGTGGCAGCGCTGGAGTGCGTTCAGCCCCATCGAGCCGGGCACCCTGCCTCACGAGTGCTGAGCGTACGGTCTGTGCGGCATTGGGCAAGAGCTGTCCGGCAAAATGAGCAGCGTACAGGATGGCAAATGCGGCCGTAAAAAACTCTGTCCATGATGCCTGGGACATGGATTGGGATGGTAATCGAAGTGAGCGGCAGGCCAACTCATTTTGAAGTTGACCCAGCGTGCCAGCTGTGTCCGTGTTTGACAATGCCCATGCCAGATTGGCCATACTGCGAATGCTGAGACGTTTTGCCCCATTGGCATTGGCCCCTCCTTCCATCTGACGGAAGGCGGCCTTGCTCAGCTGTTGTGTCAGCGAATCCGAGTCGGACAAACCGCCGAGGCGGCCCAGAGACCACAACACGGCCGAGAGCTCCTGAAGCTCGAAATCATCAGCGCGCACTGCGGCTGCCACTCGCCGAGCGGGCTTGGCCAGCCCCGAGGATCCGGCTCCCAATCGCGAGAGCTTCGCAAGGCGCCAGACGACCTGCGAGGCCTCTGCTGGAGTCACACGCAGATCATCCCATTCCAACCTACCCTCCCGGCTACAGATCCGGTACACCAGCGCGCCAACCTTGGTGGGACTCTGCTTCTGCAGCAGCAACTCCAAAGCTAGCTGCCAACGGCCAGCTTTCTCACATGCATTCGATACACAGTTGAAGGTGATTTCATCGCAAGGCAGACCTGTCTCGCTCATCACAGCTAGAAGGGCAAGGGCTACCTCCCATTCACCAGGTTTCGCGCATGCACTGATTGCAGCATTGTAAGAGATTGTGCTTGGATTCACGGCCTCAGCTGACATATTCGCCAGTAGCTGAAGTGCGTGTTCCCACTGGCCAGCCTTTTCAGCTGCGCTGATAGCTGCGTTGAAGGATATCTCGTCAGGGATCTGAGCTAGGATTCTCATGGTGACAAGGATGGCAGATGCTTGTTGCCATTCTTTCGCCGCTTCACATGCACTGATCGCCGAGTTGTAGCTGGCCTTAGTGTGCGTTTTCTGTGTAGTTCTTCCTAGCAGGAAGGTCTTGCATGTAGCTGGATTGGTCTGCCTTTCTCTACAGGGATCCTGGCAATGTTGGGAGACACGCTCATCTCAGGCATGACCTTCAGCAAGTGCGCTGCAAGCCTCCACTCTCCAGCCTGGCACACGACCGGCCGATACAGTGCTGACACGGCTAGGAGCCAACACCAAGCGCAAGGCCTTATCAGCAGCATGGATGACTTCATTGAAGGCTGTGACCTTTGGAACGAGCCTCAGTTGTGGACAACATGGGCAATCAACCATGGAGCTCTAGAAGCACAAAGCATTCCAGTAGTGCCGGGCAGCCTGGAGGACCCCATCTCTTGCAGCAGCAACCAGGCAACTTCCCAGGAGGCACTCGCCTTGCAGGCTGCGATGGCAGACGTATAGTCTGCCTTGGCTCAGAGTGCTGCATGCTCTCAAAGCTCACAGAAGCGCAAACGCTCGGGCCGCTAGGGGTCATCTTGAGTCTGCAGTGTGCCCGTGTACTTCGGCGGTGCTGGTACACATATAACTTACCTATAACTTACCAACATTTACAAGTAGCGCTCAAGGAAGCTGTGCAAACAGGATCTCACACACAAAGACCCTGAGAAGCATCTGACCCATCCTGGCTACCACCTGCGGGCGCAGCGTATTCGCCTCAATGCGGCGCAGCCATGCCAGCGCTGCTTGCCAGTGACCCTTAGGAGCACCGATCACTTGGCTGGCCAGTCCATCCACTTCAATCGAGCTTTCCTGCTTCGAGCAGGCGGGGCTTCAAGCAGGGAAGGCCACCAGACTTGACCCAGAAATACCAGAACACACAACCATCTTAACATCTCCTGACATATCAGAACAGTGCCAGGTCTCCTGCAACTGGTTGACAAGGTTCAAGGCTTCAGCCCACAGGTCGTCACGGCCAAGCACCTGGGGATCGCAACGCTTGCACACCATGTCTCACCTGGTCTCCACAGGCACATGTAGACACATGAACACACATGTACATACTTGAGGCAAGCTGCACACGTCGCGGCTTCGGCGAGGCCAGCGTCGAGCAGCTGTGCGCGAGATGCCTCGGAGATCATCTGCACTGCGAATTGCCATCCAGAGACAGGATCCTCGGCAAGTCTGCAGTGATGAGATACCATCTGTATCTCCCTTGATGCGTGCCCTTGCATAAACCATTCTACGCGAGACTGAACGACTGCGATCATCTGCCAGGTCGCAATGGACTCAACCGCGGCTTTGTAAGACCTTAATTGTTCAAACTGATTCTCGTGTCTATTCGGAAGCAAATGATGCCAATTGCAAGCAAGCGACGCTGCATCAGGATCTACTCTGATCTTCACCATCTGCCGTAGGATCTCAACTGCCGTCTGCCATTGCGCGTCTTTCTGCAAGGCAGCCAGCACGCTTGTGCATGTCAGCATGTTTGGTTGGCAGATGGCTCGCTGCATCTCGTTGAAAAGAGCCAAGGCGTGCATCCAGCTGTGCCCCACACAGGCGTTGATTGCGGAGTTGTAGATGGCCGTATCTGGAATCAAAGAAAACATCGGCATGTCACGCAGCAGCTCAGACGCCAAGACAACTTGATTGCCCTTTCCGCACGAGTGTACAAGCATTGTATAGCAAAGAAGATCAGGCTGACTGCTGGCATTCAGCATGCTGTGGAAGAGTTGGAAAGACTGGAGCCACTGACCTCGCGTAGAGCATGCTTTGATGGCCGCACTGGCAAATGCAATGTCGAACTCAGGCAAATCCTGTTGCTCGAAGATACATAGAGCAAGTGACCATTGGCCGCCATTGTCGCATGCCCCAATCAGGGTGGTCATGCTGATCTGATCCGATTCGATGAAACTTTCTGCCATGAGCTGGGACAGTCGCAAAGCGTCTCGCCATCGACCACTTGCGCGACAAACGCTCATAGCGGAGCTGACAGCAACAGTGCCAATCTGGAGCTCCGAGGACTGCATGGAAAAAAACAGGTCCAAGGCGAGCCGCCAGTTCGAAGTCTGCTCACATGAGCTCATAACACAGTTGTAAGAGATCTCGTCTGGAGTCAGCCGAAGCTCGGGCATTTTCTCCAGCAGACCCAAAGCTGGTACCCACTCGCCGGCTCGACGACATGCATTGAGAGCTGCATTGCAGCTAATTTGGTCCGGATGTGCACAGGCATCACTCGCATCAATCATGCTATTGAGCATCTGCAAAGCAATCTGCCAATTCCCATTTGCACCGCATGCACTGAGTGCGGAGTTGCAGCAGATGGTGTTCGGCCTCAACCTCAATGTCTGCTGCTGATTAAGCGCAAAATGGGCTATTCCGAAGCAGTTGGATTGTAGTTTCCGTTAATCTTCGCTCTCTTCGTGTTTTTAGATTTTGCTTTGCTTTGTGAGCAGCCTCGGACGACGAACAGCTTCTGAAACATGCCTTTTGTACAGCACTTTGGGGCCCACCCGGACAGGGTACTCAAGTATATCTGACAGAAGATGACAGAAGCATATCCTAGCCAATGTGTCTAGGCACCGCGTGTCGCCCATCCACTGCAGAAGGTGCAGCGCAGCTTGCCACTGCTCACTTTTGGCACAAGCACTGATGGCGGTGCCAAAGCTAATCATGTCGAAGCTGGTTATCGAGACCTCTGATCCAGGCCCCGCCCTCGCAAATGACAGCAAACAACTACACCACACTTGGAACCTCCAAAAACCCAAAATGGCTCTCGTGTGAAAGGCTGTGTCGCCATACCACCCAGTATGGCTACTGCCAGCTGCCAGCGTCGCCCCTTTGAGCAGGCGTTTAAGAGCTTGTTGCGGGTCACCATTTCTGGCTGGAGGTCAGAGTCACACATCTGCAGCAGCCTCAATCAAACCGATGCTAGCAGCAAGCATGCGAACCCATATACAGTCAAATACACCCCAAACTAGTCCTGGGCATTTCTTGCCCCGCTGTTAGTTGCAACAAGGACATGCTCGACTCCTTTCAAATAGATAAGCCTGCTCAATCGCTTACTTGCACAGCCGACTATACCAAGGCACAAGCTCATCGCCAGCTGCCAATCTCCCCTTGTGCTGCATGCAGAAATTACGCTGCCATAGTGCAGTGCGTTGATCTGAGTCCTCCGGCAAGCACAAATGCCAACCCCGACTCGTGCGCACTGTGTCTCGACCACATGCGCTTCGACAAGCCCAGATGCTTTTGGCTCCTGCCGTTTTGCAGACTTCGCAGCAGAGTCGCAGCTGTGTGTGGCCCCTTGGTGTGGGCCAGAATCCGCAAAGCTGTCGCAGTGTGCTGCGGGTCTTGCAACCACTGCGCCAGGTCCACCAACTCCGGGGAGTCCTCAGATGTCTTTGGAATAACCATGACACCAGAGATCTCCACAAACCTGCACCAGCTAAGGCACCAGAGCATCATTGGAGTTAGCCCAAGACTGCAGCAATTGAATTTGATGACTGGGAACCTGCTGCAAAACTGCAGCTGCTTGCCGTGTCTTTGCGCGATATGAAAACAAATGAGACAGCATCAGCAGATGTCAGCAGCTTCTGAACTATTAATCCGCCGAGGCCTCGGGCCGTAGGTGTCTGGGTAGCACAAAGCAGGCACCCCACCTCTGCCATGGGGCCGACCTCCTTTTTTCTCTGGGCCCCCACCCCACCTGCCCCCAGCCCCCTGGTTTGGGTTGCCTTGAGGCGGGTCGCGCAGCGTTAAAATTACACCTTTTGATACAGTTGAAATTGACAGCGTTGACCATTATTGATACAGTATTGCACCACTTTGCACCACTTTGACACGTTTTCTCTGTACTTCTCTCCTGCCTCGGTCCGGAGCTGAGGCGGCACATTGCGCATGCTCTTTTGCAAAGCTGCCCCCCGCAAATTCTTTGAGAGCCATTTTTTGAGCCCCGAGAAAGCTTGCAGAGAAGAATCACATGTTGAGTTACACATACCCCCATCAGGTCCGTGTGGAGCATGGAGCAAGTGTGCCAGCACATGCAGTGGAACAATGCACATCTGTTCTCATAGCAGCTAGCGGCCACATGCCTGAAGACGGAGGTGAAGCTGAAGGCGTTGCAGCCCAGCTGCTGAGAAGCTCGGACTGGCGAGAGGCACAGCTGTAGAAGTCCAAACAAGGACTGGGTGCACCCAAGCTTGGACCAAATTGGACCCTTCCCTGCCTGGCAATATCCAGCTTGCCATCTTTCTGCAGCTTCGCAGCATCAACCTGCAGGATTCGATGTCGGGCCCCCTCATGCCACGAGTACAGTACCATACAGTACGCTCTTGTGGCCCTCCACCTTTTTAGGGCTCTCTCCCTTACCCTGAAGGCCCTAGACCCTACACCAGCGTCACCGCCTCGGCCTGCCAGTTCACAACCCGAGCCCAACTGCACGTGGCAAAGGCCAGCCTACAGCGCAGCAGCGCAGCACATGCAGCCGGAACGTGCAAACGCAAGGCACGGACTGATGGAGGAATGGCGACATGATCCGGAATGCTTTCCACAGAAGTCACGGTTCGGGCCCTGGCTCCTCTTTGCATTCGGAGCCGAATTTCTGCAGCTCTCTGACGGATTGCTGGTGACGCTCCTGATGAGCCACATGGACATGGCTGGGAGTCAAGTGAAAGTTGCAGTCTTGTTGCTCTCCCCCTCCTCCAACCTATGCTCCAAGGCTGACAGCTGCTCCTTTCACAACTGCACATCTGCGAGATGCTCTATGATGCGATCCCCTCTCCCTCTTGCGCCAGTGTACCACCGAAACGTACCGAAACTGACACGTCAGCAAGAGCCTGAACGGCCTGCTCGCCGCTCCTGGGCATGAATTGTTGTCGAGGACCAATGCACATCATGCACTTGGAGCTCATTCGGTCATCGGCCACAGTACAACGAGATACAGCGAGCATATCTGACGAGGCCTGCTGCCAGACAGCAGAGCCTCGACGGCTTCAACTCCTTGGCACTGTGCACCAATGCGCCCCAACTCACACACAAGCAGTGCACGTCGTGCACGTCGGTGTGTTTCCAGGTCCGACAACACGAGGCCGGTCGAGATCAGCCAAGGCGGCCCGGCTCGTCGTCAGCCGCTCCTCCAACTTCGCCTCTTGTCCCTGCACCATGTGGGCGTTGGTTTAGGTTCCTTCACCGTATCAGGCCTCTTATGCATCTCCATGTTGAGCTGTATCTTCTTTGCTCAGATGTCAAGTTCAAGAATCTCTGAGCTGCAAAATTGCTTTGTATGAGTGGTAAGGGCGAGGATCTTAAGAGAACACCTGCTGAAAGGAATAGGTCCTGCCCCCTCCCCCCCTCCAGCGCAAAACATGCGCGAAACTGCAGCGAACGGACCTATGACGATTCAGGGCTTGCAAACGGGCAAACTTGCGGTACATGCCTGTCGTGAGTTCCTGGCACCCCGAAACAGCAAACTGACATGTACAAACCAGGACTGGCCCTGGGAGATGCCAGGGCTGAGCTCAGTGTGAAGTGAGTTCGACCAGTCGGGGCATCATGTGGGCAGTATTTGGGCAATTTGGGCTCTCTCGCTGCCACTTTCGGAAGAGCACAAGAACTTCTGCGTCACCCCGTCCTGACCTGACGCAGGCTTTCCACAAGGGAAATCTCCCAAACCGATGCGAGAAACCAAACGCTTAAAAAACCAGCTGGCTGAAAAGCGAGCGTGATATCAGAAAGAATTGGAAGCACCTTCGTCGACCCAAGCTGCACCACCGAAGCCTCTCAGCAACACGGCGCTCCAAAGTAGAAGCTCCCATGCGCGCTCTCGCCGCTCGGGGACTCGCCTCCACCCCGGCCAAGCGCTCCAGCGCGGTGGCCAGCTCGGCGCGGTGCTGCGCTGCCGAGGATGCCTAAAGCTGTCTCTGACACACACGTTCTTTATCTCTTTCTTTCGTTCATTCTGGCTTTCTTCCTTTCTTTCTTACGTTGAGTCTTTCGTTCGTTCCTTCTTTCATTCATTCTTTCTTTCGTTCTTTCCTTCTTCCCTTCTTTCCTTCTTTCCTTCTTCCCTTCTTTCCTTCTTTCCTTCTTCCCTTCTTTCCTTCGTTCCTTCTTCCCTTCTTTCCTTCTTCCCTTCTTTCCTTTTTTCCCTTGTTCCCTTCCCTTCCCTTTCCTTCCTTTCTTTCTTGGGGCGGGTCGACAACCCATCGAGCATGCTGGCCCCAAATTTCGACCCCCTATTTACTTCTACCTTATCGACTGTCATTCAGTCAGCTGTGCTGTTAGGTGAGACTCAGCCTGATCCTGTATTTGCTTCGCCCCTTTTACAGTACGCTTAGACCCACACAGACACACACACACACACACACACACACTTCGTCTTCTTCTTCTTTTTCTTCTTCTTCTGCCTCTTCTTCGTCTTCCTCCTCTTCTTCTTCTTCTTCTTCTTCTTCTTCTTCTTCTTCCTTTTTTCCTTCTTCTTCTTCTGCACGCTTGATAGCCCCTCCCCCCCTCTCTCTGCCCGCACAGCCAAAACACTGGAAGGGGAGCCGCCGCAGGACACATTCTCTCTCTCTCTCTCTCTGCACGCTTAGCCCCCCCCGAAGGGAGAGCTGCCCCGGAGGGCGCGCAAGTCCCCAGAGTCATGCGGGTCAGCCGCGGTGTTCGCGGCTCTGCTGGGGTGGGGTTCTGTCGCAAAATGGGGCGTTAACGAACAGCACTGTGCGACCTCCCCCCTCTATACTCCCAGTGAACTGTTGCCTGTCCCCTCGTTGGGGGTGTTTCTGGCTCAGCCGGGGGTGGGGCTTCCGTCACGGGATTTGGTTGTAAACAAGACAGCAGTACGTCTGAGAAACTGTGTGACCGTCCCCCCTCTGTATCCCTCGGCGAAATGATCCATCCCTCATTGGGGTGTTTTCGGCTTGGCTGGGGTGGGGTTCCTGCCATCATAATGACTGCCAACAAACCGAAAATGACCCAGCACTGCCATACAAACCGATCCGGACCAAACACTGACATTCATGGCTGTCCCCCCTCTGTAGCCCCGGCAAACTCTCTATCCCTCTTTGGGGAGATCAGTCGCTGCTGGCCCCTTCATGCGTGCGTCGTCTCCGTGAATCCATTCCTTCTGGTAATTGATGGTGTCGACGTTGTAGCCCCCACCCTCTTGGCCGCTTTCCTCTCCGATCTTCTCGTTCTTCCCCCTCCGACTGTGATGACGAGAACTCTTCCGTGGGTTCTCTGTGGTGTGTGTGGTTTGGTGGGTGAGGTGGTGGTGGTGCGGTCGTGTGTGGTGAGTGGCAGCGTGTCGTGTTGGTGGGCCGCTCAGTTGGGGGTTCAGGTTTGGTTGGGCTTGCCGCCGTGGTTTGCCCCTGTGTCGCAAGTGGGGGCGGGTGCCATGGTATCGTGTCCGGCGTGTCCCCCCCCAGACTCTCCGTCCCTCGTGCATCTTCTGCTTCCGCGCCTGCCCCCGACCCCTCCCCCGCCCGTTGGGTCTCCAGTAGGACAATGGGCTCACCCCACTGTGTGTGGAGCCAGTCATCTAGCGCGTTGATGGCTTGTGCGGCGATTGCTGCCTCCTCCTGAACCAGGAATGGCATGAGTCCTGCTAGGAGCCCTCTGGCTGTGATGACCCCTGTGCTGTCGGTGTGGTGTGCCTGTGCGGTTCTGTCGCTGTGGCTCTCCGTCCCCCCTTTTGCCAGTCCTATCACATCCGCCGGGTGTGTCTTGGCCCCCCCCCCTGCCTCCTGATGCTGCTGCTGTTGTCTGCTGCTCTGACATTCCCCCCTTTTGAGAGGGAGAGGGAGGGAGGGAGGGAGAGAGAGAGAGAGAGAGAGAGAGAGCGAGAGTGAAAGAGGGAGAGAGAGAGACGGAGAAAGAGGGAATGCTTCATAAGCAAGAGAAGAAAAGAGCGAGAACATGTTTGAGAACATGTCGGATATGTCCTCACAAGAAAGTTTGCAGGGGGAAGCCCTGGCTGCCTGGCGGTCTTCGGCGGCCTGGAGCGACTCCTCAACGAGGCGCCGCTCTGCCTGGGCTGCCTCGGCACGATCTGGATAACAGTAGACGAACGAAAGAGAGAGAGAGAGAGACAGAGAGAGAGAGAGAGAGATAGAAAAGAGACAGAGAGATAGAGAGAAAGACAGAGAGATAGAGAGAAAGAGAGAGAGAGAGAGACAAAAAAATGGCCCCTAGGCCGGCACCGCTCGCGACGCACCCTCCACGCGCTGGAGCTCCGTCCTGAGCTCCTCTTCGAAGCCGCGAGCGGCCTGCAGGGCCTTCGCACAAAAAACAGGGCAGAGACAGAGACGACGGGGCACAGATGACGGCACAGACCCGTACGCGGGCTCACAAGGACATTTTCAAGACTTGACAACATGCTGAAAAAAATGTAGATGTTGAAGCCACTGCTCGCTTTGGAACAAAGCCCAGATCCGAGACACACGTGCAATGTCTTCAAAGCCTTCCTATGAGTCGGAGAGGAAGGCTCCAGCTACCTCTTCAGTCAAGAGTTACAGGAAGCCTGCTCGAGAGCCTCGATCTGCGCACCCGCTGCCCGCTTCTCCTGACGATTGGCGAGATGTCGGGCAAACTGCCCCCGGCTCTAAACTTCCATCTTTGGGCCTCGCTCCTCTACGTCCTGCAAGGCCGATTGCTCCGAAGCTTCCAGGCGCGCGGAGATCTTGGACTCCAGCATCGTGAAGCGGTCCGCAAATGCCTCAGACAAAACGGCCCAAAAACGGATAAAAACGAACCACCCCCCTGGGTAGCTGCTGGAACACAGTGGCACTATGATTGGCAGGGCTTCTTCCCAAAACACTGGCCAAGCCTGGTCCAGCTCCTTGAGCTGTGCCTGGACACACCTCTCCATCTCGCCATTCACGGCCGCCAAGGCTGAGCGTAGCTCCGACACCTCGCAACAGCAGGGCGTTTCCTTTAGATCGCCCCTAGAATCCCCACCTTCCCTTTCAGGGCCTCCTGGGAAAGGGTTGACGCTGATGTCTCCGAAGTCTGGGAAACTTTGGACACCGCCTGGCAGCTTCTCCCCGACGTGCAACAGGACGACATCCCTCATGTTGTGATGGTCCGAACATGTTCGTGTCAGTGGCTGTCTTCATCCCAAACAAAGCCAATGGACTTGCGGCGGCTCAGCGAGGGTCAGTGTTTGACCCAGTTTCGTCAGCTGAGGGGGGCATGTGATGCCAATTAACCAGTGGCCTTCGGCTTTGGCCGTGGCTTGGGGGTGAAAGATGTGCACCTTAGGGTGGAAACGGGCGTTTCAGGCTCAATGGCGTGTGCTTCCGCCGATGGGCCAGAAGCGCCAGAAGCGCCAGAATCTGGCAGAGCAGCCTGCACCATGCTGCAACGGCTTCAGGGCGGCTCAAGGATGTAGTTTGTACATTCGTCTATTGCAGAAGAAAGCTCTAGTATGCTCTAGTGCAACACACGCATGCTGTTGTCAAGCAGAACATGAAAGTTTTCAAGTTGCATGAGCCCCTCGGACCTAGGCCGAAAACGAGCCTCGCCCCGCCCCTCCCCCGCGGATCAGCCCCGAATCCCTTTGTTGCGTGCCGGTTGGCTGCCCAAACACCTCCTTGCAGTGAAAGGAAAGGCTCTGTGGGGAGAGCTCTCGTGATTCATATGGCAATATCAGAGGCCCTCGGGCCCTCGGCCTCCCGAACCTCTGCCTCCTGGAAGTCTGCAGGCAGCGCTCGCGGCACATCCGCCGAGTGGAAGAGGAAGTTCAGCGGCCCACGGCTGACCAGCGCATTGAAGTCCTTGTATTCGCAGGGTTGCTAGCACCTTCTCTTCAAAAACTGGAGCTTTGGCGCATCTCTTGTTATGTCGGGAGGCATTCCGCGGAAGGACGGCCACAACCTCAGCATGAGCTTAACTTTGATGTCCCAAACCAAAATCGGAAGGTTGTAGCTGAAACTGTCACAGGACGCATCCTTCCCCCCCTCCCCCCCAGTTTCAATCTTCTGCACCTAGTGGCCTGACCGTCGCTCGGCGTCTCCAGATCATCATTGCCTGCACAAGCGCTGGCACCTTCATCCCTTGAACCTTCGGCAGAACCGCTGCCATCGTGTTCGTCGTGTTGACATTAGTATTCGCCCTCTCTCTGAAGAAATTGAAGCCACTGTGCTGTTAAGCTGCGTGAGGACTTAGCCTGGGCTTTGGCTCAGCTTCACTTTGTGCCCTTGGGTCAGCTCTCAGACTCGGAGACTTTGTGAGCAGGAACTGGGCCTAAGAACTCCAGCATGTCGGCCCACTTCTCAGAATCCACGGCGGCAATCGCAATCCGACCTCGCAGGTGTGCTGACTCATGCTGACTCATGCTGACTCTGTGTTCCATCAAGCCAAATCAAGCAAAGCCAGACTTCTAAAAGAACACCCTTTTTCCCAAGCCCCCAAGCCCCTCAACCAAACCACACGAGGCAACTCTCAAGGGACCCGCAATGACTCGCACCTGCTGGCAGGAAGGCAGGGTCGCCGAAGGCGAGCCCAAGCTCCAGTTGCAGGTCCGACTTCTGAGAGCCAATGATTGAGGGCCAATGATTGAATGATTGAGCTTAGGGTCAATTTCAGGGAAGTAAAGCAGCCTGGTCGTGCGAAGCTGGGCTTCTGGCAAGCGCCCCGCCAAACTCCTCTTGCGTGAACAGAGCAATTCCTCACGATCAAGCAAATCTGGCTACCAGCTTCGCCAAGCCAATCTCGGGTCCTTTCTGCATTTTGTCATTTGTTGCTGGCTGTGCAATTGAAAGGGGAGAGGTGGCAGTCGTGAGGAACTTCTTGCTCACGAGTCAAGACGATCCGAAAAGATGAGACCCATACACGCACGCACACGCCCACCCACCCACCCACCCACCCACGCACTCATGTGTTGGCATTTCTTCATGGTACCTCGGGCCATCCTTGCCAGCTCTTTCCCTTAAAAGGCGAGAGTCGCAGCACCGCAAATCTCGTCCCTTGACCAAAGCCGCCGAGCACCACGTCATCCTCAGGAGTCACTGAGGAGCAAGTGTCGAGTAGTATCGATGCACCACGCTCTCGACTTTGAAGTCCGAAGCCTCCAGAGGTTTGTTCTCGAACAACAGCCTGAGAAGAGCCCGCAACTGCCCCCTTCATCGCACTTCTTGCAAACGAATAGTTGTGGGCATGAATTCATGTCCTCGCATGACCTTGCAAGACTGCCAAGCAGCTGCAAGCAGGAATCTGGAATCTTGAGCAGCCGCTGCAGGTGTTGCTTCAGCTCACCTTGGCCGGGGTGAGGTTCTGGATTGGCTTGATGATCGAAGGCTCCTTGCCGGGCTCCTGCTTGGCGTCTCGCATATTCTGGAACCCGTCGGCAAGCGCATGGCCAACAGCTCACGGTCATCCATGTCGGCGAAGAGGCAGAGCACCTGGTCCCAAGGCGTCAGCAGGATGCATGTCTGTGCAATGAAAAGCATCGCAACATCTCACAACTCTCTTTAACGCTGAAGGACCGAGCCGGCCGACCCAGTCTCCAAAGAGCCACTGGCTTCGCCATCTGAACAGCCTTGCACATTACAAATGAATGCTTTGCGGCACCTCACGATGTCAATGTAGGGCCAATGTAGCGACGTTCAGCACCGTTCTCTATGAACCATTGGCTTTCCATCTTGCTGGCTCCAGCATGCAAGCCACGCAGAATCTCTCACAAGCAGCACAAGCTTCATGTTCGTCAGCTCTCCTGAAAGCTAACCGAATCACCAACCCAACTAAAGATGAGCAAAGTGTATGCGTCCATGTAACTGTCGCAGAAGTACGACTTCAGCCCACCCTTGTAGAACCTCGGATTTAGGTCCCGAGGTCGTGATCCCTTTTTGGCACCCTCTAAATACAAGGGCCATGGATCCAAAAAAACATAAGGACTGGCCCAGGCTTCGGTCTGCGCTCATTCATACTGTGCTCTGCATGTGTCAGGTGTGTCAGGGGATGCAGCGTGTGGAAGGGAGGAGGGGGTTTTTCTGTAGACGATCGGCAAACCCAGGGGCCCTGGGCAGAAAACCCGAATCCCCTCCTATGTTTGTTTTCCGATCACGGCCCTCGCGTTTTCTGATCCACCCCCCTTCCCCGTCGTTCTCGGATGAGGTTTTCGGATCAGCCCCTCCGTTTGCTGACATGGCTTCACTGGTGCTGCAGAGATGTGCTGCATTGGATGCGTCCGTCGAGAGTTCGTGGTGGAGCACTGGCGAGCGAGGGCCGAGCAGTGAACTCAGCTAGAGCTTGTGCTGCTCAAGTTTCGGAACCTACTCGTGCGAGCTTCAGTACACATCCGAGGATCAGGCTGGATCACCCCATTGGCGTGCAAGGTCTTCTCTAGCAGCACACTGAACCTGAGACAGGCCAGGCCATGTGCCCTGGTACCATCTATTGAGTCTCTCTTTGCTCCGGTAGGCGGTATGTGTTGCTGGGGCTCCTGCTCACCTCTAGCCAGGCTGGCCACGCGGCCTGACTTGAGCATTTTTGGCGTGCAGGAGGCAGATGACCCTTTACCCCCTGTTGCGGCCACGGCCCAAGGCGAGCCAACCGCTGAAATCTGAAAGCGCTTACTGGTGCTTTATGGCGTTGCGCAGATCTGCACAAGCCGAAAGCCAAGACCCTGACCAATTGAACCCTGCTACAGCATCTCTCGTTGTGATCTTTCCAGCCCCCTTAGACCCTAGTAAACCTTCGGCGTTCCCTTCTCATCCCTTCCCGAAGTTCTTCCAAGTGACGGCCGGCCAAGGCCACGACTTCGTCGCCTTGGCTGACGCCAGCCGCGGAGGCCCAGGAGCCTCGAAAACGGATCCAAGTGGAGCCTTCTTGGACTCCCAGACGAACCCATCAAAACCTTGAGCTGCAAGCCTGGCTCCACGCTCTCCACGAAGATGCGCTGTGCAAGGGGAAGCTGAGGGAACGAGAACGACAGCTTGGGCAGCAAGAAGCCGGGGCTGGCGAGCTCCTGCGGATTCGCAGCAGAGGGAACAACAGGCTTGAACGCGACGGAATGAGCAGTATGAGGAGGAGGCTGCTCATCACACACACAGAGTGACGCTGTCGTTCTGTTTCGACGGCCTCGGGCACCCGCACGTCATAGAAGCCCGAGGCGACAAAGAGAACAAACTCCAAGCTGCTCAGCGGCTCCCTGGGTGAAACAAGCACAACCAGATGCTATCAATGGCATCTAAGAAAGGATGACAAGGGCGAACATGACCAGAACCTGCCGACATGGCCAAGACTCGTTTTCTGCGCCGTGTTCTGCAAGTCCGATGCGAGCATCCCATACAGCTCAACCTCTGCCTACTCAGGATCTCACAGCTTTAGATGGCTAAGCGATTCGAACACACCACCGCCTTCAGCACCTCTGCCAATTCTCCAAGCAGTTGCCCATCATCCTCCGGCCAAAAATGCTCATAACCCTGGCAACATGTGCGAACTTTTGAGGATTCCCGAGGATTCCCATGCTTGACCTGTCACGTCATTTGGCAACACTTTGGATTCAGGGGAGAAGAGTCTAGATGCTGCCTAGCGCGGAGCACACATGGATACCATGTAGTTTCAATTCTTGAATCGGACGAGGGTGGTCCTGCAGGAGCTGCCGCGACAAGGCCAGCTGCTGCTGCTCAGCCGGCACGTGAAAAATCAGACAAAGCCTCAGCCCAAGGTGCCATCAATCCGCATAGGTTGCCCATTGTTGCTCCTCTGCCTGAGTCTAACTGCACCGAGGGGCTCTTGCTTCAAGTCCGCTACCTTTGAACGGAGGCACACTTAAGCAATGTGGAAGTCTGAGCAGGAGTCAACATGCGGTTGGGATCTTGGACTTTGCTCCCAGATGCTGTTGTCTGGGCCCCAAGTTGAATGTGCAGCAGCTCATGTCCACCTGTCAAGGTGCGACTGACTTGACCCAGTCCTATGCCTACTCTCGTCACTCGTCATGCTTTTTTCACGGGCACCAAGATGAGCTGGTGGGGGTTTCATGCTGTGATGAGGCCCCCCTGGCATTGAGCGGGGCTTTGACTCCCTCAAGAGGGTTTAGGAGGACTGCCCGAGACCTTGCACGAGTACCCCATTCCGTTTAACTGACGCTGCGCGATCGAAGTCATCAGCGCTGCGGGGCCGTCGGGCCAGGCCAACGTTGAAGCGCATGATTGGGTGGTGGGTGCGCGATGTGCCGTTTTGAGGTGCGGGAAAGCAAAGCTTGCAGGGTAATGTTGGTTTTGTTGTGGGGAGTGACTGACGGCTCCTCTACTCACTGATGAAGTGCGGTCTTCAGGTTTAGGGGCCGGCTCGTGCCACCGAGCCTGAAGCCTGTGCTTTCGAACAACAGCCCAGATTCAGCCAGGCCACTCACGCCCCTGACTTGCACCCAATGGTTCTCGTTCTTTCCATGAACTTCCTCGCATGGGCTCTAATCTGCGTGGTAGCAGAGAACACGGTCATTCAATCAAGCTTATGTAGACGGATATGCTGTCATGAGCCGCCGGGCCTCGCTAAGAGTCGCATACATGCATGACTTCCAGCCCAGTCAACGGGCATGGCTCCGATATTGCTATGTCTTCAGCCCCTAATGCCTTGCCCTGTGCTAGCGAGAGGCTGATGGAGCTCTTCCAAACTTCTTGCAATTCTGTGTTTATCCTCACATTCCGGAATGGACTGAACTTGCATCTGCTCCCTTGAGCCCTTGAGCCCGTCCCAGTGCCTTCGCGTTGCAGACAAAGCATGTGCGGCGAACCGATACAGCAAGACGGACTCTGGCCTCAACAATAGCCCCTGCAACCTCTGCGTTGTCGCGGTCCCGTTGCGCCCGCAAGAACCTGGCCGGCAGGTCGACAAGGTAAAGGAACTGCAAACCAGAATGTGGAACGCTTCCTAGTTTTGCTAAATACGCCCAGGCGTGCTGCACGTCCTTGGAGATGTCACCTTGGCCGGAAGTGCACTGGAAGTGCGCTTCAGTACGATGACGTACGACATCCTTTATCATTTATGCCGGCCACAGGGTCGGCACCGACTGACGACTGCAAGCTGTCAATATCGGAGTTGACCTCAAGGTGACATGGGATACTGTAATGACAATCGCTTGCAATGGCTTGCAATCGACTGGCAAGCAAAGGATACAACATCCAGTCGCGTCTTGGGGAGGCCTGGCTTTTCAAAGCATAAAGTCCGCGCGCCGAGTTTTGGATCTCCTCACACCGGGGTGTGACAAGGCTACCTGCAATTCCCATGCTGGTGTATCTCGCCAGAAAAACTTCAAAGACAAGCCATGAATCCTGACCCACCGCGGTGTGGACCTCATTGAGGACCTCAGTCAAGAAGTAGCGATAATTTTTTGAACTGCCCCCCGAATTTGCCCTCCACAGAACTCTCTGGTCTTCTCTGCAGGGCACACGATGCTCCTTCAAAACTTGGCAGTGTGACCTGGGCATGGAGTGAGTCAAGATCTGCTTGGATCTTGTCGTGGCCTCGACAATTCTCACGTGCCTTGCCCCGAACTCAACAAAAGGTGAGATCACCCCTGAACCCTTGCAAAGGTACCCTTGGCCGTCTCGGATGCTGGCAATACCGGGATTGATGCTGCAGCTCAGCCTGGCGATTGTAAGGGCTTTTGCCAAGGCAGGGTTTGGAACTGTAGGTTGGCATTTGTAGCGGAGAAGCTCTTCACGGCAGAGGTACGGCCTAAGGTCCTGCGCTGTTACCCGGTACCCAGTCACCCTGCAGATCCAGATTGACCGTGGCCAACCTCGAGGGTCTTCCAATTTGGCTTCGCCTCTGAACAGTCAAGAAGTTTGAAAGCCGTGTTGAAAGCGCAAACGTGATAATCCGTGGTAAAGTCATAGCGTTGTTTTCTATCTTTTCTTGAAGCCAACCAGCTGCTCTCTCCTCTCTCCGCTCTCCGAAGGCCACGCACTGCCGGGCGCTCCTGCAGAGGAGGTGGATTGAAGGGCGCGCTCGGGAAAGCGGAGAACTGCCACGCCTTGGTCACTTTGGATGTCACGTTTGGTGGTCGCTTGCGTGGTCATTCACATTCTTTCACTCATGTCCCCGAGCGCTCTTGTGAAAGGCTGCAGTGTGCCATCGCCCACCGTGGGGCATGACTCTGTCGCCAAGGCACGTTCATGTCACACTCTTCGATCGCCATGGCGTGTCTGGTAAGAAGCTCGGAAGAAAAGAAAAACTGCTTCTGACTCCTGCAAAGATCTGTGGGGGCAAGATGAGGCGAATCATCTGCGTGCTTCTGTGGTTCCTATGGGCACTAACTGTACAGCGGCTTATTTCGGCACAGCAGCGGCATTCGCTCCAAGAATGCTCAAAGGCTCCACAGCGAGGTTGGTCAGTCTAGCAGCTCACAAGCCTTTACCTGTACCTGAAATTCCTCTGTGGGAAGTTGTAGACAGAAACCTAAAAGCTGCCGTCAAACAAGTTACCCCAGCCTCTTCCAAGGACCTGGCAAGCGTGGCATTCAATACCCCGAGGTCGGACAATGCAAGACGAGGCTTCGACTAACTAGATACGACGAGGTAAGATGCAGGATGCGCATGAGATTTCCAGATCTTTTGAGCCTCTCTGCCCCACTCTCAGCTCGGCTAAGCAAGGCTAAGGCACTTAAGCGTCTGCACAGTGAAACTGGCTCGTGACTCCGCAATCACACGCGTTTGATCGTGTTTGTGCATATTCCTTTCGCCCACACACCACTTGTGCTGCTCAGGCACCGCTGGTTATGCAGAGCCATTTCGTGCTACCGGGTCTGCAACGCACCCTTCACAACGTAAATGGTCTGATTGCCTCGGGCCAGGCTGTGTTCGTTACTGCCTTGAGCCACTTTCATCAGAATCATGTCGATGCCAAAGACAACTTGAGTCGCTCGCCATCCTCCATCTTCTCAGCAATTTCCCGCAGTTGCTGTCGCACAACATAGTCACTCAACTTGCACCTGAACGAATGCTCTGGCAAGCCACAAAGAGGTGCAGACCCAAGAAGAGCTGCCTCTCGCCATAAGTCTGCTGATACTCGTCCTTGAGACCGGCACGACAAACTCTCTACACAGCAGAAGTACGGGGGCGCGGAAGACTAGGGAACGGGAGTGGAGTGGAGGAGAGGCTGGGGCAATGCATTTGTGTTTGCAGTTGGCTGTCGTTCCAAGGCGCACAGACACTGCTCTGATGTCGTTCGTTGTGTACTGTAGTAGGGCAACGTAAGGGCCTCACTACCGCCGGGAAAGCAAGGGGCGGGGAGAGAGGGCCAGGGGGAGAGGAGGGGGTCAAGGAAGGAATGCTGAAAACAAGATTGATCCCGAACTCCTTTGACCTGACAAGACCGCACGCGCTCGTGCATACTGAGCCTCTGACCATCACATCCTGACGAGTGACAGAATCCCGATGACGGAAGAGCGAGAGCCTCAGATTGAACAGCCCATGTTCCTTCCAGCTACTGGTACCCGAGTGACACCACAATCATTGCACCGCTTCAGGCTTTATCGCAAAGGTCGGCACAACGTTTTGCGGAACTTGTCGTGCGACTCTGTCCCGGTGCGCGCAAGGACCCAAACACCACGAACCTTGCAACAGGTCTCGCACTGTCTCATGGAAGGTTGCATTAAATACCGGAGTCACTCATCATCATTGAACAACAACGTACTGACCTACGAGTACTACGCGAAGGTTCGCGCCTTTTCCTTCCATGTGCACTCCGCCCAAAGCTCGTGGCACAACGAACGCTTTGAAGACAGCGTCACCCAACTGCGTTGGTACACTGACTACTGACCTCGATGTAACAGACCCCCCTCGGCCGTGGCAGTGGTCTGGTCGGGGTTCAGTACAAGATTATGGCCAACTCCAGCTGAGCAATCCTCTTCTCAAGACCGCATGCTGCAAAACCCGGCGAAGCCTTTGCGCACCTCACAGCGGCTCTGGCCTCAAACCAGACAACCTCCTGACCCCACACCGTCGTCCGCGTCCACCATACCTCAAAGCAGTTGGGACAAGTGAGGCTGACTGTTCGCTCGGGGCGAAGTCGGAGGACCACTGGTGATTTCAAAGCTCGCCTGCTCCTCAAACGTCTGAAAGGAATTGAGTTCATGCGGATTCAGGGCCCAGAGGCACCTGCAATCGACAGCAAATGCCGGCTCCAAGAAGTTCATGAGGCCATAGTTCGTGGCAGCCCTACCAAGCGGGCAAGCTTATGTTGGGCTTCCGCATCTTGAGGCCCTCCATCTTGGCTTTGGAGCCCTCGCCCGAAACAGCACGCGGCATACGCGTTCGCGGAATATCGCCAGGGGTGTCTTGCTTCCACTCGCGTGCCTGTTGGTTCGAGTTAGTCCATAATCAGCATGCCCATCGCATGCTGTGTGCTTCATCTGGCGAGGCTGTGCACGCACACACGGAGTTGTTCCCCCTTCCACTGAGTGGTGAATAGAGAATAGTGTCCTTGCGAACTACTCGAACTTGCCCGCAGAAGCCAGAAATAGCATCATCCTCCCCGCCCGTGCTCCAGGCGACTGGCGCCTGCATGTCGTCGCCACCAGTTCTCTGCCGTCAGCTTCTTCTTCTTCTGCTCTTTCGAGCTCTGCCATGAGCTTCCTGTCTTCTTGGACTTCGGGCTTCCTGTCCACGGCCGTCAGCTGGTTCGTGATGGTGGCCAAGTGCTCCTCGGTCTTCTTCTGGGCCTCGTTGATGCCTGGATTCGAGCTCGGGCCCTTCCGGTTTGGAGGGCAGACTCTTGCCCACCGAGCCAAGGGGGGAGGGTCTTGGAGGCTCTGTTGGGGCGTGGCGTCTGCGGTCCTCCTCAGAAAGGGGGTTTGTGCAATGGAAGAGCCGGATGGAGGCTTCCTGCGGGTCAACTCTCGCTGGTACGACTGCTGCAAAACACCATAGCCCCAAGAAGGGACTTGGAATCCTCAACCTGATCACGCCGTCTGCAAGGCATGGTGGTACACACGCGACGACGAGGCAACAACAGCCATGCACGAAGGGGATGCCAGCCCCGGTTTTGGAGCTGGAAGGAAACGCGGCCCAGAGCCGCCGTCAGTACTCATCCGGCCATATCCAACCCATGGAGTCTCGGAAAAGGCCACGCAGTTTCCACGCAGTTTGGAGCGTCGTGGCCTCGGTATCATCACTTCCTCTCATACGGGATGTAGACACTGTGTGACACTGTGACTGCCCTGGAACCACGATGTGGTCTTGACATGTTTTCACTCTGGCGATGCTTGCCAATGCTGTGAGCCAAAATGTTGGCAGGGTAGATTCGTTGGGATGCAGAAATGATGCATATGCACAGCACTGTGCAGCTCTAACGAGCGCCTGCAGCGCATCGAGCTCCTCCATGGAAAGGACACCCAGGAGGTCCTCCTGCACAAGGATCACATGGGGGTTTACGAAAATAGGGGGGTACCTTTTTGGAAAAAGGGGATCCTACTATTTCGGGGTCTATGTTGGGGGCCCCCTATTTTCGTAAACCCTCACATGGTCTTGAGTGGCCATCTTGCACGCTGCCAAGTGTTGTACCAAGAGTCACCAAGCATACCTTGCCTCTCGGATCTCTTCTGTGGGATGCTTGCGCTGGATGAGCCTGGCTGGAACATCTGGCAAGAGGCAACGCAGGCACTGAGATAGAAGCATGTCGCAGCCTTTTCAACTCCTCCGTAGTCTTCGGTCCGGTCAGCAGCGCTTCCCGCGCCTGGACTGCTTCTCACATTTATTGGGAAACCGTGCAATCCCGCCTGCTCCACACCAGCCTCTGGCAAAAGCCTGGCACGTGTCCTGGAACCGGCTCCAGCAGAAACCTTCCAAGGAAAGCGACGGCAGCATGTTTCGACACTGTGCTGACACGGGGGGTATGCCTGAAGCTTGCCTCCACTTCCTGCAGAGCCTGCCATGATCCAATAAGTGTGCATTTGCAGCGACATTCTTCAAACAGTGAACGCTTCTCTGAAACTTGCCAGGGAGGCTTTGGTTACCGGCCTAGGGTCAGAAAAAAGCAGGCCATGCTGCCCAGGCAACACGTACTGGTAACAGTGCTGTACCGCGCCTTGATCACTTCGGTGCGTCGCGACTCAAGCCTCAAGTCAACTGTGAAGTCTGTGGGTCACTCGAGACACTCGGGTCTACATCAAGCACTGCTGTGTACACCAGCAGAGAGATGCTATGGCAGCTCGTGTGACCTTCCGGACTCCGAGCAATCTGGAAACCATGAGCTGCGCACCAGTCATCAAACTCCTTCACCAGCTCGGGGTATCGACTCAGGCAATCCTCATTTCATGCCACTGTCCGTCGGTCATTGGATCGTATCCCACGTGCACGACAATCACTGTCGCAACCAAGCTCACTGAAGCAATCGCTTCAGTCCTGGTCAGGATCGGCCTTCATCTTCAAGTACTGCTTGTCCTGTTCTCGGGGGAAATGGGTGTCAGCCTACGCAGGGCGCACCGTACAAAGGCGCGCCTCAGACTCCTGCAGGACGCTGTGAACTATCTCCCGCAGCGCATTCGCAGCTACTGTCTGCTGGAAGACCTTAGCTGTTGTTGACCCGGCGCATCCCAACACGGTGACCGCGCCATCTTGGCGAGTCAGCCAGGTGGCATCGAGTCACAAAGCAGGAGCACGCATGTAGGCTGCACGGGTACACTTGCATCACACGACACAAGCCCTCAGCAAAGTCATCACAAAAAATGCAATTCACTCTTCCCATGCTCCCCAAGCATGGGCGAAAACCGACATGCAAACAGACTTCGAGAAACACCCCCCCAAACTCCTACTACAGTACGGATTTCAGCATCACAAGAGGATGAGTCGGGAGGAAGAGAGGGAGGGAGGGAGAGAGAGAGAGAGAGAGAGCGAGAGAGAGAGAGAGGGAGAGGAAGAGTGAGAGTGAGAGCGAGAGCGAGAGCGAGACCGGTGAGCGTAAGCGTGAGCCTGAGCGTGAGCGTGAGTGACTGAGTGCGTGCGTGAATGAGTGAGTGCGTGAGTGAGTGACAGAGACCGCCAGCAAGCCGCGCATCATGAGCATAGCTGGCCTGGCTCTTGGCATAGGCCGCCAGCCTGCACGCATCATGAGCGCCAGCCCCAGCCAGCGCGCATCATGAGCATCAGCGGGGCTGGCTCTTGGGGCATAGGCCACCAGCCAACGCGCATCATGAGCATCAGCCCCGCTGGCTCTTGGCGTAGGCCGCCAGCCAGCGCGCATCGCGGGGCTGGCTCTTGGCATAGGCCACCAGCCAGCGCGCATCATGAGCATCAGCGGGGCTGGCTCTTGGCATAGGCCACCAGCCAGCGCGCATCATGAGCATCGGCGGGGCTGGCTCTGGCCGGCAGCCAGCGCATGAGCATCAGCGGGGCTGGCTCTTGGGGCATAGGCCGCCAGCCAGCGCGCATCATGAGCATCAGCGGACTGGCTCTTGGCATAGGCCGCCAGTCAGAGCGCATCATCAGCATCAGCGGGGCTGGCTCTTGCCAAAGGCCGCCAGCCAGCGCGCATCATGAGCATCAGCGGGGCTGGCTCTTGGCAAAGGCCGCCAGCCAGCGCGCATCATGAGCATCAGCGGGGCTGGCTCTTGGCATAGGCCGCCAGTCAGCGCGCATCATGAGCATCAGCCCCGCTGGCTCTTGGCAAAGGCCGCCAGCCAGCGCGCATCATGAGCATCAGCGGGGCTGGCTCTTGGCATAGGCCGCCAGCCAGGGGCATAGGCCGCCAGCCAGCGCGCATCATGAGCATCAGTGGGACTGGCTCTTGGCAAACGCCGCCAGCCAGCGCGCATCATGAGCATCAGCGGGGCTGGCTCTTGGCATAGGCCGCCAGCCAGCGCGCATCATGAGCATCAGCGGGGCTGGCCCTTGCCATAGGCCGCCAGCCAGCGCGCATCATGAGCATCAGCGGGTTGGCTCTTGGGGCATAGGCCGCCAGCCAGCGCATCATGAGCATCAGCGGGGCTGGCGCTTGCCAAAGGCCGCAAGCCAGCGCGCATCATGAGCATCAGCCCCGCTGGCTCTTGGCATAGGCCGCCAGCCAGCGCGCATCATGAGCATCAGCGGGACTGGCTCTTGGCATAGGCCGCCAGTCAGAGCGCATCATCAGCATCAGCGGGGCTGGCTCTTGCCAAAGGCCGCCAGCCAGCGCGCATCATGAGCATCAGCGGGGCTGGCTCTTGGCAAAGGCCGCCAGCCAGCGCGCATCATGAGCATCAGCGGGGCTGGCTCTTGGCACAGGCCGCCAGTCAGCGCGCATCATGAGCATCAGCCCCGCTGGCTCTTGGCAAAGGCCGCCAGCCAGCGCGCATCATGAGCATCAGCGGGGCTGGCTCTTGGCATAGGCCGCCAGCCAGGGGCATAGGCCGCCAGCCAGCGCGCATCATGAGCATCAGTGGGACTGGCTCTTGGCAAACGCCGCCAGCCAGCGCGCATCATGAGCATCAGCGGGGCTGGCTCTTGGCATAGGCCGCCAGCCAGCGCGCATCATGAGCATCAGCGGGGCTGAGGCCGCCAGCCAGCGCGCATCGTGAGCATCAGCGGGTTGGCTCTTGGGGCATAGGCCGCCAGCCAGCGCATCATGAGCATCAGCGGGGCTGGCGCTTGCCAAAGGCCGCAAGCCAGCGCGCATCATGAGCATCAGCCCCGCTGGCTCTTGGCATAGGCCACCAGCCAGCGCGCATCATGAGCATCAGCGGGGCTGGCTCTTCAGGCATAGGCCACCAGCCAGCGCGCATCATGAGCATCAGCGGGGCTGGCTCTTGGGGCATAGGCCGCCAGCCAGCGCGCATCATGAGCATCAGCGGGGCTGGCTCTTGGCAAAGCCGCCAGCCAGCGCGCATCATGAGCATCAGCGGGGCTGGCTCTTGGCATAGGCCGCCAGCCAGCGCGCATCATGAGTATGAGCGGGGGCTGGCTCTTGGCATAGTTCGCCAGCCAGCGCGCATCATGAGCATCAGCGGGGCTGGCTCTTGGCATAGGCCGCCAGCCAGCGCGCATCATGAGCATCAGCGGGTCTGGCTCTTGGCAAAGGCCGCCAGCCAGCGCGCATCATGAGCATCAGCGGGACTGGCTCTTGGGGCATAAGCCCGCCAGCCAGCGCGCATCATGAGCATCAGCGGGGCTGGCTCTTGGCATAGGCCGCCAGCCAGCGCGCATCATGAGCATCAGCGGGGTTGGCTCTTGGCAAAGGCCGCCAGCCAGCGCGCATCATGAGCATCAGCGGGGCTGGCTCTTGGCAAAGGCCGCCAGCCAGCGCGCATCATGAGCATCAGCGGGGCTGGCTCTTGGGGCATAGGCCGCCAGCCAGCGCGCATCATGAGCATGAGCGGGGCTGGCTCTTGGCAAAGGCCGCCAGCCAGCGCGCATCATGAGCATAAGCGGGGCTGGCTCTTGGCATAGGCCGCCAGTCAGCGCGCATCATGAGCATGAGCGGGGCTGGCTCTTGGCAAAGGCCGCCAGCCAGCGCGCATCATGAGCATCAGCGGGGCTGGCTCTTGGCATAGTTCGCCAGCCAGCGCGCATCATGAGCATCAGCGGGGCTGGCTCTTGGCATAGGCCGCCAGCCAGCGCGCATCATGAGCATCAGCGGGGCTGGCTCTTGGCAAAGGCCGCCAGCCAGCGCGCATCATGAGCATCAGCGGGGCTGGCTCTTGGGGCATAGGCCACCAGCCAGCGCGCATCATGAGCATCAGCGGGGCTGGCTCTTGGGGCATAGGCCGCCAGCCAGCGCGCATCATGAGCATCAGCGGGGCTGGCCCTTGCCATAGGCCGCCAGCCAGCGCGCATCATGAGCATCAGCGGGGTTGGCTCTTGGGGCATAGGCCACCAGCCAGCGCGCATCATGAGCATCAGCGGGGCTGGCTCTTGGCAAAGGCCGCCAGCCAGCGCGCATCATGAGCATCAGCGGGGCTGGCTCTTGCATAGGCCGCCAGCCAGCGCGCATCATGAGCATCAGCGGGGCGGGCTCTTGGCAAAGGCCGCCAGCCAGCGCGCATCATGAGCATCAGCGGGGTTGGCTCTTGGGGCATAGGCCACCAGCCAGCGCGCATCATGAGCATCAGCGGGGCTGGCTCTTGGCAAAGGCCGCCAGCCAGCGCGCATCATGAGCATCAGCAGGGCTGGCTCTTGGCAAAGGCCGCCAGCCAGCTTCGCCATCCAGGCTGCTGAGGTCATGACGTTTTTAGCGTCACAGCCGATGCTAACGATGCCAGTTCAAGACACCACCATCCTACACAGCCATGCCTTGCCAGCCATTTCCAAACCTGCGTGTGAGCGCCTTTGCTTTGCGTGTGCTCCGCGAGGGTTGGCGTAGGCGCAGTGGGCAATGCAAGTCGGACATTTCTCACACAACGCCGGGTCTCAAGCGAAACAAAATCCCCCGCGCCATGCGAGATCATGTGCATGTCTGACGGCTTAGGACAAAGGGAGCTTCAAGGCAAAGCTGTAGTTCATGCCGTTCATGCTGTAACCAGCCTGAGGAAGTTCTTCGTTTACATGCGAACCGGCCCTGTCCGTTCCCTCTTGCCACGCCACATGCACTTAGAAAGTCTCAACGGAACATAACCATGAAAGGATTCGAAAAGATCGAGGGCAACCGCAGGCCGACGCAAGTAATATCCATCGGCCTGGGTGGAAGATTGCGGGGGCTCCGGCCTTCGCTGAGCGCGACCATGCTGCCGGACCAGCATCCAATGTGCACCGATATGCACTGATGGGTCTGCAGCACATGGAAGATTGAAGGCCACTTTGCGTACCCGTGACTGGGCGAAGCGAGATTAGGCCACTAAGGGTGACCTCCCAGAAGACTTTGCTACATGTCCCAGCAATCAATGCGTCAATACGCACGTCAAGATACGTCGAGCTACCTGGCATTCTCCGTTTCAGGTCTCTGCGACTCTCTTCACCCATCACCAAATGTGAATTCATCGGAAGCTTGCTATACGAAAGAACTTGCCGATATAACTCTTCTCCGATACGGCACCGCTTCGCGGTTAACGAATCACGAGCTCGCAGAAGCCACGTTCTGGACAACAAATGAGTGAAAAGGTGTGCCTATGAGAATATATCCGGAAGACATCTTCGACACTGCTTCGTGACCAAGGCTCACCACCAGTGAAGTCACCAACCGAAAGTTGCGATTGGAAAAAAGCTCGCGCTTTAGATCATCATCGTGCCGCTAATTACTGAATGTCCTCCTGCGGAGAACGCTTCCGGTTGGCTTGCTCACGGTGCCATGTTTGACATGAGATTTTAGTAGCTAGGCTTCCGGGATCCCACCCGGACCTAATACTGCACTGAGCAAAAATGTTGGGATTGACCCAGCTGCTAAGCTGGATAATGGTAGCTCATCTCGGCGTTTGTCGTCCTCCATGCGAAACACGTAGCAGATTCCGTCTGCAGTCTCGGTTCATCTTCCCTTCTCGGTGTCATCCTCTTCTTTTTCCAGTGTTCTTCTTCTCCCTTCTTGCTCCCTGTCTATCTGCATTTCTTTCTTTGGGGTTGATGCACCTCCATCCCAGGCTGCCCCGAACCCAACCTTAGTCAGCTGTGCTCCCTCTCTATTGTTCTCTCTTCTTCTTCTTCTTCTTCTTCTTCTTCTTCTTCTTCTTCTTCTTCTTCTTCTTCTTCTTCTTCTTCTTCGGCTTCTTCTTCTTCTTCTGCTTCTTCTGCTTCTTCTTCTACTACTACTACTACTACTGCTACTGCTCCTCCTACTACTATTACTACTACTACTACTACTACTACTACTACTACTACTACTACTACTACTACTACTACTACTACTACTACTACAACTACAACTACAACTACTACTACTACTACTACTACTACTACTACTACTACTACTACTACTACTACTACTACTACTACTACTACTACTACTACTCCTGCTGCTGCTACTACTTCTACTACTACTACTACTACTACTACGACTACTACTACTACTACTACTACTACTACTACTACTACTACTACTACTACTACTACTACTACTACTACTACTACTACTACTGCTGCTACTGCTACTGCTACTGCTACACAGCGAAGAGGCCTCCCTGGCGGAGTGGCCCCGACCACGACGGCCCGCTCTCTCGCTCTTTCTTTTCTTTTTGCGTGGGGCCTGGGCGATACGCCATCATCTTTCTCTCCCCCTATCCTTCTTCTGCACTGTTTAGGGCCCTCTCCCGGGGGAAAGAAGCCGGCGGTGAGCCAAGTGGTTTTTGTTCAATTGTCAAGCTCGTTTGGTCCCTGTTCTTCAGGGGTGGATTGCCCCTGCTGAACAATCTCGCGTTCAAGGCGTAGTCGTGCTCGGAGGTTTCGGCTTTGGCCCTCCAGCATTTTTTGTTTAACGTATGTCATTGAGTCTGGACTGGCTCTTTTTTATATTGTTACCTCAACAGTGTGGTGGTGGTACCGGCGCAAGGTGGGTGTTCCATTGCGTTGGGCAAGGGAATGGGTACTGTTGTTGGTGTGTTGATGTGTGGTAAGTCGTGAAGGCCGTGAAGGGTATTGCTGCGCAGTGAAACGGTTAAAGAGGCATGGGGAGGTCTTTTTTTTTTGGGGTGAAGGCAATGGACAAGGGCGATCTCCCAGGGCCTTGGATCACGGTGAGTGGTGAGAGGTCTGTTGGGAGCAAGGTTGTAGATGGAGGCTTGTCTCCCTGTTGCACACGGCAAGGCGACTGTCAGCTCTTCTGTGCTTGCCATCCAGGCGTCACCTGCAACTGCACAGAGGTGTCTCCCAATGTCGAACTGCAGGTAGCCCCCGGGATGCTTTGCGGGTTCGGTTGCTCCACCCTCCAACCAGGACAGGTTCTTCCAGACCAACATGGTGCGATTAGACTCGTGGACCGCGGCAAGGTGTCCGGCCAATCCCCCAGTTTGCTGAAGAATGTACAGTAGTTGGACCATGGGGTCACGTGGTTTTTCTGGGCCAGCATTATTGCTTCCCGCATGGTGCGTGTGTGCCCGCTCATGTCACTGCTCCCCGGCCCGTCTCCCATCGCTGATGATCAATGATCATGCCTCTCTCTCGTTCTGTCTTCCTCGCTCCTCTATGTCCTTCGCTATCCCTCTCCCACACTTCGCCAGGCACTTTTGGGCCATGAATGCTCGGCCTGCCTTGCGACAACTCAGCTCCATGCACCTTAGCACGACATGAGCCATGCCTTGTACCGACCATTTCTACAGTTCTCTGATTGCATTCGCAGAATCGCAGCCAGGGCACGGAGGGTTTGCACCACGAAAGACGTCAAGCCTGCACTTGGTCAAGTTCAGTGCAGGATGAGACTCCTCCGGCTGCCCATAACAACGAGGACTCCCGCCTAGTGAGGCTGCAAAGGCCAGCGAGTAGAAGATGGTATTTGCAAGGCCTCGGCTTGCAACAGCTGTCCACTGCAAGGGGCGAAGCCTGAGGCTTGAGATCATTCACGGTCCGTTCCCTCTTCTTAAAACCAGAAACAGCGAAAACAAGAAAAACGAGATTCACATGAAATGCGCATCTCAAGGTTGACAAGAAACATGAAACAACAATGGAAAACAAGTGAAAACAATTGAGAAACAAAAGGAACAAATGAGAACAAAATCAGACGCAACACGAGAAACAAATGAGACTCAAATGAGGTTGACATGTAACACCAACACCCCGAAATCGCAATGGGCTGCAGGCTCCAAGGCTGCTTGGTGCTTAGGGTTTAGAGGCTTTGGAGGATGGAACTTGTACATGGGTTCTCCTTCTGTTCCGCTGCGGTTGGTCCGTCTCATTGTTCTGTTGCTTTTTCTCATTCGATCTGCTTCTGATCCGGTCCCCTTGGTCGGTCTGAAATTCTGGAATCCTGCCAATGCGTGGCCAAATCAACAAAAAACAAAAACAAACAAAAGAATCATAAAAAAATGAGAAGAAACGGCTTCGCAGGCCACCGAAAAACAAAACAATACAAAACAAACGAGAACATAAATGAGAAACACATCCCAGACGAACACAGGAAACCGGGTAGCCAAAGCCGCTAGGGCAAGAGGCCAGAACATTTCAAATCTTGGGATCCCAAGCATAACTCACTAGCCCTGGATTCCTCGGGGGGGACTTGCCAAGTCACGAAAACGAAAAAACAAACTCAGTTAAGCCGTCTCATTCTGATCTCATTCTGGTCCCATCATCTATGACTTTCCGGACGCAGTTCCATCTACTGTCTCCAAAAAACCCCTGATTCGTGTTTTGCTTATGGACAGAGCTAACAGACCTAAAGATTCTAAACCTAAGGCAACACGGGTGCTGCTCTTCTGAGGACCCGCGCGCCTGGGGTGCAGATCCTCGGCTGCGTCGCAACAGCACTGACGGCACTGTTTTAAGCCTGAGGCTTTATTCGCGGGTACCTCCCGAAGGTCAAGCACCCTCACATATGCTTCACCAGAGAAAAGGCCCGAGCAGCCCTCGAAATCAAACTCCAGGCCTTGCAAACCTAAATCTGCGGTTGTCACAAGGCCAGAGGCTTGCTGACAACGGCTAAGACGATGAAGAAGTTCAGACAAATTTCGTACAGCGCCCGGCGATAGATCATGGCAGGCCACGCAAGCACCTGAAGTGCTGCTGGGCATCTGAAAAGATGAAGGTAAGAGAAGCAGGCCCGCAGCAATGTCGCCCGGTTGCCCCATGCTGCCCATGCTGTGTGCCCTGGGTGTCGTGCGATCAGTGAGCCAAAGCTGGCACCAATCAAGCCGATGACATCCGCCACCTTCTCGCTCCAGAGCGCCACGCAGACGCAGCTGGCCTGTGCATGGGAGAAAAAGTGCGAGAAAACTCAATTTCCCTCAGACATCATCAGACCATCAGACTGAATCAGGCTCAGGATTTCCCTCGCTAATGAGTTGCGGAACAGGTGCAATGATGGTTGTCACGACGACAAAGTGCCTTGCATGCAGGTACAGGTGGTGACGAGTGCCAGCTGCAGCAGGTTTTGCAGATCTCTTACGTCGGGCTCATGCGTCAATGCAGCCGAAGGCCTCACGGGGGTCCTGCGCTCGCTGCCCAGGAGGCCCAGTATGCTCGAGGCCTCCGACAACAGGCTTACTTACTACCGAGGCAACCAAAAGACTGGAAACGACGTATTCACTTTCCCTGTAAATTTCCTGAGCTTCTCGCAGCAGGTGACAAGTTGATCGGCGCTCCAAGGCAAACAACGAGGCCGTAAATGCAACCTTGCAGAGGCAAAAGATGGTGCGAAGACAACTCTTTATTCCTGATTCCACAAACCTCAGATGGCAAGAGGCCCTAGAGCTTCTTCATGCTCTGAAAACGTCCGTTGGCTAGGAAATCAAGGGCCCGTATTGCTAAGGAGGTACTTCCGGGGATCAGTTCTCAGGTATGCATGAATCATGCTCCAAGGTCTCGTCGCAGTTCTGGGTTCTAACTAAAGAAGCCTGCCAAGCAGAAGCTGCGGCCTCTGCGAGACAAGGCACGAACCAAAAACATAAGCATGTCGTCATTTCGATAGTTGAGAATGAAGTCCTGCTCCGTGTATCCTCCAAAAGAGACCTCGGGCTCGTCTTCAAGACACTCTTTGTCCATTACGTCGGCATGCCGCATGCTAAGTCCAAGCAAAAACACATGAACAATGTGTTGAAACTGGGGCACATATCCAGCCACACCCATCAGTGTGTAGAAGAAAAGTTCAATGCACACCTCCGTCGAAAGAAGGGACCAGCAATCATGCCCCTTGCTGCCCCAGCACATATGCAACTACTGGCATTGTGCATACCAAGTCTCTGAGTACAGCGAGACACGCCAGATGCTGCCGCCGTCTGCTTGCTTCAATGCAGTAGCAACGGGCACTGCATTTGTGTGGGCCGCAAACGAGAACCTGCACCACGCAGAAAAGTGCGGCAGCCACAAACATGCCACCACACAGTAGGTGATGCTCCGCCAGGCAGCAAGGCAATGCTGAAGGATTGTAAGGCTGCATACCTTGGGGCTCGTGTGTCCCCGGAAACAAATTTCTTTGGACGTTCTGCTCACATTGCTATCCCTTATTGGTTCATGGCAAGGTACGGATCACTGCTCCACCAAACAAGCTTCCACTGATCGTCTGCACCACCATCAGCGCTCCTGCCACATCTTGCACGTCTTCGCAGGGGCAGTTGGGAGGTTGTAGCATACGGTAGCGACACCGCCAACGATCAGCATTCTGCCGTCACAAGTAACTGCATGCATACGACGTGCCCAGTGTCTGCTCCTGAGCTGTGCATAGCTGGGTGCTCGCCAGGCCACAACCAAGGCAGTGAGGCCGATGGCAAGCACACTCAATACACCTGCTTTTTACTTCTTGTTCCAAACAGTTTATCTAGTTTTCCGGTCCCCTTAGCTTGTGCAGACACGGGCTAACACAAAACTAAGCAAGCAGGAACTCGAGAACCGATGGAGGCTTCCCAAAATCTTCCATGTGCTCATCGGTGACAACGTGGCCTAACTCTGACCTTTGGCTTACGGATTCGTAGTCAGGACTCTTTGACGAGAAAAATCTCCAACTGCTTAGTCTAATGAGTCCACGCAGCAGACATATCGAAGCGCAGAGAGTCGCCTTGGTTGGCTCCGTGAGACGATCGCAAAAGCAGCTAAGCATAGACCGGATCACGTGATGACCAGCACTGCACTTGTGCTCCTTGTGCTTGGCAGGCTGCCGCGGAAGGGACAGCGGCCAAACCACCATGATGGCAATGGAGACCTTAGACATCTGCCAGGGTTCTGAAAGATTGTTGAGCTGCTTGTCCCATTGCCACGCACCTTCAAGGGTCTTCTACTGCACATTTCAGGGGCTTTGTGCCGTCAAGGATTTCGGCCGTCTTCCTCACCATGTCCTCAAACACTTGAACTTGAGGATTTCCTGACCCACTCAAACCTGCAGGGGTTGTTCTTTGATATTATTTGCCTCGTCTATTCTGCATGGCCATCCTCTCCTTGCATGTAGGCAGCTATGAGCATCTCACGCGAGACGTTAAGGTCCAAGAGTGGCGACCTTGGAACCAGAGCTGGCACATAGGAGTGAACTGAACAAAAACTCGTCCTCGTATCCTCGGCACAAACACCTGTCAAATTATGCACTTCCTTGACATTATTAAAGGGGCCTTTTGTGCTCTCTTCATCATAATATGGTGGCGTTCTTTTCCCCGTATAAAAAAAATATATATCCGCCGACCCCACTCCGCCCCTGACCACTTTTGCCCTGCCTTCCGCCCCTAACCCTCCCACCACCAACCCCTTCCCCTGCCCCCCCTCCCCACTACCCTTCCCCTTCCTAACCATTCCACTCCACCTCTCCACTTACCCATCGCCTACTCCGCCCTGACCAATCTTTTGTGTTTGAGACATCCGACCCCTCCCCCACCCCCCCCCCCACCCCCCCTCCACCCCCCCCTACCGCCTACTCCGACCAATTGTCAATCAACCTCTTTTCACTCCACATCTCCACCCCCCCCACCCACACACGCCCTCCCTACCCTTTCCCCCCTCCCCACCACCCTTCCCCTCTCCACTAACCCATCCTCCATCCCTTCCACTGCGGCCCCACCCCCGCCCGCCGGCCTCCTCCGCCCTGACCAATCTTTTTGTGTTTGAGACATCCCCACCCTTCCCATGCCTGCCTACTCCGACCAATTTTCTTGTGTTTCAGGCATCCCCCTGGTGAATCAGGGATTGCAGCTCAGGCGGGCCTGCTCTGGAGATCGGCCGCGGTACTGCCCACGTCACTGGCCCTTTTGGGGGTCGGCGGCACTGGCGGTAGCCATTAAATCGGGCAGCGCGAGGTCCCCAAAGGACCGAGCAAATGCGGACCTTTTAGCCCGGGTCGTCCCGGGAATAGCCTTGCTGGCCTCTGGCCTTCTGCGAAGCAGAATTAGGCCGAACGCCAGTGCCGCCGACCTTTCGCGGCCCGGTCGGTTTTCGTGGGTTGAGGCACGAAAAATGGGACGGGCGCGGATGCCCCATGATGCCCCCCAAGGGGCGCGCATCATGAGCATCAGCGGGTTCAGCCCGGGACCACCAGGCGCGCATCAGGGGACCCCGGGGGCGCATCAGGAGCATGATGCCCCCCAAAGGGCGGGCATAGGACCCTAAACCCTAAACCCTAAACCCTTGACGGATCTGCTCGCCCCGCGCTTCTGCCTGCGCTGCCCGCCCATGGGCGCAGCCCCTTAAAATATATATATTTTTTTTTTTCCTTAAGTTCGCTCTATTTAGTTGGGGTCAGGGGCAAATGTAAAGAACCAATAGCCGGTGTACAGTCCGAATGCAAAAGCTATAATATAAACAGGGGCAAAGAGCCCGTGATGTGCGCCCGTTATTCGCCTCGGCGTCCTGCCGAGAAGCGTTTGGAACAAGCAGACACGGATCCGGTCTCCTTCCCCCTTCCCCCCATGCCTCCCGCCCTGTGGACCCCCCCCCCCCCCCCCATCGCTTGGAGGAGCTGCAAACGGCGGGGGGTCCCGCCTATGGGACCCCTGGGACCCTTCCCTAAAACCCCTTCCCCTTTTTTTGAGGCCTTTCCCAGAAACCCTGCCGGCCTGGCTGCCGAGGCGGCGCGCGCAAGCGTTTACAATTTATTAGAATTAGAGCCAGCCCGTTGTGTTCTCTTCTTCATTCACTTCATTCATTCCATTCACATGCATCTGGGATCCAGACCTGGCAATGCCAAGGAAGAAATCGCCGATGAACATCAAGTAACAGAGAACCGCTGATATCCTTTGGTCGATCGGATCGGAAACAGTGTTTCGATCAACAGCACGGCTGCGAGTGACACAAAGTGAGATGCCCAAGGCGCCCATACACAGCGATGACCACATCCACAATGCGCCCTGATCCACGCCCACGGGCCAATGCCACCAGCTGGGCCATGCCTCTCACAGAGCATTTTCAACAGAGCTTGGACTACACACAGGTCCAATGTCCTCATGGCCCAGGTGATTCAACTTGATTCAACCAGCTACCTTCTTGGTGCGGACAAGCTGCTCTCAGAGTCCGTATAACGAGCACAACTCATCAAAACCTGAAGCAGGTCATGCTCCTCCTGTGCCATCAACTAACCCCTCAATAACTGTCAAATCCGAGTAACTACCAGCGATAAGTGTGCTAAGACTGCCCCCAGTCCCAGCATCAGCAGTCCTGATATGATACCTGAGTGTTGCTCCAAGAAGTGTACGATACTGAGCGACTTGAATAAATTGAAAGTCCTTTTGCAGTTGAGTCAAATTGAAAGCAATGCTATTGCAGTTGCGTCTCCTGAGTTCTTGAGCATGAACGGTAGCCTCAAAAACTTGCCATGCCATGACATCCGGGACTGATAGTAACGCTCTGCGATCTCCCAAGCGCGGCACGACAGGCAACCCGCGCCCATTGCTGAGGAGACCAAAGTGAATACCGCCGCTCCCAAAGAGCCCTGTCAACCGTTCACCATGGGTAACTCTGTAGAAGCGGCAACACTGCGTGTGTTACGGGCACGCTGAACAGAGTATGCCTCCCCCAGCAAAGAGTTGCGCTGCGACAAGCCGACAATGTGCCTGACAACACATGGCAGACAACTTCTGGGAATCTAGAAGCAGCAGGCAGTGGACAAGCAAACACATGAACAAGGACGGGAGGCTCTTCGGTGATGGTATCAAGCCCCTCCAGGTCAAAAGAGTCCAAGCTTGCAGAGCTCCTGCAGCTGCGGAAGAGGTCCAACAGGGAGCAAAAGAGAATCTGGATGCCCTGAGCTCCGTGCTTGGAACACCTGCGCATGGTCTTTCGGATCAAGCGGGGAACCTCAGTAGCAGCTTCGGATTCAGACATAACTTTAGCAGAGCGCAACCATCCCCTTTCACGGGCCACCCCGAGCTACAGGCTCAACTAGGTATCACCATGGTGTCCACGACCCTCTGACCGGTCTCTCCACATGATCCGCGATCCTAAGCCTGGCACGGCTGCCTGCACTGGCGCCGAGAAGTCGAGCCACAACCATTTCCTGAGTTGGGCACCCTCCGAATTTAAAAACTTATATTTACTCCGTTTATGAGATGCTTTTTACATGCTCGATGGTCGGATGGTCGAGTGGTCGAGTCTCCACATCTCTGCATTGGCCACAGAGTTGTAGTTTCGCAGTCTGGTAGCTAACGGCCTGCTGTTACACCTGGAGACAAAAAGCTGTGAACGATGCCTTCTGATCACAGTACACAGACTGCAGCGTCCTTTACTGAGTCCTCTACTGAGTCTACTGCCGCTTCTAACGTGCAAGCTACAGCCTGGTAGGCGGCGTCGAAGGACAGCTGGAGGGTTCCGACTGCGTGGGGCTGCGCGTGGCCTCGCTGGGTGCATCACCGGATGCCTGGCAGAACAGACCCGGACGGATCCAGGAGGAGCATCTTGTGGAGCCACAACTCCAAAAGAGTGTTACTTAAAATCAAGGCGAGCTCCTTGCAAAGTCTCAGCATGGCATAGGAGGACACCCAGCCAGGCTCGCTTGTGGAGTCATGCCGCCTGAGCATTGCTTCTCGGCTGCACTGGAACGACGTTGGACACGTGAGGACATCCGTAGTCATGCTGCAACCCAGAGGCCGCTGCGCGGACATGACCTTCACTTTTGACTTTTTGGGGGGAGCTGCCACTGACCAGACGCTGAAGACATCGGAGAAAAGTCAGAAAGGGACTGATGTGGAACGAAGCTGACTGCGGGGAAGCAAGAGACTTCATGTACGTGCCTCGGCAGCAGGGGCCATTTGGCGGGAAGATTCAGGCTACAGACCTGATCTGGAGCTTGAGCACATTGGCTGCTGCCCTGCGAGGGCGGCATGGCTTCATCCCGCTAGAAGAACAGAAGACTGTGAGTGGGAAGAGTCTCACTGACTACTCTTCACGCCAGAATTCATGCTGCCTGTTGGGTGCCTTTACTTGAGATAACTTGAGATGCATAGCCTCCGCAAACCCACCGGGCCCATGTTTGAAGGTTGCTGAGGTACAGACTCTGCTCCACTTTGAGATGTCTTCAAGCTGCAACCTTCCTGCCTCGGGCTGATAGCTGCTTAGCTTTGTGCCCAGACACACGTACGAATATGCTCTATCCTGTTCTGATCTCGTAGATTCGATCAGATGTGGCTACAATTCGCGGACGCTTGCGGGTCAAGGAGCTCTCTTGTTCAGCAAGGCCAGCAGCAGGTCACGTGCGTTGCCCTCCATGCCCTCAAAGTTAGCCAGCTTGGATTTCAAGACCCAGTTCCCACAGACCAGGATGGCACAGTTTCTGAGCAGACTCAGGAGTGGGTCGAGTGGGTCGGAGCCCTCGGAGCCCTTCCGGAGTGCGCTCGTGGTGCTCGGCGGCAGGCGCTTGCGCAGCTGTGCGAAGGAGGCGACTCCTAGGTGTCTCACGACGGCTTCGACTTGCCTCTCCACGGGCATCTTGCTGAGGACGTAGGAGCTGAGTCCATCTTGGTTCATGGACGCCTTCTGTCGCAGCTGCCGAAGTCGGCTACGCTCCTCCGCATGTCCGCACATCGACTTCAGAAAGGAAACATTGTCACCGTCCAGCTCAAGCGGCTGCAACTTCGGATGGTCTGGGGCGTGTCCTTCCATGTCAGCCTCAGCTGCTTCATTGGCTGCAAATACGATGTGCTGTAGGTAGATGTCTGCAGATTCAGGTGAAGTTGCATCGAAGAAGTCGAGCCTCTTCCATGCATCTTCTGTGTCAGCTGCCTTGTTTTCAGCTGCGCTCTGTGCACCTCTGCTGCTGATGTACTCCACCCGCACTGGGGCCATGGGAATGTCCGCCGGTTCACTCTGACCAGGCTCTTCCTCCCCACTGTCAGATGCTTTCTCTGCAGCTCCTCCCGCTCCTTCTGGATCGACCGTGACGCCGGTGACCCCGGCTGTCTGCTTCGACTTTAACTTCTCGAAGTCCTCGAAGTCTGGTCTTAATTGATTCACTGCGCGGATAGGTGTCAGTGTCATGCGACCCTGGCGAATGACACCCACAGCGTAGCTACATGCAGGATTTGCTGCAACAGTTGAATTTAATGTATGCCGCTGCTCGTACTTTTCTTGCATGACATCCTCTTCCGCGTAGTGGTCGTTTTGATGCAGCTTGTACACGAATCGCAGCCGACGAGACTTTGGTTTAAGCTCAACCTTGTCCAGCACTCCTTGATCCCCATAAGGTCTGTAGCTAGGTCTGAGGGGATATTGCAGAACATACATGTCGCCGACAAAGTCTGGAGGGTCGTACATTCGGTTCAAGTAGACATCGCATTCGTGGAGCAGCTCGTCTTCTGATTCAGGCTCGTGAGACTCGCACGCCTCAGTGCCAATTTAGCTTCCGAGTTTGCATCGAGGGACCCCTGGCCAGAAATGACCGACCGCTTGCTGACCACTGTCTAGAGTCTCATGTTTGCCTCTTACTGAAACCCCGTGCTGTCTTCTCGACTTCTTGCTCTGGGTGGTGAGGTTTGGGGCGAGGGGGCGTGCGGGATCTGCTTGAGCTTGTGCCGATCTGATCCAAAAGCTTGCTGCTCAAGGACAGACAACAACACAAAGATCAAGCTTATTCAGCTTTGTTTTCCCTTCAAACCCAGGTTCCGAAGCACCACAATGCGAGACAGCGCCGCACTGCCGAGACATGTTGACTAGCCATCTGGACGACAAGGCGATACAAAGACTTAGCCACTTGAGTTGCACCATGCAACCTGATCGTGCTGAGGCAAGCCCGCAAGTTGATCGTGGCCGCTCGGGTCAAGCTCCTCTAACTCCAAGTCGCTCGCCATCGCAGCTTCAGGCAGTTTCAAGCATTTTCAGGCATTTTCAGGCAGTTTCAGGCAACTTCTCAACTTTGTCCAGTGCTTGTGGTGCATCAGGACTTTTGCAACAACATGCCTAGGAATGATGCTAGAAAATACTGCAGTCCTGCAGCTGTTCACATATGATGAATTTCTGCTTGCCACTTTGCGCTGGTCAGAGGTTGCTCTGCTTGTTTACAATTGACAGCATTTGCTTGAGCGCGAGTCTTTTACGGACATTCTCTCTTATCAGAAGCCCAGAAGCATCCCAGCAACACCGTGCACATTCCCTGCAGCAGGCAGCGCAGTACCTGCTGCGCAAGTTCGCTCTATTTTGCCTGTCACTCAATGTTGCTGCAACCGATCTCCCTAGGCTCTCACCTTGCCAATAAAGGGCAAATCCTGCCGCAGCTCCAGCACAATGTGATCCTAAGCCCTTAATTAATTAAGAATTCAAAGCCATAACAAGCTCAGGCAACGTGTGCCTCGGGGTCCCACCATTTTCTGAGCTGCATGCAGTTGTAGGCCAAGGCCTGGAAACAGTCCATGGCAGTCCAGGCAAATGCAGCCGGGAGCAAGTGAGCAAGTGAGGACGCGTCCATAAGTCCAAGCAGCGAAACCAGCCCTGTGGGCATCACCTGCGTCACACTGGGCTCTGCTACAACCTCACACTGCACTGGTCGCCCGAATCCTGCCAAACAACGAGCTCTAGGCTTTCTTAACCGTGCATGTTAAAAACTACATGAATTTACCGCTTGTCGAGATTGGAAATGCACCCAGAACGATGCGACGACTGAAAAAGGTCTGCACAAGAATCGGTGAACTTGAAAGCAGCGGCTGCTACTGGCTGAGCCAGAAGTTCCCACTCCGCCTTTCGTGTGGAGAGGAAGCGAGGCAGCATGCCCGCCTTTTATTGCATCCCGCTTTTTATTATGTCACTGCTGAGTCAGCACGCTCCACCCCCAAAGGCTCAGGTCGGGACTGTTAGAGCGCCGCTGGTCGCGGTGCCCAGAAGGAAAGCGGACTGGCTGCAGTCTCTCTCCAAGAGAAGGGCACGCGAATCACATGCACGATCGAGCCTGCGGATCTTTCTCCACCAACATGCCGCTGGCCACCTGGTGATCCGTGCAATGCGCTACTGCTTCGCTTTGTCACCTGCGGAGCTTGAATTGGAGCTGGTTGGTCTGGGCAAACCTTCCGATTGCCTTCCCAAGGAGCTCATGGACCCCTAGTCAAGCTGTTGCGATGACTCAATGACTCAACGGCTGTGCCTAACTGTGCAATGTTCCGCCAGGTCTACAAACACCAGAGTGTCCCAGATGTCGCATGCGGATGCACGCAATAGATACGCCGCAAGAACGGTGCAGGAGTGGGGTCGGCGAGGCCTGCGTTTCAGGAATCCAAGCTGTGTCGGTTGTTCCATGTTCGTCCATCGGCGTGATGTGGCAAAAAATGTGGCAAATGTGCTTGCTCGTTGCAGGGGTACTGGTCGTTGCGGTGGTACTCGTGCTGCTATTTCCTCGACTAAGCATGTCGTGATGCACGGAGGCCATTCCCAATCGTCCCAGCGTCTGTCTTTTTCACGAAATCTGTTCGATCCAGAATCAAAGCGCCAGTTTCGAATTCGCTCCCGAGGTGATGTCTTTAGGACTCGGTGGCCTTGATGTGGAGCACATGCAGACGGAGAGCCCTGGTTTCCGTCCCCGAGGCTACGCTCTGCCATGGATTCTGGTACTTTTCAGATTCTAGTTACTTCGGATTTACATGGCTTGACCTTTCGTGCTTGTTCTGGGTGCTGGACCATGAGCACTCCGCAGCCTCCACCTCCCAGCAGCGACGGCCTCCAGAATGTGCCGGGAAACTTTCTTCATGTCGTCAGGTCAAGTAGCCTGAGCACCCGACACACTGCCTGCCTTGTAGTATCCATAGGCACCTGCACACAATTCTTTGGAATCTCCAACACCATCATCCGAGACCATCATCGCAGGCGGCGTGTCTTTCTCGCAGCATTGCCCGCTGGCGGGGAATCTTATGCCATTCGCATGGCATGCAGATCGAACCTCATGCTTCACAAGGGTGAGTCGCAGCCGTGACATCTGACATTGCTGCTTAGCTCACACTTCGGCAAGTAAAGCTCGGGCCAATCTAGCCCCTTCTCAAACTCCTCCACCCACTGCCGGTCGGACGGCAACTCATGAATCGGATTCCACCTCAAAGCCGCTGTTTCAAATGGCCGCGGGTTTTCCCGGCTCCCACCTGCACCTGAGCTCCCTGCCGAAGACCCCGGAGGTAGTCCACCGCGGCCACACCGAAGGGACCACTCCCACAGCCTGGGACCTCGAGAGCATCGCATCGTTCTCAGAAGGCTCTGGGGGGCGAAGAGTATGAGTACTTTCCTACTGGCCGCCTCTTTGCTGTATTGCCCTTGCTCGCAAGGCGAAGGGGAATAGACATACCTGGGCACACGCGCACGGAATTTGCAGACCATGCTTCAGTACGCGTGGATACATGCAGTGGGGCGCAGACTGGCGGCAGGCCTTGTAGAAGAGGTAACCTCGTCTGCACGCGAGCTTCTGTTCTTCCCTGCACACATGCTCGGGTTCCAGGCCTAACTCCTTCAAGTTCCTGTAGAAGGGCTCAAAAAGCTGTGCAGCCTGCTGTTTTGCTCGAAGTGGTCAGAAGCAACTCAGCCACATTGGCAACCACATTAGCAGCGACATGCAACAGCTACATGCAACAGCTGACACAGCTGCTGCTTCCCACGGCTTCCCAAAGCCTCCAACTCCATGGAGAGGAATTTGGGCAACTCAGGTCGCCGGCCTCAACTGCTGCTAACACCTGCTCACACCTCTTACCAGTATCTCAAGAAAGGATGCGTGCCGCACGACACCGACTATGGGCAAGGCCAGCATCTCTTTGAGACTGTACCAGCGAGTCCAAGCAGTCGATGGTACTGGATTCCACATCGATCTTCATGTATACCTTGCATCTAGAACAGCATCTTGCAGCAAAGGATGCAGCAAAAACTCGGCGCATGGAAGCATGGCAGCTGCGCGCGCTAAGCTCCACACAGCTTGGCCAAACAAGCGCAGCAGATCAGCGCATTCGATAGTGCCTCCGCTTGACTTGAAGCGGAGTTGAATCGAAGGCTTTCTGCAGCACAAGTACATGAAGCACATCGACTGTTTCTGTTGAAAAGCTCACAGACCGTCAGGAATGAGCTTCAAGAACCCTGGTTCCGAGTCTGCAGCGGACAGAGGTGGCCACGCCGCCAACTTCCTCCACCCACGCCTGCGCGTTACTTTGCTCCTGGCAAAGCAAGGTTCAATAAGGTTCACTTGTCGTGCCGTGCATCGTAGATCATCGTAGTGCACTCTCAGCGTGCCGGGGCAGTCCGGACGCTGGTCGAAGGCGTAGACGGTGGTGCTGCTGCCGCCTCCTCCTGGTGGTGCAACTGCCTAAGACCCAGAGATCGGGAGAGGCCGTCGTACTATGGAAGGTCAGAACTTCAGAACTTCACATGTCAAAGGACCTGGCAGCATGAAGAAACAACAGCTTCCCCGCCAGCACCAAAGGCCTCAGTTGCCACCGTGCTTCCCCAGACAGAGAGCCGCTAAGGGGCTCAAGCCGGAATCTCAGGTAACTGCTTCACCCAGTCGATGGTCATCGCCACCTTCTCAGAACATCTCGTGTCTTGCCCTCTACTGTGGACCTCTTGCGTTGTCTTGCTGCTCTTTGGCCTCTATGGCCCGTCGATTGGCTTCCACGGCAACAACGCGAAAGCCCTGCGACAGGAAGTAACGCCTTTGTCCATGGCAGATACAAAACGCCTGCGCCAGGGAACAACGACATCTCAGTAGCGTACGAGTCCGCTCCCAGCCCCATGCCTCCAGGACGCAGGCCAAACGGCTAAAGCTTCTGACGCTCTGTAGCGGATTTCATCTCCAAGGCCTACATCAATGACCAGCGGAGCAGCCTGGTGAAAGTTGACTGTAGCCTCTCAAGAGTGCCTAGCAGGGACTGCGCTGCCTCTGCTCCATCTGCTCTTCCAATCTCGGCTTCCTCTGGCATAAGGCTTCGATGACAGTCTGCAAATGTCTGCAAGATGCAGGTCAAAGGTGGTCCTGGATGTGCAGCACTGGATCCGGCAGGTGATACGGAAGTCCCAGGATATAAAAGTTGTAGGCCACCTGGCATCGGGGGAGCAGTGTGCGAAAGTTGACCAGCCCAACACACAGGTACCGGCCTGAGAAGGGGTGATGCCGTACAGCGCGAAGAAAGTGGCCTGCAGAGGCTGGCAGATCTGGTTACTCGAGGGCGGCATTCACAGCATATTGGGATGAGACGGGAGCCCACCAGTACTTGCAGATGAGGCATGAAGAGACAGGGGCTCAGCAGTAAGCTCGACATCAGCATCCAAGTGGAACAAATCCCGGAAGGGGAGGACGAGGGGGGGGGGGGGGGGAAGATGCATCTCACATTTCAACACCCGCCAAGCCCAAGCAAACGACTGAGTCGGTCCTCTCCCACCTATTCATTCCTTTCCCCCCCCCCCCCCCCACACCGACGGATCTAGATGGCTCGGACCACCAGAGTAGCTGAACCAAATTGAAATTGAGCTACTCAGACACCCCAAGCAAGCCAAAGACGCAAGCGCATTGAACTTCAAGCCCCAATGCACTCCACAAACATCTTCGACGGTTAGCCCAACTTGCCCGAAACTCCCGAAGCTGGCCTCTTCAAAGGCGCAACCCGTGATTAGAGACAATCCTGACCAGATTCTGTGCTCTTGAGCTGCTCATTGCTTCTGCAAAGGCAGTAACTTCTTTTGCAGATGCAAAACTCATGGGGGTGCGGCCGATGTCGTAGAAGGACCAGGGCTGGATGGACTGCGCAGGAAAATAGCTTTGATGGAGCACACGGAGCGCACACACGGAAAGAGCACACACTGAGCACACGGATGGAGACAGGAGCAGGCGCATGACATGGCTCTGACAAACCCCTGTGCTCGTTGAACGCTAGGCAACATGCTTGGTGGAGGTACAGACCAACAAAAGCCCGACAGGAAAACTTTAGGGCGGGAGGGAAAGTGCTAAACCCAGAAGGCATGCAACATCTAGGCAAGATTAGAGTTCTACACAAGATTTGTCCGATGCTCGACCTGACTTCGCGTTGACGCGAAGACTGCCAGGAGGAAGCCAGACACGCACGTCCTTGGAGTCTCGGTTGGCCACAGAGCCGCTCTGAAAGCCCGCCCGCATGTCTCGGTTCAGGGCTCTTTCCAAACTGGGTGCAGATTCACCTCCTGATTCTTGAGTAGGTCAGGAAGTCTCCATCACCACACAAGACATGACAAAACTCTATGTCGCGCTTTGCAATGCTATGGGGGGCGTCTCTCAGGGAAGGTAGATTGCCCTGTCCTCGGCTCCGATCACCGGGAGCTGAGGGCGCTGGGTGTAGAGCAAGTCCTTCCATTTGACATGGCACGTTCTCCGACGTACATGCTTCACTCCATTTCCACATGTGTTTTTGTTTTGAAAAGCTTTGTCGACTTCAAGACCCACGAACATGGATCATCTTCAACACCTTTCTGTTGCTGCAATCATGTGCAGCCCGGATGCCCTGACAAAGGCAGGGGGTCAGCCGTGCCCAGCGTTGCCAAACAGCAACAGGAGAAGGGCCAGAACTCTTGACTGCCGCAAACGGGTGAATGCTTATCACTCTACTCTGCCCACTGGCTTCTCCCCTTGCACTCGCTCCTGCAGAACACCGCGCGCCTGGAGCACCAGCCTCAGCACTTCAGCCGCACAATTTGCCAAACCAGGCCACCTGAACTCTCCAGAACTCGCCGCCTTGTGAAGCCTCTGTATCTCACGCCGCCAACACGGTTTGGGCGAAGCTTAGGGACTTCATTCTCTAGGGCTTGGAACAATGGAGGATAGTTCGGTTTGGTCAGGTGGGTTACGTGCGCTTCTGCTCTTCCCTCTCGGTGCGTTGCTGTTGGCTGTCGCAGAGCCAACACCGAGTCTGTGCAGGAACGCAATGGAACACGCAAAAAGCTGGGGCAAAAGGGGCTCTGTGACTCTACGGGCTCTGGAAGCCGAGAAGACGAGAGCCTTCTGACTTGGGAATTGAGCGTACACGACTCACAAGACCACTCTTCGGCTGGCCTTCTGCTTCCACTCCTGGTCAAATCAAATTCCCCAGCAGACCTTCGGGTTCTCGGACCAAGCCCAACAATTTGGGTCATTTTTCGGAATCAGGGAGTAGTGCCACGCTCCTCCAGAAAGCTCCTGAAGGGTTCGGCTGTGCAGGCCGTCTGGTGGAAGTACCTCAAGCCGTATAGCACACGGACACAGCCGCGCTGTGATTTTGGGTTGCTGTCTTCGAGGAGCCGCACGGGCAGCCGGCAGCGCTGACCTCTGAACTGACCGCCTGTTCAAGCACTCACCAACTGTACATCCAGTTTCTCATCTCAAAGTATCTCAAAGGAGGCAAGAAAGCCGACCCCGCTCCTCCGTTGCCAGACTGATGAGGAGTGGGCCTCAAGAGAGGCACGCGACATCACGAGGCATCACGTTGCACACATCTGAGGGATAATGGTCCGTCTCGTGCACTGAGGCCATCACTGAGTGCCCAGGAGAGACGAGCAACCATGGCATCATCCCGCCAGTGAACAATGGAGACTCCGAACTAGATTGGAATCTTGAAACGTTTGGTTAGGGACAGCTGGCGCACGCAAAGCAGTGAAGCTCCGACTGACACCATGAACTCACAATTCTACACCATTCGGTGCCATGAGACTAACGAGACTAATGGGACTCAAGCTTCTGCTGAGACGCCAAACATGGGGAAGCACAGACCAATCCCGAGTCCCAGCTGAGGGTTCAAGCTTCTCACAGCTTCTCAGAAAACACGAGTCAGAAAATCTAATTCAGAGATTGAATCAGAGAGCACGAGCACCTCCCGCGGCCAATAGGCCGCCCACGGTGAGATTCGGATGAGCTGCACCTCGCTTGAAACTTCTCAAGAGATGCAGCGACGAAGCACTGCCATGACTTTTCCACGCCGAAGCTTTCAACTTGGCTTCCGCACCGGGTGGAGCCATGACTGGAGGCGGAGCTGGTCGCCGCTCGATAGGGCTTTGCGGAGCTTGACTCTATATTCAGGCGCAGAACCTGTACTCTTACGCCGTGTCACTACTGTATCATACTTTTTTGTGGAGGCTAAACAGCAAACGGCAATATGCTTAGTGTCATGATGTACGAGACACCCTTTCTTGGTTGAGGCTGGCTGCGAAAACCTAATTGCCAGAGGCCCGAGCCCTAGATCACCCTACAAACCAACATGACATATCTCCATGACGGTCAGCCTTCAGTTCTCTACTTGAGACTGCACCAAGTCGCGGGATGTCAACGTATGTCAACCAAGATGCTTGAACTGCGCAAGGCTGCTGGGGTGACACACAGGACCTAACAACCCCCCCCCCCCACAAGTGAACCAATGGAAACCTGGTGGGATCAGCGCCACCGCGTCTCAGCGCCAGGTGTCCACAAGCCTGACATGCCAAGTGTTTTCAACGCAGACCCACGGTGATAGGCACTGAATGATGCTGCATGGATGCCGCCGCTGCATGGTGCCTTGCAAGCTTTAGATGAGCCTCGACCATTTTGTACTGCGCTGGCACTTGACAAGCAGCAGCCATAACTGCAGCTGATTCAGCTGCACCTTCGACGCTAAGTGTAGCCGTGCTCCCCATGAGCGATCATTAACGCAGCTGAAAATGCATCCAGTCTCCCTGGCAGGGCAGTGAGGAAGATGCTCTTCTCAGCTCAATCTGAAGCCCGCGGGCCAATCAAGGGCCCACACACTTGACTTGATTTTGCTTTCCCATGTCTATTTGGGTCTTCTTCCACCATGTGGTCCACCTTGTGCACTTCCTGAGTCGAGAATGCGGGCCCCTCTTTGGCCGTATCATCTTTGCTGATCCCAGGGGCTTCGAGATAGAAAAGCAGCTGGCAAGGACAACGCCAAGATGTCATCTGACACTCGGCTCTGACCAGCCACCATTCTACGTTCCATTTACACGACACGTTGCTTTTAGCAAACTGAAAAACAGAAACGCTTTGAGAGCGTCCTGTGGCCGAACTTCTTCCGTCCAGCGAGTCTAGAGTCTAGGGTCGAGGATTCCATGTGGTTTCATACTCAATGTTGCACTCCAATCACTCCATGACCATGAACGCATGTCACCCCGGAACAGGCCCGGTATTGGCCCTGGCCACGACTATGCTACTGTTCGCCAACAAACCCAACGTCCATGAACAAATGATCGGCTCTGCATCAGGCTTCAAACGGCTTCTCCATCACGACTTCCTGAAATCGCGGAACTGGGTGAGAGGATATTCTGCAGTTCGGGCCCCTCACCCTCCCACCTGGCCTTCGCGTCAAGGACGCCTCCGCCTCCATCATCTCCTGGTCACAGAACGCCACCGTGGCTATGCACACACACACACACTCACAGGGTGGCCTGTGAGTCGGGCAGATGAGCGAAAACAGAGTGGGCCAAGTCCCGAAAACGAAAGCAGGCCGAGTCAGAAAACAGGACAGCACGAGTCAAAAAAAAACAAAGACACCATGGGCCAGAAGAACAAGAGAGGAAACAGGAATCGCGTGTCCATCTAAATCCCTGAAACCCTAACTGTAAAACCCTGAACCCTTCAAACCTTAAATTCGACCCTCAACCCCAATCCCTAAACCCATAAACCCACTCTGACCCCCCAAAATGCTCATCGGTTTGTCTAAAGGTCAGGCGATGCCCCTTTCTTGTCGCCCCGTGTCTTGGGAAACCTGTATATGACTTACATATCAACGCATGAGTTGGGACCTATTCGTGTCTGCGCAACGAACGTCGTCCCCCATTCTCGGTGGACTACCGGTGGACTCCAACGAAGGGTTTGATCTCTGCATCGCCGCTTTAGTTGGCCCGAAACTGTGGGCTGATACCTGGGACCCCAGCTGGAACTCCATTCCTGATGTTGTCCAATCCATGAGACAGCATTCCCACAAGGGCCCACTCTTCGAACCAAGGTTTTGTCTCTGAGCAAACAGCAGGGCCCAAAGTGTGTGTGTGTGTGTACCCTCATTTGGCAGACATTTCTCCGGGCTCGTGGTGGGAACTATGAAGCCAGCCCCTCCTGCAAATGAAGCCCGGCAAAGGGGCCCACGGCAGGGCCCATGCGGTTCACGGCGTGGACTGAGGGCGTTTTTGTTTTCAAGTCAGTCGCGGAGACTCGCAGATACTTTTCCTGACTGGAAGCCGTGGAACACCATAGAAAGCCATGGAAAGCCATAGAAAGCCATGGAAAGCCATGGAAAAGAACAGCCTACAATAGTCATCATGAACCATTGAGTGCACAAGCATCCGTCCCGCAGGTTGACCCCGACACGCGTGGCACGCCGCTGTGCCAGCCGCTGGATGCTTGCCTCCAGAGCTCGCACCGTCAAGCGACTGTCAAGCGAGGTTTCAACCCGGGCTGGCCAGAAAGAATCTCGAGCGGAGGCCTCATCATCATCACCACCAACCCCAGCCAGGTCCTACCACCGTGCAAGGCAAGAATGCCCGAATGTCTGAACACAAAGAAAAACCAACAACACCATGATGCAACGATGCTAGTAGACAAGAGTGACGCTTCGCGGCACCTGCAGTCGGGATCCCCCCAGGGTGGCACGCCGCTGGGTCATGCGGCGGTGGGCCTCCTCCTGGCCCCCACAAATTCCGCACACTGAAAGATTTCCAAGCAGGACAAAGCAGGGAGAGTCGCCCGCCTCGAGGCCATCCGGAGCCAGGTCCTGAAGCATCGAGTAACACGTGTACTTCCAGCCCTCTTTTTCACAAGATCCGTATCTCTCAGCCCTCCTGTGGCTTGTTGCCTCGAAAGCCGACCCGCAGCAGACAGTGCGTCAGGACCAAGGAGAAATTGCGCGCCGACCGTAGAACCGGAGCCCACATTCGGCGTTTCCCCCACCATCCCCCCCCCCCGCCCCCCCAGCACCCCCCACACTCTCCTTCGCGCGTCCTCTGGCCGAGGCGGGTCGGACATTTAACATTTCCGCCATTGCCTCTAATTTGAGGATATAGTTGAGTATAGTTGACGAATGTTGTGGATATGATGGCACTGTTACAGTTGCATGCGAACTCCCAGGCTCCTGCAACTTGGCCCCGCCAAGCGTGGCCCGGCGCGTTGAGCGGTGGGGCTCGTGTGCGGCCTCCTTTGAAATCCAAAGACCCATGAGGATCAAGATCAGGTTTCTCATGATTTCTCTGACGAGGCTGCATGCAGCTACAAGTTTGCGTTTTCCACATCAGTTTTTGAGCAGGGTAGGAACCGGGCTCGCCTCTTTCGAGACCTGCTTCAAGGCTTCGGTGTCCCCGGTGCTGATGGCAAAGCTCTTGCGTTGTGCTCTCATTTCTTTGCCCAGCCTTAGCTGAGCTACTCTTGTGTACTTGCGTGTACTTTCTCACAGGGCACCACCAGCTTTCCAAATGCTCAAAGCTGATACAGAGAGAGAGAGAGAGAGAGAGAGAGAGAGAGAGAGAGAGAGGGCGGGAGAGAGAGGCCGGGAGGGAGGGAGGGAGGGAGAGCGACGGAGGGAGAAAGGGAGGGAGAGAGAGGGAGAGCGAGAGAGAGGGAGAGCGACAGAGAGAGAGTGAAAGTGAGAGAGAATGAGAGAGTGAGAGAGTGAGCATCGCACATTGGCCGCAGGCAGGTAATGCTCAAAATGGCTACACATGGCTCCTGACGGTTTAGTGATGGTTTTGCGGTCATTCACAGCTATGTATTGAGTTCCGCCGCATCGCCGAAAGACTGCTTGCATCGCCAGGCAGCTGCTTGTAGACGAACTGGTGGACCTTGGATGCAAAAGCTGTCATCTCCTCCACGTTGAGACCCGTTGCCTCGTCATCTTGCTGAATCTCGGAGTCCCAAGGTTTGCTGTCCATCTTCACCTGGACGTAGAGGCTGTGGAAGGCAGGCTTCGGGATCTTCGGAGGTGGCTGCTTGTGCAACCAGAAGAACTCCTCCAAGAATTTGATGGCCTCGCCCGAGGCCCACTCGATGCGCCCCGTCCGATCCTTGTCGTGCTTCAGGAAGAGCTTCCGGGTGACCATGGCCTCAGTCGAAAGGATGAGCGAAGGGAACGGTCGAAATAGACAGAGAGAGAGAGAGAGACTGCGCGTGTACACTACGCCAATCTACGCCAGCTTATTTTTAATCAGCACTGCAATCTACGCCAGCTTGAAGAACAAGCGGCCACGTGCTCCGGGTCCCAGAGGTCCTCTTCGTTGTAGGTCTCCAGGGTGGAGCGGAGTCGGCTCCTCTCCACCACAACAAGGGTGGGAGGGTGGAGGGTTCTACTTATGTTCTACTCTTGTGGGAAATGCCAGGAAGCTGAGCTCATGCGAGTCTGCAGCTGAGTCCACAGCTTCTCCTTCGGCAAGGCTGCGATGTCTCGTTGTAAGTGTCATAGTACTCCGACACTGCGGAATATTGCCTGCATGTGTAGCAATGTGAACTGCTACTGGTTTTTCTCAACACGACCACTGCAAGCCCAGTGCAACGATGACGATCCGACAACATGCCGCACAAACCTCCTGCCAAAAAACCTTTGCAGCTCTGCCGCTGCTGCACGTGCTCCACTGGTGGCCCTTTAAGAAAGATTCACCATGAACGGATGCTGTAGAGGCCGCGCCCGCTACCAATAGGCCCCCAACACTTGAATCCCAGCACCCGAGAAACAAAAAGGAGGCATCATGTTCCAAAGTTTGCAAGAGGCAGCAGCCATGACCAGTCCGCAAGAACTCCAACTTTACGCACACAAGGCAAAGGAAAACAAAAGTGCTGCTAATTCGTGCTGTGTTACGACACGGTGGACATTCTGCCTGCCATCGGTTCACCACGATCACTGGCAGACTCGTCATCGGACTGCAGAACGAACGACACGGCGGATCCTGTCCTCCGGGTCACTTCACGCTGCAAGTGTTTGACAACTTCGCAATTCCCAACATCCACACTCCAACATGCGCTGCACTCTGAGACCCTCTTCTTGAGGGAACACTTTGTCCCGTCTGGGCTTAGGGAGTAAAAGACCTCCAGCGGATGTAAGGCATGGCTATGCACGGCTGTCCTCTGGAAATCCACGGACTTGATGCGGGACTTCGGCGAGCGTTTCTCAGGCTTGTCGTCGGCTGAGTCGACATCTTCGATCTTCTCAGAATGGACGCTTCCAGGCAGAGATTGTTGCTCTTCTGTGCCGAAGAGCACCGTCTTATTCTTCCTGCGTGCTGAACTCATGGGCCTGCCATCAGTTTGCACACCTGTGTGCTCAACCTCCCGCTGGGGCACGTGTCGCAACTGTACACGAAGCGTTTGCACTTCATCCTCAAGATGGGCTGAAGAAGCCTCGGCATTCCTCAGCTGAACTTGCAGCTTTGCTGAGGCAGCTTCTGTCTCAACAGCTGCGGCCTCCACATGTCTCAACCGCACCTGAAAAGCTTCCTCTTTGTTGGCTTCACCGTGACTGTCTGATACCACCTCCCGCAGCTTTGCCATTAAGCCCTCAGGCAACTCTCGGGACTCGGAATCTCCAGCCTCGACATGCCGAAGCTGCGCCCGGATCTCTGCTGCCAGCTTCTCTTTATCCGCCGCCACCGCCTCGATGCTCCGTAACCTCATGCTGAGGTTCTGCACTGACGCCTCTTGGTCTGCCGAGGACTCGCCGGCCTTCCGCAAGTGCGCATGGAGGTCGCTGCTGAGCTTCTCCAGCTGAAGAGACGAAGCTTGCACATGCTTAAGCTTCACTTCCTCCAGGCCACTCTCCCCTTCCAAGTTCTCGCCGTGCTCGGTCTTTCGCAGCTGTAGGGAAGTATCTGCATTTTCTGCACCCTTCTGCCCCGGCGATTCCCAGTGGACGAGCTTCTGCCGAAGATCCTCCGAAGCCGCTTCCGAATCCACGAGTGACTTCTGCAGGCCAGCGCAGTGCGCCTTGCTCCTTTCTGCCTCCTCTGCTGACTCTTCAACTGTGGCCTCACAATCACAACAAAGCCCCAAAGCAGAAGCCCTGCTCTCTAAACTCTAGACCTATCGCACGAGATTGACATGCTGTACGGGGCCCGACTGCCGAAACTCTGCTCGCTTGAGCCTCCAATTTCTTCACCAGATCTCTTAGAGCCGATGCCTTGACAGCAGCAAAATCAAACTTGAGGGGCGGAACTGCTGGATCGCACATCTCAAAGTCTGTTCCTGCCTCTTCTGCTGCCCTTGTGGCATCCTTTGACGTTGCCTTGCACATGGAAGATTGTCCAACGGGAAACCTCTGCAATACAACGGCACTTTGCTTAGCTGAGCTTGCCTCCGCAAGCAGACCCCCTTGATCCATCAAACGCACACAGAGCATCTGGCCTCCAGCTTCAAAATCTGATCTCTCAACGTAGATGCCTCCGGTAGAGGCTACAGCTTGCAGAGCACAAGTCGTGCAAATAACGCACGCATCAGAATCTCTTGCTGCTCTGCCTCTGCAGCTGCTTGCTGGGTGGCGCCCTGGGAAGCTTCCTTGCATGGACGTATGTGAGAAGCGTTGGGGCTCTCAAAAGTAGCTGTATTGAGGTACTTGTACTGCTGGAGCTGCACCGGTCGCAACCAACACCCTAAACCCCGACTAACCGGCTTGCTGAGACAAGATTCCTCCAGCTTCTTCACCTGATCTCTCAAGGCAGAGGCCTCCGCAGCAGCATCAGCCTGCACGGGGAGCGGAAGCGCCGGGCGCGGCTCGGCAGTAGCCAGTAGCTCACTCGATGGCAGTCTCCATGAAAGCCTGCCTCTGCTGCTGCCTGCTTTCCTGCATCTTGCGATGCTGCCTGCGATGCAACAAAAGGGGTTATGCAGCAACAAAAGGTCTTAGGTCTCTAGGATTTACGCCTCAGGGCCTCAGGGTATTTTCGGGCTTTAAGGGTTTTAGGGTGCTAGGGCTTCCGGTGTTAGGACTTAGGGTTCTACGGCTTAGGGTTCCAGGCTTTCGGGTTGCGGGGTTCTAGGGTTTGAGCGTTTTAGGGTTAAAGGTTTTCAGGTTTGGGTTTAGGGCTTACGGCTGAGGCCTGGAAGGTTCAGGTTCTCTGCGTGTTTTGTTGTGCTATATATTTGTTTGGGCGGGGGGGGGAGAGGAGAACGTACAGCGCACAAACATCAAACATAAAAACGTAAAGACATACAAACATACAAGCATACAAACATACATACATACATACATACATACATACATACATACGTACGTACGTACGTACGTACGTACCTACATACATAATGCATACATACAATCAGCACATGTACGCAGCACATCGCAGCATAAGTTATAATAAGCATATAAGAACTTTGAATGCTTAGCTATACCATACTTCTATCATCAACTCATCAACCATGCGACATTCTGCCCGGGGGGTTCACTGCCCATTGGCGATTACCGTCCAGCACATGTTGTCGAGCTTGGCGTTTCAGTGACTTCAAAGCAGCAAGATTTAGGCCATAGGGCCATCGGGCCTTGGGGTTGCAATTGCACTTTGCGTGTAGACTTTAGCTGTTTAGCGCGTAAGGGTTGGAGATGGGGCTTGCTGGCTTGCTCGACACCGCATGGCTGTCCCAATGAGCAACCGATTCAATGAGCAAGTAAAACTTGCAAACCTTTGCAATCCTCCTCAGTCTTCGACACTGACTCACAACTCTGCCTCTGCGTTTTTCAGCTTCTCACGAAGCTCCTCAACACCATCGCGAATCGCAGACGCCGTCTCATCCTGCAAGTGATCCACCGCCCACTCGGCTTGTGTGCTATGCGTGCTGTGTCGGCACCGTCTGAAACACAGGGAACCATGCTGAACCAGACACAAGGGCCTCCAGCTTCTTCACCTGATCTCTCAAAGCAGAGGCCTCCGCAGCAGCAGCAGCCTGCACGGGGAGCGGAAGCGCCGGGCGCGGCTCGGCAGTAGCCAGTAGCTCACTCGATGGCAGTCTCCATGAAAGCCTGCCTCTGCTGCTGCCTGCTTTCCTGCATCTTGCGATGCTGCCTGCGATGCAACAAAAGGGGTTATGCAGCAACAAAAGGTCTTAGGTCTCTAGGATTTTGGGGCTCGGGGTCTTGGGGCTGTAAGGGTTTTAGGGTCTAGGGTGCTGGGGTTTTAAGGTTTTAAGGCTTAGGGCTCTAGGATTCGTAGGTTTAGGACTTTGGGTTCCAGGTCTTAGGGTTCTAGGGTTTAGGCTTGAGGGTTTTGGGTTCTGGGGGTTTAGGGTTTTGGGGTTTCAGTTTAGGGCTTCGGGTTCAGGGCATGAGAGTTCAGGTTTCGTCTATGCTTAACATGTACTGTGTTGGAGGTGGCCGAGAACGCACAGCGCAAATTGTTACATACATACGTACATGCGTACATGCATACATGCATACATTACAGAAGTTTTGCTTTCCCTCCGAAGGCTTGGCTATACCATACTTCTTTCATCAACTCATCAACTATGCGACATTCTGCCTGGGCAGTTCAGTGCGCATTGGCTATTACAAGTACCATCCAGCACATATTGTCGAATTTGGCGTTTCAGTGACTTCAAAGCAGCAAGATTTAGGCCATAGCGCCGTCGGGCCTTGGGGTCGTAGTTGCACTTTGCGTGTCGAGTTTAGCTGTTTAGCGCGTAAGGGTTGGAGATGGGGCTTGCTCGATGCGGCTGCAACACTGCTACATTGCCACTTACACAGGACAGGCCACGCAAGCTCAGGGTGAAGAACTTCAGCGTCCGGCTAGCACAGGGCTGTCCCAATGCGCAACCGATTCAATGAACAAGTAAAACTTGCAAACCATTGCAATCCTCCTCAGTCTTCTACACTGACTCACAACTCTGCCTCTGCGTTTTTCAGCTTCTCACGAAGCTCCTCAACACCATCGCGAATCGCAGACGCCGTCTCATCCTGCAAGTGATCCACCGCCCACTCGGCTTGTGTGCTATGCGTGCTGTGTCGGCACCGTCTGAAACACAGGGAACCATGCTGAACCAGACACAAGGGCCTCCAGCTTCTTCACCTGATCTCTCAAAGCAGAGGCCTCCGCAGCAGCAGCAGCCTGCACGGGGAGCGGAAGCGCCGGGCGCGGCTCGGCAGTAGCCAGTAGCTCACTCGATGGCAGTCTCCATGAAAGCCTGCCTCTGCTGCTGCCTGCTTTCCTGCATCTTGCGATGCTGCCTGCGATGCAACAAAAGGGGTTATGCAGCAACAAAAGGTCTTAGGTCTCTAGGATTTTGGGGCTCGGGGTCTTGGGGCTGTAAGGGTTTTGGGGGTCTAGGGTGCTGGGGTTTTAAGGTTTTAAGGCTTAGGGCTCTAGGATTCGTAGGTTTAGGACTTTGGGTTCCAGGTCTTAGGGTTCTAGGGTTTAGGCTTGAGGGTTTTGGGTTCTGGGGTTTAGGGTTTTGGGGTTTCAGTTTAGGGCTTCGGGTTCAGGGCTCGAGAGTTCAGGTTTCGTCTATGCTTAACATGTACTGTGTTGGAGGTGGCCGAGAACGCACAGCGCAAATTGTTACATGCATACGTGCATGCGTGCATGCATACATGCATACATACATACATTACAGAAGTTTTGCTTTCCCTCTGAAGGCTTGGCTATACCATACTTCTTTCATCAACTCATCAACTATGCGACATTCTGCCTGGGCAGTTCAGTGCGCATTGGCTATTACAAGTACCATCCAGCACATATTGTCGAATTTGGCGTTTCAGTGACTTCAAAGCAGCAAGATTTAGGCCATAGCGCCGTCGGGCTTTGGGGTCGTAGTTGCACTTTGCGTGTAGAGTTTAGCTGTTTAGCGCGTAAGGGTTGGAGATGGGGCTTGCTCGATGCGGCTGCAACACTGCTACATTGCCACTTACACAGGACAGGCCACGCAAGCTCAGGGTGAAGAACTTCAGCGTCCGGCTAGCACAGGACTGTCCCAATGAGCAACCGATTCAATGAGCAAGTAAAACTTGCAAACCATTGCAATCCTCCTCAGTCTTCGACACTGACTCACAACTCTGCCTCTGCGTTTTTCAGCTTCTCACGAAGCTCCTCAACACCATCGCGAATCGCAGACGCCGTCTCATCCTGCAAGTGATCCACCGCCCACTCGGCTTGTGTGCTATGAGTGCTGTGTCGGCACCGTCTGAAACACAGGGAACCATGCTGAACCAGACACAAGGGCCTCCAGCTTCTTCACCTGATCTCTCAAAGCAGAGGCCTCCGCAGCAGCAGCAGCCTGCACGGGGAGCGGAAGCGCCGGGCGCGGCTCGGCAGTAGCAAGTAGCTCACTCGATGGCAGTCTCCATGAAAGCCTGCCTCTGCTGCTGCCTGCTTTCCTGCATCTTGCGATGCTGCCTGCGATGCAACAAAAGGGGTTATGCAGCAACAAAAGGTCTTAGGTCTCTAGGATTTTGGGGCTCGGGGTCTTGGGGCTGTAAGGGTTTTTAGGGTCTAGGGTGCTGGGGTTTTAAGGTTTTAAGGCTTAGGGCTCTAGGATTCGTAGTTTAGGACTTTGGGTTCCAGGTCTTAGGGTTCTAGGGTTAGGCTTGAGGGTTTTGGGTTCTGGGGGTTTAGGGTTTTGGGGTTTCAGTTTAGGGCTTCGGGTTCAGGGCTCGAGAGTTCAGGTTTCGTCTATGCTTAACATGTACTGTGTTGGAGGTGGCCGAGAACGCACAGCGCAAATTGTTACATACATACGTACATACGTACATGCGTACATGCATACATGCATGCATACATACATTACAGAAGTTTTGCTTTCCCTCCGAAGGCTTGGCTATACCATACTTCTTTCATCAACTCATCAACTATGCGACATTCTGCGCGGGCAGTTCAGTGCGCATTGGCTAATACAAGTACCATCCAGCACATGTTGTCGAATTTGGCGTTTCAGTGACTTCAAAGCAGCAAGATTTAGGCCATAGCGCCGTCGGGCCTTGGGGTCGTAATTGCACTTTGCGTGTCGAGTTTAGCTGTTTAGCGCGTAAGGGTTGGAGATGGGGCTTGCTCGATGCGGCTGCAACACTGCTACATTGCCACTTACACTGGACAGGCCACGCAAGCTCAGGGTGAAGAACTTCAGCGTCCGGCTAGCACAGGGCTGTCCCAATGCGCAACCGATTCAATGAACAAGTAAAACTTGCAAACCATTGCAATCCTCCTCAGTCTTCTACACTGACTCACAACTCTGCCTCTGCGTTTTTCAGCTTCTCACGAAGCTCCTCAACACCATCGCGAATCGCAGACGCCGTCTCATCCTGCAAGTGATCCACCGCCCACTCGGCTTGTGTGCTATGCGTGCTGTGTCGGCACCGTCTGAAACACAGGGAACGATGCTGAACCAGACACAAGGGCCTCCAGCTTCTTCACCTGATCTCTCAAGGCAGAGGCCTCCGCAGCAGCAGCAGCCTGCACGGGGAGCGGAAGCGCCGGGCGCGGCTCGGCAGTAGCTGGCTGACGATGCCTCTTCCGCCGCTTTCTTGGTGGCATCTTGCAATGCTGCCTTGTACAGGAATCAAGAGCTGGTCCAATGCCCAAAACAAGAGACCCTGACCATTACTTGTGGCTCTCTGTGTCTTTGATGCGGGCTTAGCTCAAAAGGATTTGGCTCCAAAACGCCGGGATTGGACTCCACGTTTGCACAGCTGTCGCTTTGCTTGTCGGGGCGAGTACATGCGAACACCCGCTCTTCCTCTCCCAAATTATGGATCAGTTGATGATGTATTCATGAGCTCCAACATATCGGAAAGCATTGTCAACCAAAATGTGTGCAAACATCAAACGACAGTGATGCAACAATAAGGAGCATATTCCCTCAGGCAACATTCTGCAGTGCCACGTCTTCCAGAAAAGTCCCTACCTGGATCCAGAAGTGAAAAAACCCTTAGCCCCGCATCCACACGTCGACCTCAAAGTACCATCTAAACGGCTAAACATACTCTCTGAAGGAAGGGCTTTTGGGTCACCCTTTGCCATTCTACTTGGCAGGCCTCCAGCTGCTTCACCTGGTCTCTCAGAGCAGATGTTTCGGCATCAACCGCAGCCTGCTTGGACCCGCGGAACTGCTTTAGAAAGAAGAGAAGAGTGGCTCACTTTTGGAGGTGACGTGTCGGACATGGAAGAGTCGCCACTTGCCTCAGATGCCTGCATCGCGGTGTTCCGGGATGCCGCCTTTTTGTGGGGCAGCAAGCAGTTCCCCCACTAAGCAAGAGAAAGCTTGGTCCTCCGCGAGTAAGCCATGCCCAGGTGCCATGCGCCAAGAACCGTTCAGCGCAACCGCACGCACAACATGCCAACGCGTAACCCGCGCAATCTTTCCACATGTTTTCCGATATCGGCTCACATGGGAGCTGGGAGCTGGGAGCTGGGAGCTGGAAGCTGGGAGCTGGGTGCCGAAAGCTCTAGCTGCGAGTGCGACCGGTATCAAACAGACAGGAAGAGGGACTGTTCGCCGAACACATGCGATAGGACAGGTGGGGACGATATCCACCGGCCAGGTAGAAATGGCCACGGTTGGGATCAGGGCTGGGGCGACAGGGAGACACGGGGATAGCAACGAAAGGTCACCAAGTCAGGGGCTGGGAACAACTAGCAGCCATCGAGGAACGGGAGCTCATGGAGTTACACAAGGCTGAGCCGGGCTGAGCCCCACTCAAAGATGCAGGGTCATAAGCTGTAGGCGCGCTGCCTTCCAGCTGCATTACTTTGTTGGGCAATCAACGCGTGGCCTCTGCCAACTGGCTGCGGAGCTCGCGGACAGCATCTCTGATGGTCGCCGAGGCATCCTGCCAGAAGAAAGACATAGAAAGACCATGCATCGCTTGCATTCGCTTGCATGGCACACTTTATGATGGGGTATGGGGCGGTATGGGGCAGAGCACTCCCAAGGTTCAAAGGTTTGCTCTCACGTCTCACGCTTCACCAGAGGTGGTCTGATGAGGGCCCGGGCGCCTCTGAGTCCTTCAGCCTCTCCTTTAGCTTGTCGGATTCATTGGAGGCGTGCACCGCTTTCTCCTCTCAGCACCATTTGGGGCCATGAGTCAACTCAGAATCTGCGACAAGATGTGCTCTTCATTGCTCTGCATGCTGTCATTCCTTCAATTCGTCGGCTTCCCGCGCCGCCTTCTCCTCACGGCACCGAGGCTGGCCGTGCGGAGACAGAAGTAGCGGGGGGCCAGGGCATGTCCAGCATGCTACAGGCTACAGCCAGAGAGAACACCCACCTCGGTGCTTCTCAGCCGTTTCTTCAAATCTTCGGCTTCCAGGGAAGCGTGAGCAGCTGCTTCCTGGCCATCACGTCGGCGGCTGCTGACGTCATTCTTACACAAGATACAAACCACGAACGCAGACAGAGAGAGTGAAAGAGAGAAATAGCACACGTAGGCATAGGTGCGGCATCTGACAATGGGCACCTCCGCACTTTTCAACTTCTCCTTCCATTCTTGTGCTTCTTGGGAAGCTCGTGCTGTGAATTCCTGACTGACAGCTCAAGTTGAAGCCTAGGGCATAAGCAAGCAGCAAATATCCGCCCGTCAGCCCGCTTTGATGGCTGACGCACCTCGCGAAAATGAGTCTCCCACAATCAGGGTGGAGGACGGGGGTGGGAACACGTGGGAACACTACGTCTGGCCAACCGAGAAGCCTCAAACACCCGACTGGCTGCACGTTCTGTGTGGTAGCCGCGGGCGGTTATTGGTGCCGAATCACATCACATCTGACCATTGGGTGCCTTGAACCGATCGAGCGTAGTTTTGCTTCGCGGGTCTGCGTGCCGAATACAACTCGCAGAGGGCATCGATCGCTGCCTCGCCGCGAACCTGGGTGCACAGTAGCCTCGGGTGAAATGGGGGTTCCACTTTCGGCCGCGGTGGTGGAAAAACGGGAAGCGGAGCGGCATGAGAAAACATGAAAAGCGTGCGACTGTCACCGAAGCTGGCATTCACGCAAGGCATGCTGAGGCCGAAGGCGCAGAAAGGGTACGAACGAGACTAAAGCTTGACTAAAGGAGGTCAGCATCTTGCGCAGCTTCTCCTGCAGATCGTCTGCTTCGCGCGCCGCCTTCTCCTCACAGCACCGGGGGCCAGGGTATGTCATGGACCCGCCAAAGAGCATGTCCAGCACGCAACAGCCAGAGCGAACCACCTCGGTGCTTCTCAGCCGTTTCTTCAAATCTTCGGCTTCCAGGGAAGCGTGAGCAGCTGCTTCCTGACCGTCACGTCGGCGACAGCTTGACAGAGATGATCTCATTGCACTTCTTCACGCTGGCAAACACAAGGTGTTTGCTACTAACCGTTCAGGAGACAGACAAAGACACATAAAGACACACATGTTTAAAACGATGTCGATACTGTCCCACTGCTACACATTCGCCTGCGCACTCCTCAACTTTTCTTTCCAATCCTCTTCGTCGACCTCAAGGACTGAGACTGAGCTGAGACTGTGTTGGAACAGTTCTGAAGGCCTCCTTGGTCGCAATCTCCTGCCCGGAGGAAAGTCTCTCTGGCAAGTCTCGGCGTGCGTCCTGCACGGGTTTTGCCAGAGCATGGAGCCGGCAAATTGCACTTTAAGAGGCTACATCAGCGGTTTAGCGCAAGAGGACATTGCTTGCCACTGCCCCGATTGACCTGTGCAAACAGAGGTGCCTCTAGAATGCACCTGGCATCCTGCTAAGTCATGGATCGCAGAGAAAAAGCGAAATCACTTGCTGCACAAAGAGGATGGCGTAGAAGGCACAGCTCAGAAAGTAAGCGGAGATGTGTCTCATCACATCGCATCAGCCCGCCGAATTTATCTCTAGTTCATCACGACTGCACCATCCAACAGCTCCTCCCGCCAAAGAAGCCTGAAACGAAACGTCCAAATCTCAAGCCTGGACGACATCGACTTACCATGTGGCGTGCATCAGCAAGTAAGCGGAGATGTGTCTCATCAAACGGAGTCAGCTCCGCCGAATTTATCTCTGAGTCATGCTTTGAGCCATCGCCACAGGCCACAGAAACTAGAGCCAGAAATGCCACACCATGTGCAGATGATGCAAGCTCAGAAAGTAAGCGGAGATGTGTCTCATCACATCGCATCAGCCCGCCGAATTTATCTCTAGTTCATCACGACTGCACCATCCAACAGCTCCTCCAGCCAAAGAAGCCTGAAACGAGACGTCCAAATCTCAAGCCCGGACAACATCGACTTACCATGTGGCGCGCATCAGCAAGAAGCGGAGATGTGTCTCATCAAACGGAGTCAGCTCCGCCGAATTTATCTCTGAGTCATCCTTTAAGCCACCGCCACAGGCCACAGAAACTAGAGCCAGAAATGCCACACCATGTGCAGATGATGCAAGCTCAGAAAGTAAGCGGAGATGTGTCTCATCACATCGCATCAGCCCGCCGAATTTATCTCTAGTTCATCACGACTGCACCATCCAACAGCTCCTCCCGCCAAAGAAGCCTGAAACGAGACGTCCAAATCTCAAGCCCGGACGACATCGACTTACCATGTGGCGCGCATCAGCAAGTAAGCGGAGATGTGTCTCATCACATTGCATCAGCCCGCCGAATTTATCTCTAGTTCATCACGACTGCACCATCCAACAGCTCCTCCAGCCAAAGAAGCCTGAAACGAGACGTCCAAATCTCAAGCCCGGACGACATCGACTTACCATGTGGCGCGCATCAGCAAGTAAGCGGAGATGTGTCTCATCAAACGGAGTCAGCTCCGCCGAATTTATCTCTGAGTCATCCTTTAAGCCACCGCCACAGGCCACAGAAACTAGAGTCAGAAATACCACACAATGTGCAGATGATGCAAGCTCAGAAAGTAAGCGGAGATGTGTCTCATCACATCGCATCAGCCCGCCGAATTTATCTCTAGTTCATCACGACTGCACCATCCAACAGCTCCTCCAGCCAAAGAAGCCTGAAACGAAACGTCCAAATCTCAAGCCCGGACGACATCGACTTACCATGTGGCGCGCATCAGCAAGTAAGCGGAGATGTGTCTCATCAAACGGAGTCAGCTCCGCCGAATTTATCTCTGAGTCATCCTTTAAGCCACCGCCACAGGCCACAGAAACTAGAGTCAGAAATACCGCACAATGTGCAGATGATGCAAGCTCAGAAAGTAAGCAGAGATGTGTCTCATCACATCGCATCAGCCCGCCGAATTTATCTCTAGTTCATCACGACTGCACCATCCAACAGCTCCTCCAGCCAAAGAAGCCTGAAACGAAACGTCCAAATCTCAAGCCCGGACGACATCGACTTACCATGTGGCGCGCATCAGCAAGTAAGCGGAGATGTGTCTCATCAAACGGAGTCAGCTCCGCCGAATTTATCTCTGAGTCATCCTTTAAGCCACCGCCACAGGCCACAGAAACTAGAGCCAGAAATGCCACACCATGTGCAGATGATGCAAGCTCAGAAAGTAAGCGGAGATGTGTCTCATCACATCGCATCAGCCCGCCGAATTTATCTCTAGTTCATCACGACTGCACCATCCAACAGCTCCTCCAGCCAAAGAAGCCTGAAACGAGACGTCCAAATCTCAAGCCCGGACGACATCGACTTACCATGTGGCGCACATCAGCAAGTAAGCTAAGATGTGACCGGAGTCGTCAGTGCACGCTCTCTGTGCGCGCTCAACCTGATCCCATCCTCAAGCGACTGCTTCAGGTCTTCGATCTCTTGTTTTTGCAACCTGGCATGGAGAAAAGAAAACCTTCATAAACCGCCAAGGCCACGAAATGAAAGCTGCCCTGAACAGCTCAGAGCGCTGCGCTATCGTGGTATGCAATGCGTCGACCTAGGCCGTATTGCTGTTCATGATGCCAACAATTGCCAGAACCGAAAAGCTGAGGCCTCCGAATCACTCGATGGTGACTCAGCGGGCGCCCACGCCTGCAAACTGACTTTGTCCGCAGCTCCATGCAGCGCCACACAGCGCCCATGACATGACTTGCACTCCGGGCGCCATGGGACAGTCACATAGGGCGAGCCACGCAGAACTGACAGGTGAAGACCGTAACTTAGTCTCTGCTTCCGATTGTTGAGAAGGTCCCCCCAGAAATCCGCCGAAACCTCGGGCCGTTGGAGAAAGCACAAAGTAGGAGTACCCACCCCTGGTGAAAAAGTGGTATTTAAAAAACGTGGCTTTTCCCGAAACGTGGCTTCTCGATGCAAGAGGACACTGTGCGCGCAAGGCTGCGACAAAAGCCCCATGTCGCAAAAGCGGCTTGTTGAAAATTTTTCAAGGACACTACACGCGCAACGCCGCGAGAAAAGTCACTTTTTGCAAAGAAGCCGTTTTCGGGAAAAGTTGTTTTTGGGCAAATGTGGCTTTTTGAGGCGTGGCGCGCCCAACGCCGCGAGGAAAGTCACTGTTCGCAAGAAATGGCTTTTCGAGAAAAACGGCAGTACTTGCACAAAAGGAAAAAGGGCTGATTGAGATCGAGTGGCAAATGTTCATTTCAAAGATCGTAGCGTCAATTCCTAGAAAGGATGTGCTAGCGCGGATGAGTTTTCAGCTGCTGCTGTCGGACGAGTCGTCAGATGAACTGCTAGCGCGTAGATTTCTCCGCTGTCGCCACTTGCGTGCTCGAGCTCCGTCAGGCTGCTGGTGGTAACTCGCTAAACTAAAGTAACTGAAAGAACATGCGAATATAGAACGCAGCCCATGTATTCTTGCTTCACCTCGAGACTATGCGAGGCAAGCCTCATGCTCACCTCACTTCCTTGGCCACGGCCCCCCGCGCAGCGGGTCGCTGAGCATTACCATGAACTGGACACCAAAAGCGGAAACTTCCCAGGGGGCCGCTCCTCTGCCGCTCCTCTTGGAATTAGGCTGGGAGGCTTGAAACCTAAGGCGATGAGGTCCCCAATTCAGCCCCCTCTTGGCATTTTCATCAGCATCCCAGTGGGCTGCTCAACCCTGAACCCGACATCTCGAACCTCCCTCCCTCCCTGCCTTGTCTTTAGGGTTGAGGTGAGGTTTTCGAGGCTTGGGGTTTTGGGTTTCGGATTGAAAGCCCGAGCTTCCAAAATCAAATCAATAGGGTTTAGGATGAGGTATTGAGTTCCAGAAATCAATACGTTTGAGGTCTGAAGTGTTAGTAGTAGGGTTTAAAATGGAGTTTAAGGCTGAGGTTTTAGAGCTCCAGTAATAGGGTTCTGGCTTTCAATGGCCACGGGGCCGTTATTCTTGACTACTTCATACGGGTTAGGGTTCTTTCCGGGGGTATCTTCTTCAATGTCAGGGGGATGGGTGGGAAGGGATTCCTCACAGAAGGGCCTCTGCCATGTCCAGGGCCTTGCGCAGCCGCTGTGCCACTGCACGCTCCCAAAGTAGGGCCTTGCTCGCTGCCTGCACCAAACTTCCGAGCTCAGCTCCCTCAAAACGTCTCTGATGAGTCTTTCGCATAAGAGGGGCAAGTGTGGCCTTCAGCTTCTTCAGAAGTGTCTCACGTGTCATCTCCGAGTCCTGAGAGAAGGGTGGGCCTTTCCTGTGCACTTTGCTCCTCTGTGCCCAACACTCTGAGCCCTGCCTCCACGTCCAGCTCGGTGCACGCCGGTTCTTGGGACTCGGGCTCAGCTGGCAGCTCCTAAGCTTCAGATCCCCCCCCTACTCCTACAGTACAAGATGCAGGCTGCGTCGTTTTTTGCGGCGGAGGGCGGGGATGATAGCATCCTTTGATTTCACGAACATGCCCAACACTCTAACATGTATAAGGCCCCACTCCGAGTGCACTGCTCTGGGTTTTCGGGTTACAGCTTTGTTTGTTTTGTGGAAGGGGGGGGGTGGCTTCAAGGCTTCGACGCTCGACCACGCGAATCTTACTTTCATCCCCAGCAAAGCTATCGCAACAGTAAACTTCCTCTCCACGCGACTGCTAGCGTATTCCGAGCTCCTGCTAGCCTCACGAAAAATTTCTGTCAGACAACGCCGCACGTGCCAGAAACTTTCGGGCACGCGTGGTAAACGCCCCCAAAAATGCAGTCAAGCACTATCCGGTACTCCAGAGTAAGGAGAGGACAAAGCTCGGGGGCCGGAAGCAAGAGCAAAGTTGCATGAGAAAGTGTGGGCAGGGACCTGTTGGAGGCATGCTTGAGGGGTCTCCACGTTGGGTAGATACGAGCTTCTTGCAATCAACTAGCTCGTTGCAATCAACAGCATCACTAGTGGGCGGCGACGCATGTTGTGCTGGGAGCCTGACTCACGCACTGCGGTCAACACGCGACGGAGTCAGGTCTTGACGTAAAAACCCCCCCCCCCCCTTCAGGTATTGATAGATCAATTACCCCCCCCCCCCCCTCCCCCCCCCCTCCCCCCCCCTCCAAACCAAGGAATTCGTGTGATGTATCAATTTACCCCCTCCCCCCCCCACCCCCCCCCCCCCCTCCAAACCAAGGAATTCGTGTGATGTATCAATTTACCCCCCCCCCCCCCCCCCCCCCTCCCCCGCCTAATAAGATGGTATCAATAATACGCTGTCTTCTGGCCGTCGGCCCCCTGCTGCTAAAGCAGATAAAACTCCAGCTCCGCTACGTGAGCTTTCGTGACATGTACTCAACCTGGAGTCCGCCAAGGGCGCGGCTGTTGCGGCCTCTGCAGCCTCGGCCTCGGCAAGAAAAAAGTCGTCCAAACAAGAAGCTTCTTCTTTTTCGAGCCACGAAGCTCGGCTGGCGAGCACCATCAGGACACGATAATTTCTCTCTTTTTGAACGCAAGGCTGAACGCGAACCTGTTCGTCAGCCTTTCAACCCTTTTAAC